CCTGAACGATGCACTGGGAGATGTATTCGGTGAATTCAAAAACGCTTATTCAATTTAGACTGATTTCGAACTGTAGCATCTGTTTTTTATCTACGATTTGCGGTTTGGTACAGGTTTACAATAAAAAATAATTTCCTAACTGCATTAAAAGTTCCTACGGTATACCATTTCATTCAAAGTAAAACTAAAAGAGAATGTATATTCAATGTCACTTTTGATCTTACGTTCCAGAGGTGAAACACATTTTGTTTATATTTCACTACGGTACGCAACAGCCTCGGCTGTTTCACGAATATTCAGGTCCGTCTAGGTACCATGACCTCACAAAAGACCGGCGCGAATTGGAAGTGTCACACCTCTGCGTTTCATCTGGTAGGTGAGGTAGCTGGGGACCTATTAAAGGTGGCAACGCATCTGCAACCCTACGGGCGTAGCAAATGTCCATGGGCGGCGGTTATCACTTAACATCAGGTGATCCGCCAACTCTCTTGGCACCTTCTCACGTAAAAATGTAATAACTGTATATTTCATTATAAGTAAAGTAACAGCCTGTACATGTCCCACTGCTGGGCAAAGGCTCCTCTATAAAAAGGGCATAGTCCACCACGCGGCCCCACTGCGGATTGGCGGACACATATCTTCGAAATATATATTTTTGTGTGCAGGTTTCCTCACGATGTTTTCCTTCACCGCGGAGCACGTGATAAGTCAGCACTTAAAATTCAAAACTTCATTGGTGCCGGCACCGGGGATCGAACTCAGGTTGCTCGAGTGTATTGAATTAAAGGCGAGCGCCCGGACACTGAGCTATTCCGGCTCGATATATTTCATTACAAGTGAACATTATGGTTTTACGAGGAATAAATTCTTTAAAGGTTTAAGAGCTTCTTTACGTTGGACTTCTAACGTGTTACTGAGGTTACGAAAATATTTATTTAAACCGCCACGTCGGTAACGTTAGCTGTTGAGATATTTTTATCCACTACCAGCCACTATAAGCAGTCTGTGCACAGCCGTCACCACATACGGTGGAAAATTTCGCTTTTATTAGCTCTTCATGAAGTATATTGACTTGGATGTCAAATAAGTCATATTCGCGAAACCCAACTGAACGTGTAAAAATTAAATTTGATATTCTGTTATCGTAAATGTTGACATTGATAAATGAATGAAATATTTTTTACATTTTAGTGTGTACAGTCATGTACAAACAAAAGTCGAAATCCTTTGGTATTTAATTACATAGTTTTATCAAGTAAATTAATAAATGTTCCGTGTGTTGTTTAGACGACAACAACGGAAATAGAAAAAGTAGTGGGGTATTTTTATTGTAATTTTTTAACTGTGTGTTAAAAGATTTGTGCATTCGGCATAAAAATAACTTTTTTAATGATTTAAATCACATAACTATAGGATAACATTATCCTCTGTTGTAAGGACGTTTTACATACATAAATTTCACTCGGACAAACACCCAGATCCGAAACAGTTATCTGCGGGTCACACTAATAGTTGTCGCGTGTGGGAATCGAACCCACGACCCCCGACGCCGAAGTCAATACATTGACAACTACACCATAAAGTCATCATAATGACTACGCCATAGAGTCATCATAATATATGAATATTGATGCCAAATGATTTGTACGTTTATGGTCTTACGATATGAGTAATTGATTTGATGACAATGATTTGTGTCTGTCAAATGCTGTTGCGTGAAATGACGTGAGTTCTATCCTCAAATATTTAGGTCAAATAATCACTTAGGTCAGTCAAATATTTAGGCCACCCACTAAACTATTTCTCCAAGTCTGGGTGTGCTTGGTGTCTGTCCGTGGACTTTCATTCCTGCGGATTCTGGATACAGAGATTATTCTCTAAGGCGGAAGCCCCGAGTAAAAGTATTTGTATGCATATTATGCGGCGTTCAGGCCGTGCTCAGTGCTGGCTGACTAGAAGCGTCGGTTAGGTCGCGACGTAGGCGTCAGTATGTAACCGACACCTACGTAGGTGACGTTCGACCGGTTTACGTAACACCGGTGCCGTAGTGAGGTAATCGCGACGCTCGGTCAGGGCTCCGGGCTGGCGTTACGCCAAAGCCAGCGGCATGCCATTGTTTACGTTTATTTGTGCCCACCATTAACGTGTGCCGAGACACGAAAATACACTCCGCTAATCCCGACTAACATTATAAACGGGACAGTGTGTTCGTTCTTGTATCACGCAGCAATGAAGCAAGATGTACACATAGGGTGTTATTTCATAAGCTAGAGGAAGCGCAGACCAGTATTTATGCTGGAAAATTACACCGTTCCTGTCCAATCATGTAGAACGTAGTTCAATGATTTTAAGTCAAATAATAATCCACAAATTCGAAAACATCGCGAGCGAATCCTCGGACAACGACTAGTTGTTCGTGAACATTTGGCATTTTGTTACTTCTGCTAAAGTGTTTGTCACGTTTTCACATCGTGACGATCCAACGGATAAACCGTTCAAATAATCTAAAGTTGCGAATACAGTCTCGGTGGCCAAGTCATAGTCTTCAAAAACTTTAACATTAATAACGATATTACACAAAAGGGAGGCGTTTGAACGGCACCTATAATATGCCATTTCTGATCGTTGATCGGTTCGGACTTCGAATATCGCAAATCAGCGAGTGGACCCACCTTTTTGTTGACCTTAGGGGGGGAGGGGGTTTTTCGAAAGGTCTATCCTGGCCATAGAAATTTAACAACATTGATTTTAAGCACGTTCATGTATTCACTTACTGAACCAAATATATCAAACTTTGTGGAACTTATGTAAATTTCTTAGTAGATGTAACTTATATAATGAAATAGGTGGCATCAATGAACAACCAAGTGTGAACCAATTTCAAACATTTTGTAACCGCTACCGTGATGGGAAGGGTATATTATAATGTCGAAGAAGTGATATGAAGGACAAGAATATGTGGAAATGACTCTTGCTCTGCACTTAAGTTCCCTAGCTACAGATGATTTTATATTAATTATTTTGTATACTTGTATCATACCAGTTTCTTGCCGGTTCTTCAGCGGTCAGCTCTAATTTAGTGAATTGGTAGTAGTTTTTTGACGTTCAATAAGAGTTTAAAATAAGCCTATATTGAATAAAGAAAATTTTGACTTTCACTTAACATAACACCTCGTAATGATTTAAATACCGGTAAGTAGGTGCATAAATTTTATATTATATACCAGAATGTCATGTAGAGATTAGAGTTATAATGGGTTACTGGTAGCAGCCGGCAGCTACTCGTCAGCTTGCAGGACCCAGATTATATTTACTTGAAGGGAATATAATCTGGATTCTGGCCGAATGAAATCTTCTCCTTTGTGGTGTTTAGCCACTGTAACTCCCGTGGTGGCGACTCTAGGTATGTTAGGGCCTCAATGTGTACCGTGTGCCGTTCTCAACCTCAGTATCAATTATTACGGACAAATGATAAAGAAATTATTCATAACATTAAAATGCAAGTTTCTTTTTACTAACTGAAGCTTGGTTTTAGTTTTAACACACAGTAAGCCAGCCATGAACCAGCTTAGTGTAGTTCAGGGCTCATAGATTAAGGCTAAGTATCTCTGCCATAATAAACAACTATTAGTTGCTTATTATGGCAGAGATAAGTTCAGACTTGTGTTTAAGTATACGGGTATTCCAGATGGGGGGGCTTAATTTCCTTCTCAACTGTACTTCTATTTCCGTACGTAAGGATGACAACATGTTGGAGTTATCGCAAAACAGTTGGGTAGAATTATCATTTTAGATTTAGAATTAAAAAGTTTCCCACAGGCCAGTAATAAACTCCAACAGTCGATAAAAACACCTATGTAAGTTTCATGTCACCATATTAAGTGGTGTGTTGCTTTAAAAATATGTATAATGAAATAAATATCAATGAGAGTCGTAGAAAATAAACATTGTAATAAATGTATAGCTTATTTGAATGAAGGGCACAAATAGCAAAGAATTTCTTCAAGAACATCTCCTTAAGTTAAATATTTTATTTATTAATTTATTCATACTTTATTGCAATTACCTTAAACAAGGATTACAAAGGGCGAACTTAATGCCTTCTGGCATTCTCTCCCAGTCAACCCACGGCGTGGAGGTAAATTGTGGCGTATATTACATAACATTAAAAAAAAACATTTAACATTTACTATTACACTTAACTCTAGCGATGGTAATTTAAAGAAATTGTGAGTACCGCTAAATACCGCAGCAGGTAATATCCCAGCCGTTTTCAATCAGCTGTAGCAATATGCATGGGCTTCCAATTGCATAAACAGATAATTTTAAAACAATTGACAAACTTCAGATCCACACTCTCTTATGTTGGCAACACCGACATTTGTCCATTAGTATGACAAGTTTAAGAGAATTTATATACACAAGTTATAGGTTCAGTAGAAGTAGTAGTTATAGGTTCAGTTCGTTTGGAGCGGCTGCTGAGGTGGCCAGCGCTGTCAGGGTCGCGAAAGTATGCGAAAATGTATCCGAGATCCTGCCAATGTCTGCCCTGGGTAGAACATCGTATGGGTTTAGTCGATGCGAGTCCGACTAGCCGGCCTTGCCCCGCATGTTGGCATGCGTAGGCATTGCCTACACGTCGACGAAAACAAGTTTCAGGAGCGCAGCTTGCCCGTCCGCACCTTTTTATTTAAACTTAACTACGGAAACGAAACGGTTATTTGAGAAGTGAGAGACCGGAGTATAAGTTATGTGGCTTTCTAGAATCGGCTCTTCACTACGAAGTATAAAACAAAGTCGTTCCGCTGTTTGTCTGTCCCTATGTATGCTTAGATCTTTAAAACTACGCAATGGATCTTGATGCGGTTTTTTTTTACTAGATAGAGTGATTCAACAGGAAGGTTTATACGTATAATACATTGCACCCGTGAAGCAATTGCAGATCGCTATTGTTTTAATAAGTCGAACAATCCACGTCAATGATAAACCTTTCATCATCATCCCAGGAACCGGGTCCAGGCTGGAGGGCGTCTCACCTGCGTGTTCCTCGTGAACCCGTAGCCGAGGAAGCGCTCGTCGTGGGGCGGCACCGTATCCGGTGCGACGTAGAACGGCTCGTAGAGCAGCTCGAAGTTGGTCACGTTGTGGCTCACGTGGGTCGCCGAGCTCTCGTTTCCACCGCTCGCCTCCCACCTGACCCGTCGGATTGACATGGGTGACTTCGACATGCCGATGTCGAGTCATAATTGACTCTGAAATTCTGGCAATTTTAACGGCCACGAAGCTCATAATTCACTTGGAAGGTCTAGAGTCCAGCAATGTCATCTGCCATAACTACTTTGGCCAAGCTTATGTTCGCGTTCGACGATTTAGCTAACAAAGTGAGGGGAGGTGCTTTGCTGCTTATGAAAAACATCTACCTAAATGGTAGCCAAGTTTTTGATCTTCGCCAACTAAGCCAATGTATTGATATTTACGAGTATGTTAACTAGGGTCTTTAGGTAGCGAAGATAAAACCATTAGAATTCTTTGAGTGAAATGAAAAAAGAATTATGAAATGATTATGTTTTGTCATCCCTGCCACTGATTGAAATTATTCCGCTAGCCGATGGGTTCGTAGTTCTATATTAGGGGTTTGTAGGATTGGGCCGCGAAACACTGCCATTACTAAGCAGTAGACTATTCCTTAATTATTAAGTAAAAGTGACTAATATTACAGTACACACTAATATTACAGTACGCCATATGAAGGAGCACTTAAATAAATTCGTTAAGGTATTTTACAACAGCCAAAACAGGATTTAGCAATCAAACTCACCTTGAAAAATTAGACGCGTACTGGTTGTAGATGAACACTTTCCTATGGAAAGGTATCGCCAGTTTCTTCCTCGACAGCCTCAGCAGTTCGGATTTGTTCGGGGGGAAATTCGCCACTCTCTTGTCCAGCTCGTAAGTGGGCACCACGTACGCGCAGAGGGCGCACTTGGGCGCGTCGGCGAGGAACTTGTCCAGCGACTCCGCCATCCCTCTGGACGGCACTATGTCCACGTCCACCAGAAACACGTAGGGGGCGTGGCAGTTCCGCCTGGCGAGGTTCCTCAGATGGTTCTGCGGGTAGGGGTTGCGCGCCCTCCACGCCACCGTGTCCGCCCGCCGCTCGCCGGGCGGCAAGGGCTTCGCGCCGCAGTCGCGCGCCCACTCCGGCACCGAGCCCTGCGCGCCCGGCCTGCCAGCCGGCGTGCCAACGTGCACGGCCAGCCGGGCGTACACCTCCGGCTGGCAGCGGAACAGCCACGTGACGAAGGCGCGCAGCAGCCGCAGCTCGTCGCCGGCCACGAACACCGCCACGGAAATCGGGCCGGACCAGTGCGCCGCTATGCGCAGCAGCTCGTGCAGCCGCTCTATCGAGCTCTGGGTGGCGAGGCACACGCGGGCGCCGGACTCCGCGTAGTCGTCGCCGACGGCCGCGTAGTCGAACAGGCGGTAGGCGCGGGAGGCGTCCCACCTTCCTAAGCGGAGGTCGACGCGCGCGACGGGGTCGTCGTTGGGCGCCGAGCTCACCGCGTCCGCGCACGGCTCGCACGCGGGCGTGGGGCTCGGCGAGGGCAGGCTGCGGGTCGGGCACGACTGCGGCCGCAACAGCCAGATGTTGGCGGCCGCGTTGTACACCACTAAAGCCACCGCGGCGGCGGTCACAACGCTCCATTGGCAGCGCCACCGCCACTGCAAACGCGGATAGCAGGAATTGTAGTGGGGGCCATAGAGCATAATGCAATAGCTGATGCGGAAATACGCTGCGTCATCCTTTAAAGCAATATCGGCTTACGGGCCGTCACAAAACTGCAGAATTTTTTTTGATTCTATGCGCACAACGTTTGTATGATAACCCAGTGGCACCGTTGCTAAGCTACTGGCTTCGGTGTCCAGAGTCGTGAGTTCGATTCCCACACGTAACAAGTATTTGTGTCAACCACAGGATACGTGTTGCGGATCTGGATGTTTGTTTCCCAAGGCGTCAGATAGACGGTCGTAAAAAACAGCCAAAACCGCATAAGGACAGGAGGATAACACATTTGTACAGTGAAATGTGAATGTGAGGGACGCTTTTTAAATGTGCCCAAATTTAAACAGGAGGTTCAGACTCGGTAGTATAATCGTTTATTGAATTAAAAACAAACTTTTTTTTCTTCCAAAAATTGCCATTCTATCCCTAAAAAACAGAACTTGTTGATAACGCGGTAGTCATTCATAAATACTATAATACCTAAATTTTATTGTTCACGCACACAAACGAACTTGTGTGCGTGAAATGAATGTAATTAATTACTTACGAGTGATTTAAAATACTTATAATTTTATGTAACCTTATGATTTATGTCTATAATTTAATAAAAAAAATGGATACACTTAGAAAAGCCTCCCTGTATATCTGTATTCCCTCCTCTCCCTGTATTTCAAAGTGAATTTCAACCACTTTGCCCTTCGTCATTGACGGTTCATATTAATAATATTTTTTGTTAAATAGTCAGAGATACAATGTTAAAAATAATATGTAAAATTTTAAATATCTAAAGTGCCACGTACGATTTTGTCCTTCCGAATTTTCGCCATGGTTTCAGGTGGCTATCGCATCAAATTTGGTCCCAGCCTTAATTATCTGTTTTTTCTGCCATTCTGGTGGGATCTTCTCGCTCTTAAAACGCCGATCGATATTACCTGCAAATGAAAAATGAAAATTCTTTCAATATATTAAGACATTGCAGTATGAAAAATGAAAATGCATAATGAAAGTAAAAGAAAATAAAATATATCTTAGAACCAAAAACAAATTATTAGAAGGGGTTTCAGTGAACTTTTTTTAATGATTTCTATCAATGAAAAAACTACATCACACAAAAAACAAACAATTACATTTCTTGGCTAAATTTAACTTTAAATCTTTGTATATGGAACGCATTTTATATTAATTTATGTTATGGCCCTTTAAACACTTAAATAGGAGATAATCTTACCTGTACATTATTCGTAATTACATTTAAACTTTATTTAATAATATTCAATTGTCCTATGCAAAGTTTTATAAAGAACGAAAATGATATAACGTTATTTTATTTTCACGTCTAATTCTCCATAAAATATCTAATTCATTACACACAATTTTCGTTATATTTAATTTGTATGCTGGTAATAACACGCATTAATAATTAAAAACAATTGCAACTATTATTTTGAGGTTATATTCTAATATAACGGTAATACTTCGATAGAATAACGCTTTATTAAACGGTTTCTGCTTTGAATTTATATTATTAGAATTTTTGTTATAATTGTTTAACAAATAACGTTTTTAAATATATTTACTACTTAATAATAAAAACAGATAGGGTTTCACTACGGTACATCGTTCGCGCATGATCATAGCTGTGCCATGCGCAGTACACACATGACTCCCCTTATCAAAACCAAGCAATTTATCACCAGGTATATATATAGCAGAGTGGATTGGATTTGGGTCCATAAACCGTAAATATCATGGAGTTACATTTGGAAACGTCAAATGCTGATTGTTTTCTTTACCTATATTAGTCCTTCTATATCATAATTATCACAAATTAGTCTAAAACTTTCAACAAACAAAAGTTTAAACATCCCGCTAGACATCCTATGGAATAAGACGGAAAAATACATGGGACAGATTTGGTTATTGCATCAGCTAAAATTTTTTTCAACTATCCCATAATTTCGATATGAACATGAACGTGAAATATATATGGGAAAATACAACAGGATAGATTTGGGTAGTTACATAAGCCCGTAGATTGTATAGTAAAGTAAAGTAAAGTAATAGCCAATACGTGTCCCACTGCTGGGCAAAGGCCTCCTCTCTCCTGATACCCAGGGCATAGTCCACCACGCGGCCCCACTGCGGATTGGCGGACTTCACATATTTTCGAAATATATATTTTTTTGTTATTATTTCGAAAATATGCAGGTTTCCTCACGATGTTTTCCTTCACCCCGGAGCACGTGATAAATCAGCACTTAAAGTTAAAAACTTCATTGGTGCTGGCACCGAGAATCGAACTCAGGTTGCTCGAGTATATAGAATTAAAGGCGAGCGCCCGGACACTGAGCTATCACGGCTCTGTAGATTGTATAATCATCGCATATTATGTAGGTACCTTCCTTCAATTTCAGTATAAAAAAGAGCAGGAAAATTACACCGGAAATACAAGAAGTTCAAATGTCTTCTTGCAGTTCCGGTGTATTTTACTCCGGTGTATTACAATTTCTACATGTATCCGACCGACATTATAATTTTTATGCTACTTATTAGCTTTTTGCCACCTGGCATGGAGAATGGAAAGATTAATTTTCTTAAGTCATAGTGTTAGACTGGCATTAAAATCGCCCTATTCAATAGAGCATTAGAGTTTAAAAAAAAAAGAAGTTGGTGTGGTTAAAAAGTTTATAATACCGTTATAATTTTAAACGGAACGATAGCAAAACATATCAAATCTAAAAAAATCTGTTCCTAAACTTTACAAAGGTGAAGTTAGAGAACAAACGATCTTAAAAGATGAAGTTAGAGCTACATACTCTACGCGGATATACTATTGTAAGTTGTGTCAATAACTAGTAAGTTAAAATGAGTAGCGATAGTAACACTAAAAATAGCTGTCATTATGACATTACACAGACTCACATGTTTATATTGTGACAAAATACAAAATGTTGCACATTTTACCGACTTTGAACTGTATAATTGTAATATAAAACCTAATAAGTATGTTTAAAATACCAGACTGGGAGGGCGATGTTCCCAAAACAAATGTTAACTTTGTGAATAACCATAAAAAGAATAAAAGGGTACGTAAATATTAGTCGTACAATTGTACACGTGATTTAAGTTGAATTGTGTTCACATGGAATAGAAATATGATAAAATATAATAGTGTAGCACAAACATTAAAACATTATTTATTTATGATCTTATGAAAAAAAAAAGAGTCCAATATTATAGACATAAAAAATCCAGTAGATGAGTCTTTAACCTAACGCATGTAAACGATATTTATTCCTATTATTGTTTACTATTTATTTTATTGGAATGGTGGTTTCTGCAGGCTATCACATTCAACTACAATACAAAATGCTTTGTAACTCAAAATTAGTTTTAAGTTTAAGAATAGACTACTACAATAATGGGTAGAACTAAAATATAACAATACATCTATATGTAAATTCCTTCTCATAACAAAAAGGAAAATGTTTGTTATGGTATTTTATTTTTAATCAATATTTTAAATGATACAATTGAAGTAGTCCCGAATGTACTACTAATATTTATTACTAATTTCAGAAAAAAAATATAGATAAGGATAAAAAGAACAAGGAACAAGTGGATATTGCAAAGCCTTATTGTCAAACATTAAATACTGATAAAAAAACAATTAATGGAAAACCAAAAGAAAATCATAAAAAGCTTAATGATAAAAGTAGACAAAATGTAAAACAAAATAATGTACAAAATGGAGATTTGAAAAATAAAATCAATAAGAAAAAGGAGAAACATGCAGTGAAACGTAAATTATCAGACGGTAAAGTTGGAAATACAAAAAAGAAGATTTCGAAATTGGATGAGGAAACAGAGGAACAAAACTACGACACAGATAAGCCAGATGAAATGTTACTAAATGCAGGAAAGAAAAAGCTAACTGATCAAATTCAAAGCGACGACAGTGAGGAGTTACTGTTTAGCAACCAGGAACAAGTTAATAGTTCCAATGAAAACAAGGGAAATTCTGACAAAGTCTCTAATGGTGTACCAGTCATTTCAGATAACTCACAAAGTAGACTCACACAATTCAACAGAAAAAAACACTTGATCAAGACACTACTAAATAAAGAAAACATCCGAAGACCTTTAGACATAAGTGAAAATGGAAACAAATTGAGAGAAAGGATGTTGGAGAGATTGAAAGGTTTCCATCATAGCTTTATTTCCTTTTTTTATTTGGGATGGTGGCAAGTGAACGGCAGTGCACAGGATATTATGTGATTACCACCACCCATTGACATGTGCAACACCCATAGGGTTGTAATGTGTTGCCACCTATAAATAAAGTGGGCTCCATCAACCTCACTCACTAGATGAAACACAGAAGTATAACACTTTTACTCTCATTCTGTGTTATACAGCGTGTCGTTACCATCGCGACAATAAATGAACACACGTCTAACGCTACTTGCCAATAATCATAAAAAAATATTAATGTTAAACAAAATCCATAATTAAAAAAAAATATTATTCAAACAAACTAATTAAGTAAAAAAGAAACAAAATTTGTAACATCCTATACAACTCGCGCCACAGCGTCTATTACAAGCCTCTCCTTCTAACAGTATGTTGTCTCTTTTAAATTCCTTCAACCCATTCATTATGGTTTGTGACCTTTACAAATGAACTTTACATTACGCTTTTATAGGTAAGGCTGTTCTAAACTTCTTTGTTTTGGAAAATTTAATAACTCTGTAAATATTGATGTTTAAAGAATTTAAATGTTTAATACAATTTTAAAAATATGTGTGTTCATTTATTGTCGCGATGGTAACGACACGCTGTATAATTTTATCACTATAACTTTCCCAATTAACAATAAAAAAACAATGAAATAATGATGTAGACAATAATCCTTCATTTCAATTTTCTAGCTGCCCAATTTAGATATCTCAATGAAAAACTATACACAACATCTGGCACAGAAGCACAAAAGCTATTTCAAACAGATCCCGCTGCATTCCAGACCTATCACCAGGGGTACCAGCAGCAAGTGAAGAAATGGCCAGTTAAGCCACTGGATATTATTGTTAAGAAGATAATGAAAATGTAAGTTGAATCTCACATATGTGTACCTTTGCTGCAACACATAATAAGAATTGTAAATAGCTAAAGATAACATTAAATATGTTTGAACCCTAATACAGTAAATAATGGTACCTGCTGTTTGATTAGAGAACAGGAAGATGCTTAAATAATTTAATTTCAGACTAAAACAAAATTACATTACCAAACACAAGGAGAGAAAGATAACTGTGCTAGATACTTCAAATAAGGAAATATTGCCAAATATCAGTTCATCATTGATTGCAGGCCAAAATCTCACTTAGTAGCAGACATGGGCTGCGGAGAAGCGGAACTCTCCAAACGTGTGCCGCAGAAGGTGCGTTCGTTCGACCTGGTGGCGGCGGCGGCCGATGTAGAGTCGTGCGACATGGCACATACGCCCCTGCTGGCTGCTTCGGTGGATGTAGCAGTGTACTGCCTTGCTCTTATGGGCACTGACCTAACACAATTTCTGGTTGAAGCCAATCGAGTGCTGAAAGTTGGGTAAGTGGCCTTTCATGTTTCTTATTTTTATCCCGCTTTATTTAGGTTGATATAACAAACAGCTTCTGCCACCGTCGTCGGCCGTTTTTGATGGTCAGCTACACAATATTTATCCATGTTTGTTACGTTCAGTTACTACATTTGTTTCTATTTAAAGAGGGTGAAAGTTTTTATATAGATGATACAAATAGAAATAGAGAAATATTTTTTAATAATTATATTTTTTATCATCTTTAAAAAACAAAATAAACATATAAATACAAATTAAAGAACAAAATAAATATTTCTAGACAACGAGTCTGAACTCTTCTTAAACATTTTTTATTAATTGTCCCCAGTGGCCTTCTGCTCATAGCAGAAGTTGAAAGCCGTTTCGACGACGTGGAATCCTTTGCCAAGGAAGTGTCGCGGCTCGGCTTCAAACTTAGAGAGCTGGACAAGAGTAATCAGGTGTTCTTCTTCATGGAATTCGTCAAAACGCAAGACCCACCCGTGAAGAAGTCCAAGCTTCCGCAACTAACATTAAAACCATGCTTGTATAAGAAACGGTAAAATAAACAGTGTACAGATTATGTTTGTGGTTTCATTGTAAGCGTTAACTAAACTACTAACGCCCGGTTTCTGAAACACTGATCAACGTAGATGTCAACTAATCAGCCGTTAAATGTCTTTTCAAATTTCATTTTAGTTACCAAAAGGACGGTTAAACTCTCTGAATTGACCAGAATGATCATTAGTTGATCAGTGTTTCAGAAACCGGCCGCAAGAATCTGTAAATGTACAATATCACAATAAACTATAACATTGGCTACAGCAACCCATAAGTTTAGTCAATTGTTAAAGACTAATCAGAATATGTTTAACATTGCAATATTATATTCAAGTGGAGGAGACGTTTAATAAATCAAAAGAAAAATAACAGATATAACTTTTATTTATTAATGTCATTGATTTTAACAACAGTAATTAAATTTATTCTTCGGAAAATATATATATAATTGTAATACTTATTGAATTTTTTATAATCTATCGGCTCATAAAATTATACTTATTTCATCATTATAAATATATGTTGTTCACATAATTATCTTAACTCATCCATGACTTCTTCGGCCTCAGCTCGCAAATTCTCCACTTTTTCTATTAATAACATCTGTAAATGTAGTAACATACTAGTTTTATAGTTATTTAGATCCTGAGATCTGAAATTTCAAATGGTTGTCGCAAAAATTTATGTACTATTAAATAATATACAGGGAGGCTTTTCTAAGTGTATCCATTTTTTTTTAATTAAATTTCAAGCATAAATAATGTCATATAAAAAATTATAAATATTTTAAATCACTCTAAAGTAATTAATTACAATCATTTGAAATTATCTCGAAAAGTGCGTGATTTATACGCAACACATTTATTTTACGCGCCATCATTCATATCTAACACGCACACAAGTTCGTTTGTGTGCGTGAACAATAAAATTTAGGTATTTATGAATGACTACCGCGTTATCAACAAGTTCTGATTTTTAGGGAAAAGAATGGCTATTTTTTTTGAAGAAAAAAAAAGTTTGTTTTTATTTCAATAAACGATTATACTACCGAGTCTGAACCCCTGTGTAAATTTAATAACCTTTAAAAAAGTCTCCCTGTATGTATATTCTTATTTTGTTTGTGAATGTTAAAGCAAAAGTTGACAAAAGTTAATAACAATTAAATTTTGTACAGGTAATGGTTGATATATTATAACCTGAAGCCTGAAGGTTGGATTTGGTGATGGCGTGTTGGGATCATTAGGAAAGACCCGTGACGACGTTGTACCTTGGCAGCGCTTATCAGGTGGTTGGCAGCGCTCCTGGACAAGTGGGGGACGCTGGACACCAAGTTGTCTGCAGACGCCTTGGCCAGGTCCTCCACCCGCTTGTAGCCGGCGCGAGTGAGCTGCATCGCGCGCGCCTGCACCAGTTCGATTCGTCGTTAAGATATATGTTTGGAATACATCCTAATTCAAGTCAAGATTTCATTTTTTTTTTCGTGTTTATTCTTGTACTTAATGTGAATTAAAAAAATTGGTGTTGCGGTAGAACTGTGACGCAATTGTCCATTGGTGTACAGTCGCGGAGGGCGTTGCTAAAAATTTTTTTTAGTGCATTGAGTGACGTCTCAACTAATTCAGTCCGGCCTAGGTGCTAAATGCAACGACACAAAAATATGGAAACATTATCGTCACTCCAAAATGGCATAGCGAAAAACTATACCGTTATGGCTTATAAACTGTACCGCGTAAGTGCCGAGATTTGCGCGACGCGCTTACGACCTTTTAGTCGTGAGAAAACAACACTAGAAGCGATCTTGCGCTGCATGTTTGAATCCTTTGGGTGGACGATAAATAATTGTTTCAGCGCTGCAGCGAACTTCAGTTTTAACTCTGAACAAAATGGAACGAATCTTTTAGTTGGAATTGCTACCCTAGTACATAATAACTCAATGGATTAGCTAAAGAATATTTTTTATATCGCATAGTTAAGAGAAATTTTGCACTCGCATAATAGTTGACCTTCATCATTATGTCGTTAAGTCGAGGGTAGCTCAACAATAAAGTGTTGACATAATACTTGGCCTGTACATCGTTATGTTGTTGAGGGTAGTTGAACAATGAAGTGTCGAGACGTACGCACCTTCTTGACGGCGGGCAGCTCCATGAGGAGGTGGAGGTGGGGCGCGTTGCACCGCTGCAGCCTCTGGGCCAGCTCGGCCAGGAGGGCGGCGAAGTGCCACCTGTCCAGGGCCTCGCAGAGGCGCGACCCGCTCAGCGCCAGGGCGGACGCCGACGCCAGCGCCCCCTGCAGCGCGCCGCGCGAAGCCCCGAACCTGACGCCAGCCCTCTTTTTAACCGACTTCAAAAAGAAGGCGGTTTCTCAATTCGACCGTATATTAACCGACTTCGAAATAGAAGGTTTCTCAATTCGACCGTATATTAACCGAGTTCGAAATAGAAGGTTTCCCAATTCGACCGTATATTAACCGACTTCGAAATAGAAGGTTTCTCAATTCGACCGTATATTAACCGACTTCGAAATAGAAGGTTTCTCAATTCGACCGTATATTAACCGACTTCGAAATAGAAGGTTTCTCAATTCGACCGTATATTAACCGACTTCGAAATAGAAGGTTTCTCAATTCGACCGTATATTAACCGACTTCGAAATAGAAGGTTTCTCAATTCGACCGTATATTAACCGACTTCGAAATAGAAGGTTTCTCAATTCGACCGTATATTAACCGACTTCAAAATAGAAGGTTTCTCAATTCGAACGTATATTAACCGACTTCAAAATAGAAGGTTTCTCAATTCGACCGTATATTAACCGGCTTAAAAAAGAATTCGTTGTTTATGAACCGATTTTGATGATTCCTTTTTTTTTGTTGAAAAGCACAATGATGAGGAAGCCCGGATCTGATGATGGCATCCCAGAGAAATCGAGGGCAACCCTCAAATGTTATAGGTATTAACAATGGTTTTTTAGTTTCCGGTTTGAAGTCGTTTTTTTTTGTTAAAAATTATTTTTAACATGTTCAAATATAAAATGCACCTTTAGGATTAAAGGGAAACCCTAATTAAGAAAATTTCGAATTTTACTTTGTCAGGAAGGGCCGATTTTAGCGTAGAAAGCTACATAACGTATAATTCGGGTCTCTTTCACTACCGTCCAATCAACGCGTTAATTCATATATGCACAAATGTTTATTCTACGGTACGCAAAAAAATTCATTTTTTTAAATAGGTTAGTATAATTATTCTAAAGGTGCAAAATATCTTTATTCAATATAGAAGCACCACACTTACTTATTTATTGTCAAAATACCTCCACCGCGGCGGTTCGGAAAAGAAAGACCATTGACTCAAAAGAACCGGCGACGTTTTTTACCATTATTTGGCAAGAAACATGTTCCCAATGTATTAGCGTCCACTTGAGAGATCCTGGAGCGATAAATTAAATTTCCAAGATGTGTCATCATTTCATCGGGGTGTGTTAACGCGGGAAAAATCCCTAATACCTCCCTAGTACTTTACAGAATCGTCCCCTACCCCTCTTGCTCTCTCCCCACATGTTTACCGTAACCCACCCACCCCCTCCTGTACTCTAAGTCATCTTCCTAAAAGCTCCCTTAATCACTTCACCTACAACTAGTCTAATATCTACATATATCCATACCTGTCCGCCACTTCGGGCAGCGGCACCTGTTTCCACACTTCGTGCAGCATCAGGGCGAGGTAGAAACGACGAAGAACCGTCTCCGGAACGTCCTAAGGGTTTTGAGAACGAACCTTGCATTGATAAATCTATAAAAAAACTTTAAAATTCATAAAAAGCAATGGCGACATCTCTCGTTCGAATTGTCGTTGTAAAACGATATTCGAAATTGTTTGTATGCTGAAAAGGATATAACAATAGATGCACCAAGCATTGCTTCAAATGCTAAATAACAATGTAGAAAGAGGGCGTTAAGATTTTCGTCGCTGTGGCTATCAGCCGTTTAGCTCAGTGGCTAGAGCGTCAGGCCGCGAATGTCGAAGACGTGGGTTCGATTCCCACAGCGACGACAATCTTTTCGTACTTTTTCTACATGTTTTAATTGATAAATCTGATTAATTTTTTTTCACGTGGAAAGATGACAGACGAGCAGGCGGTTCACATGATGTTAATTGGTATTATAATAGTTAGTACTCCATATACAAATATATACTCGTACATTAATATCCCTCAACTTTTTAAATCCTAACGACGTATTCCTCTGCGGTATGGCCTCGTAGCAACGTTTACTTGTGAGAATGGGCAGGCTCATCTGCGGAACCACGGCCCAACAGAAGACCGGCGTGAGTTGGATGTTTTATATTTTCGCGTTCTGTTTGGTGAGTGAGGTAACCGGGGGTCCGTACCCAAAGGGTAAAACGGGACCCTATCACTAAGACTCCGCTGTCCGTCTATCAACAGGCCGTATCTCATGGACCGTGATAGTAAGACAGTTGAAATTTTCACAGTTGATGTATTTCTGTTGCCGCTATGACAACAAATACTAAAAAAAACCTAATAAAATAAAAAAAAATAATAATAGGGGCGCATATAACAAACGCGAGACGGTTGCTTGGCTAGGTTTTATATAGGTACTAAGTAACTGCGCTGGGAATCGAATCCACGGCAATAGATACTTTGTCAATGTCAACGTTCCCTACATTAAGAACATTAAAAAGTAAAGTAACAGCCTATACATGACCCACTGCTGGGCAAAGGCCTCCTCTATATAGAGGGTGTCAGGGCATAGTCCACCACGCGGCCCCACTGCGGTTGGCGGGCTTCGAAATATTTTTTTTTATTATTATTTCGAAAATATGCAGGTTTCCTCACGATGTTTTCCTTCACCGCGGAGCACGTGATAAGTCAGCACTTAAAGTTAAAAACTTCATTGGTGCCGGCACCGGGGATCGAACTCAGGTTGCTCGAGTATATTGAATTAAAGACGAGCGCCCGGACACTGAGCTATCACGGCTCAAGAACATTACTGACTACGAAATAGTAATTGTGGCAACGTTAACAAAACTGTGGGCACTACAATATCACCTTGCGAAACCATTCACTATTCATTCGGAAACAATTTGAAAAAGTACTGCAACAAATGTCATATTTTATCATATTTTTAATATAATCAAAGCGAGATATACGATACGCATTTAACGCGACGTTAAATTTGTTTAAGTTATAAGTCTTTTTTCCTCGCGTTCAAAAGCTTCTATAGTTCCATATGAAGGTGATTACACGAATCTGTTATTGACTCTACATTCTGGCCCCGAGCGTCCAGCTTGTCATTTACGATTTTGCCTGTGTGACAAACTGGTCACGCGTGTGTAAGTTATACACTTACCGTGATGGTTTTGCCCGTCATCATTCGTATTGCGGTTTTCTCGGTGATGCCAAGTCTATTCGCCGTCAGGATACCCTCCTCGTCCAATTTACTGTACTGAAATAACGATTCGATTTGAAACAGTTGCGATTTTACGGTGGTAGGGCCACGCAGCAGCCTCGGCTGTTGCACGAATGGGCAGACTCGTCCGGGTAAGTACCACGACCTCACAGAAGACCGGCGTAAAGTGGAAGTATGACAAATACTTTCGCGTTTCGTCTGGTGAGTGAGGTAGCCGGAGCCCAATTTTCAAAAGGTTGTCAACGCATCTGTAACCCTCGAGTGTAGCAGATGTCCATGGGCGGCGGTATTCACTTAACATCAGGTGAACCGTCTGCTCGTTTGACAACTTTTCGCATAAAAAAAAAAAATAAGTTGCAAAGAAACAAAGGATGTTCGTAACACTCCATATAGACCTCATACGACCAGCAGTGAAGGACCGCGTCTCGGCTTCTTAGGCCATCACTGACAACACACATTGATTAGAGAATGTTGTCTTCAAAAATTGAGGGGTATTAGAGAAGATATGCCGAAGTTTCTGGAACGCTGCCCATCCGAGTTGGATACGCCGATTGAAATTCGAACCTACTTCTTCTGGTTTGATGCAACGCTAATAAGATAGCGAATGCCCCTGGACTGCGATGTCCAAATTAAATTTTTTAAAGTGCTAATGTCTGTACTTAAGATTAAACATTAAAATTTGTAGAAAAAGTACGCTTCAAATGCTAAAAAACAATGAAGATAAGAGACGTTAAGATTTTCGTCGCTTTGGCAATCAGCCGTTTAGCTTAGTGCCTAAAGCGCAGCGGCGACAATCTTTTCGTACTTTTTCTACAAATTTTAAAATCATGTCCAAGTCAAAATTTCTTTATTCGATGTGGGCATGTTTTAAGTTGCAATGATGTTTAAATAAAGATACCGCGCGGCATTCAAATATTGTTCCGCTTTACGCTGATGACATATGCGAGTGAATGTGACAGATGATATAAAACGTATCGTACGGAAAGAGATAGCTGTCTATGGAATCGCATTCTAATTACACCAATTTGCGTTATTTTGCCTCAGTTTCAGTGCGCTGGTGCCGTATGTATTACGTATTTACATTAATTTATTTATTTAGGTTACAAAATACAAATTATAACACTCAATAACTTACTACTTACTAAATCTATAAGAAATAAGCAGACCAAAAATTATCTTGCTAATTTTTAAAAAATGACGCCAAGTTTTGATGAAACATGTCCCTACATGAAATATTACACTGTCCACACATTCGTATATCATTTCTCGGTGGTCCGAGAGTATGGAGTGTTAGTTACCATCGAGTGATAGTTCCTATAGTCGGGGCGCACTCCAGCCGCGTCTGGCGGGGTGGCAAGGTACAGCAGATGGAGGCTGCCCATCAGCACCACGCCCCTCGAAGCCACCTCCAGGTCCGAGAGCATCTGCTTCGCCGCGCCAAGATCCATGCAGGCTGGATTCGAAGGTTTCCGAAGCGTTTATAAATGTTCCACGTGACACAAAAGTTTACTTAGAACTGCTTAAAATTGGGACTCTGTACGGAAAAAGTAATATACAATTTAAATGAGGTCAGGTATGAAAAAGCCTTGAAAACCGTTAAGACGTTAACGAGATACATACGGTCAAAAAACATTTCCCTCCTTCGGCTGTCGGTTAATAAGAGGATCTCATCAAAACCGAAGGACCTGAGGACAATTATCTTCAGCAGACCTTTGATGGCGGCGCTTCCCAACTTGCTGACCACAAACTCGGTGTCGTCTGGGATCGGGCCGTCGTCGAATTCGAACCGCGCACCCCTCTTAGCATATTCCAGGGCGCCGCTTTTGAGCAGGGAGCGAATCGCGTCGTCGCAACACTGCTCCATGTCCAAACTTCAACAGACGAAACGTAATGGTCGTTGACACCGTGAATCTTGACATTTAATGCATGTATTAGTGTGCAGTTGCGTGTGTTTGTGTGAAACAATTATTAAAAATATTCGCAAGGTTAGTCACAATGAGAAATGAACGCATATTGATAGAACGTTCTATAACTTTTAAAAAAAGCATAGCAAATCCTGACACTTATGTCCGTGTATTTGTGTGTGTGTGTGTACACACACAAAATCGATAAGGTATTTCGGACACGAAAATAAATATCTGAAATCGAATTATGATTAAAGGGCAGGATTTGAAAGATTGCTTTGGTTATTGATATAGTGGTCAGTGGTTATGGTAAACTGTTCATTTTTTGTGTAGTAATAAATGCACCGAACTGAACTTTGAACCAAGGTTGACAGTCGGACCGCGCTGACGTCATTAACAGTGTTGTTGTATTTAAATAATAAATAAGTGCTCACGTGTGACGGTGTGTGACAGCAAGGAGGGTGCAGCGAATGAGGTTGCGCATCCGAAGGCGAGAGGCCGGGCGCGAGGGGCAGGAGGAGGGCGGGCAGGGAGGGGGCCAGCGCGCTGCGCGCCCCCGCCAGCCCCCCCGCCAGAACCCCGCGCAGCCGGGGCCACTCCCGCGGCCCGCATATCACCACACTCTCCCCTGCACCGGTCCATGGTGAGTTCCCCCACCGATGTCGCGATGTCGCAACAACCGGCTAATTGCGTCACCACTCCCACGGCATACCGCGCTCAACAGATGGGACGCGAAGTTGGACGCTCGTAACAGAAATTCCAAATTCGCTACGGCCGGTCACCGCTGTTCTATTATACAATCGAGCTACTTATCACGACCGCTAATAAGCGCCCAGCTTAACACACTCGTCCGTAACATCATCATCCATGACCAACGTCAAGACCCATGTCCGTTCATACATACAATATATCGCCAAGTTCTCGCCAAACACCGACTGGGCCAATTACACGTCTAACATATCAAAAAATCAGGCTAGTCCAAAGAAGTACCGCGACCTCAAAGAATAACGTCGTGCAGTGCAAGTGTAATACTTCTACATTTCGTCTGGTGATTAAGTAAATTAAATCCCTCCAAGCCAATTTTCTGTCATACAAAGCATTTAAAAAGTCAATAAAGGAAGATCTAAACATAATAAAACAAAAACGCACGCGCGCACATACACACACACACACACACACACACACACACACACATGCGCACGCGCGCGCACACACATTTGCACTGGAGCCGTTCCCTTCTTTAATTTCTCTTTTTGTTTTAGTAAATAATGCATTAGTATATTTTTAGTTAAGTTTTGCCATTTTTATCTGTTTACCTTTTTAAATCAATTGATTTTTGAACATGTGTTACCTTCATTATTATAAGTATTTGTATAGTGGAAAACTGTAATTGGCTTTCAATAAGATGTGATAATCTGGAAGAACTATTATATGATATGCTGTTGTTTTCCCGAATAAATAAACGAATAAATAAATAAAGCCCTCAGATGATTTGAATGTCCAATGGCGGCGTTAATCACTTAACATTAGGTGAACCGCATGCTCGCTAGACAATTGTTCACATAAAAAGACTATGTTGATCGACTGACCGGCATCGCAGACGCCGGCCCGGCCCGCTCTGCCCACCATCTGGCGGTAGGCGGCCAGCGAGATGAAGTCGCGGCCGACGAGCGGCGCGCGCACTATCACCCTGCGCGCGGGCAGGTTCACGCCCGCGGCCAGCGTCGACGTGCAGCACAGCACCGACACCGCCCCCGACCTACGAACCCCATCCACCCACCCATAAAGTAAAGTAAAGTAACAGCCTACACATGTCCCACTGCTGGGCAAAGGCCTCCTCTACAGAGAGGGTATCAGGGCATAGTCCACCACGCGGCCCCACTGCGGATTGGCGGGCTTCACATATCTTCGAAATATTTTTTGTTATTATTTCGAAAATATGCAGGTTTCCTCACGATGTTTTCCTTCACCGCGGAGCACGTGATAAGTCAGCACTTAAAGTTATAAACTTCATTGGTGCCGGCACCGGGGATCGAACTCAGGTTGCTCGAGTATATTGAATTAAAGGTGAGCGCCCGGACACTGAGCTATCACCCACCCATATTTTACCTTAATATACCCCCGTCCCACCCTCTAATTTACCACGAAAGGTACCCTCGACCTACAACCCTCCCTGCCTTTAGTATACCGCGAATGAAGACATCCCCCCGCCCCTTTAGTATACCGCGCTTCTTTCGCGATGCACCTTACCTGCTTACCCCGCATCCCACCCTTTAACACACCGCGAAAGGGGGTTGTACCCTCAACGCATAAACCTCCCCATCTTTAGTATGACGACCTGCGTACCCCCCATCCCACTCTATAGTATACCGCAAAAAAGGGTAGTACTCTCTAACTACTACCCTCCCCGTGTTTAGTATACCAAGGAAGAGTTCATCGCCTTCGCGATAAGCTGATCGGCCGTACCAGGGTCAAATAAAACAATTTATTCATCGTATAACAATAAATAAATATTTACCATCGCTACTATTTTCTTAAATCTGCCAACGTTTCAGAATGAGGTTCCTCTAACAGAAGAAAAACAGGCGAAAGAAACTCCGTAGATATCCTGTCTCTAAGTCTTTTCCAAGATTCCTACGGCTAAATATTGAGAATACCACCGCCACCCATAGCCTACCGTAAGGACAGACCAGGACTTCTGGCGCGTTACCAAATGATGGTGGCTCTCAAAAGTGTTACAAGAGTACGAATGCAGTTCAAAATTCCTGATGGTGCCAGCTCATTTTTCCCCGCGACGTCAAGCCACTCGCTTATCAAGCGAGCTATCAAATATCAAAGGTTTTATACGAACAAAACTTATTTAAAAAAGTAACTCAACCTTATGGAGTAGGAGGATAAACTGAGTTTAGGTATTGAACATGAAAAAAGAGTTAAGACAAAACAGGCGGGATGGACAAATGTAATGGTCTACCTGTCAGACAAGAAGAGGAGTGGGGGCGAGTAAGGAACAGGAAACTAAAAGCAAAAAGCCAACCAGTTGGGGACAATGATGGTAAGAATAGTGAGAAAAACTTAATAACCAGATTGTTAGAAAAGAAGGTATCAGAATAGTCTACATATTTGGGTGGATGAAGAAGAGAGAGGTAGATTTGGATACCTGAGTAGCCTACGGGTTAATGTAAGGGTTATAACCTACGTGTTGGAAGGAAAACAAGTGAGATAACCCGAGATAGGGAGGATGGGGTAATACGATATACTCAAGTAACATAAGTCACACTCGGGATAATATAAGTCACACTTAATGGAGCTGGGAAGAGCGGGCGTACCGGAAGGCTGCCTCGAGCAGCGCCCTCTCGTCGGCGGACAGGCCCGCGTGGTGGAAGGCCACCCCGCGGCTGACTAGGGTGGGCAGAGCGCCCCCTCCCTCCTCACGCAGCGCCCGCCCCAGCTGCGCCCGCTCCGCCGCCCGGTGCGCCACCATTTCCCTGACGCAGACTCACCCCTCACCATCCGAAGCAGTACAGACCGTGGTAGTCCTCTGAACCATGGTCATATGCATTAGGAAGTTTTTTTTGTTTTTTTTTTTCTATGAAAAGGTGCCAAGCAAGCAGACGGTTCACCCGATGTTAAGTGAATACCGCCGCCCATGGTCATATGCTACGCCCGAGGGTGCTAGACGCATTCACAACTTTTTGGAAATTGGGCTCCGGCCACCTCACTCACCAGACGAAACGCGAAAGTATTATACTTCCACTTTACGCCAGTCTTTTGTGAGGTCGTGCCTGCCTATTCGTGCAACAGCCGAGGCTGCTGCGTGGCCCTACCACCGTAACGGTGTGAATTTGGTACACCACTGAATGTTTTTTGTGTTATACATAATCGACTACAGTAATGTTCTTTTGGACGTCACCACTCAGACATGCATTAGCATACGTGTATGTTAATGATAATAGTAAAAGTCAAAAGGTAAAATAAAACGCCTGGGCTAAAGACTGCTCTGTACAGAGTGCATTGGGCAATGGTCCAGGAGTTAACTGGCAAGATATACAAAGTCGCGACTCACTTGCGCTGCATTTTGCAGAGCAGCGAGGCGACGTTCTCGCAGTTGCTCTTCGTGGGGCAGAAGACGAGGCACGAGGCGGCCGGCACCACCTCGGCCACCAGGCCGCCCAGCGTGTCCGGGTCCAGGGACAGCGCCGCGTCCGTGTACTGCACGGGTCAATGAATAATGGTCGTCCCGCCGTGCAATACTCCTGGCAGCCGGCGCTTTATCCGGATGGTTCCGTGGCGCAGTTGCCAAGGTATTGGCTTCGGCAGGGGGAGTCGTGGGTGCGGTTCCCACACGAGATAACTATTTTAAGCGAGCAGACGGTACGCCTGTTTTCAAGAGCGTACGGCGGCCCTAAGACATTTGAACACCCGAGGGGTGCAGATGCGTTGACAAACTTTATAAAATTGGGCTCCGGCCACCGCACTCACCAGACGAAAAGCGAAAGTATTGTACTTCCACTTTACGCCGGTCTTCTGTGGGGTCGTGGTACTTACCCGGACGAGCCTGCCCGTTCGTGAAACAGCCGAGGCTGCTGCGTGGCCCTACCACCATACAAATTTGTGTGACCCGCGGATAAGTGTTTCGAGTCTGGGTGTTTGTCCATATGAAATTTATGTATGTAAAACGTCTTTGCAACGCAGGTTAATGCTATCCTTTTTTTTTTTTTTTTTTTGGGAAAAATCCTTTATGGATCCCCCGCTGCCTTGTGGGTAGGCAGCAGGGGTATGTGGGAGTTACACGTAGACGGCGCGACTGTGGCCTTCTCAGGCCTCCTCTGCCCAGCCAAATGGTGCCGTGTCGGTGCAATGAGCACGGCACCCCTCTCAAGCCCTCCGCGGGGCAGCAGTTAGTCCAGGTTAATGCTATCCCATAGTAAGGCTTAATATTTTCTGAAAGAAGACTGCAACCTTTATGAAGATTTGGTGAAAACATGAAGCTAGCTTTCTTGGCGCTATGTTACAGAGAAAAAAACCCACAAATAATGTAACAACTCACATCATACTTCAACTGCCTGTCCGGGATTATTTCGAAACCGTTGTCACCTCGAACAATCTTGTGCAGAACGTCGCCCAATTTCACGTACTCGGTAAGTTCCACCGGCCTGAAGTGCCTCTGGAAAACCTCAGCCCGCAGGAACTCAGCCACTTCGTCAAGGTTGCCTATTGTGGCGCTCATTCCCACTATCTGAATGTCTTCTGCGGACAAAATAATACATACAAGGTGTTACAAGCAGATCTTTTTATTCATATAAAATACCTACACAATTTTATATAAACACAATCAATAAATATAATATCATTTTCAATGTAGAATTGGTAGGCTCCATTAAGCTAAATTAAAAATTTACAAAAAAAATATTTAAATACAAAAACTTACTTTCAGCGAATAACACAGTGGCCAGTAAAGTTTCGAGCGTAGCCCCACGGCCTTCTTCTCCTATTAAATGAAGCTCATCTACCTACGCACAATAGGTTTTTTGGCGTAAATAATAAACTCCATAATAAAACAAAAAAAAAATAAAATGCCCAAAATACTTTTCTTTGTTTTTGCTGTATATAGTGTTCTTCTAAGTTGCAATACTTACCACTATAAGACCAATCTCATGCAGTCTATCAAACTCAATGAGGCTTCTCAATAAAGCTAGGCCCTTTTCTATGGTAGCAACATAAATACTGTTTTTTGTCCGTCTCTTCTTTGCGGGTAAGTGGCCCTTGCCTGCCGCATATTCCTCTACTAAGAAATTTAACTGCACAGCAAATGGTGACAGGGACCAAATCTTAAGAAAACAAGAAGCTACATTTATAACTTTAACACACTCAAAGACTATTAAAAAGGTTTTAAAGAGCAAAATGTGTGTTTTAGAAAGATTTTCAAACAAAATCATTTAATTTGTTACTGCTACGTACCTTTTCTTGTACTAGAGCAACAAATGGCAAAATAAACAATGCATTGCGTTTTCTATTCAGCACTTCCCGTAACATAAGGATTTCTGCTACCAAAGTTTTGCCACCACTTGTGGGCAAAGCGTAAATTAGGTTACGCCTTTTGTGAATGGCATCTAAATTCAAACAATCTTCTTGCCAATCTGAAAACAAAGAAAAACATGACGTAATAAAATATTGATGAATGATTGTTTCAAAACACTTTTCTAAAAAAGGAGAAACTTTTTATTTTAATATTATACATATACAGCGTGTCGTTACCATTGTGATAATAAATGAACACACATATAGGGGATAACTTTTTAAAGTTTTATTAAACATATAAATTCTTTAAACATCAATTTTTACAGAATTATAAAATTTTCCAAAACAAACAATTTTAGAACACCCTTACCTATAATACAAAGCATATGAATGGGTTGAATGAATTTAAAAGAGACAAAACATACTGTTAGAAGGAGAGGCTTGTAATGCGACGCTATGGCGCGGGATGTATAGGATGTTACAAATTTTGTTTCTTTTTTACTTAATTAGTTTGTTTGAAAAATATTTTTTTTTAATTATGGATTTTGTTTCACGTTGATATTTTTTTATGATTATTGGCAAGTAGCGTTAGACGTGTGTTCATTTATTGTCGCGATGGTAACGACACGCTATATATTATAGTACAAAATGCTGGATAAGAATATTTAATATCCTAATAAAAGGCAAGAAATTACATGAAAACACATTTGTTTTTTTTGGTAAACGCAAATTATTTATAGATTAATTGTTGAAAAGTTTACATATTTAAGTTTCATCTTGAGTACAAAGACCAGCAAAAATGAAATTAAAAAATAATAAATCTATTTCTTCTATATTTATAAAGTTACTACTAACCATACAGTTTATCTATTTTTCTATAAGTCTTAAATAAGCCTCTGGCAATCATTGGCAGCTGGTAAAAGCTTTCCTTAGACTTAAATAATTTTTGAACATCCTCAGCATTGATGTTATGACTTGTTTTATTTACTTTTTCCGCCTGTGTAAGATCATGCACTTCAAGAAGAAACGAGTCTTTAGTGTCAAAAAAGGAATCTCTATCATTTTTTATATCATTAATTGACTGATTAATTGCCTCAAATCCATCACTAATTTCTTCTCTGAAATGCTTCTCACATCGAGATGTTAAAACTTCTTCAACTTCATCATGCTGACTTACTTCTTCCTCTAATTTTGATGTAAACATATCAACTAATGAATTATCTACTTCATTTACTTCTGCAGACTTAATTGAGACTGTATCACTGGCAGTTACTGGAGGTTCCTTATTTTCTATGTCCTGAATGAAACTAGATCCCAAATCATTAAAACAATGGACATCTTCACTAGTATTATTTCCCGAGTCACTTAAATACTCTATTTGATTGGAAGGCAGCGGCGGAGAATCACACCCCAACGAAGAAGAGCTTTCAGCAACATTTTTTAATAGTGTAGGTGTACAATTTACGGGTGCGTATTTTTTATTACAAACAATATCTTTCAAAATTCTTCTTGTGCCAAGACGCCTTCTTTTTGGTGTTGATGTGGTCCTCAAAAAATCATCGCTAATTTTAGAGTTCATTTCAAGAATTGAATATAAATTAATATCTTAATTTAATGAAAATAATTAAATCTTAACTACTACGTAATACTTAATTATTTCTGTACATATAAGGTTCTTTTCATCCATTGCTTTTTATTTGATAATTTATAAATTTTAAGGTTTCGCGCTAATTGTAATGATTAGTGAGTGACAGGACAGAAACTCACAACGACATTGACAAATGACATTATTAAGAAAATTCAGAAACGAGAATTCAGTGCATAATTAAAAAAAAATATTCTTATCCTCCTCTATCACTGCGGATTGGTGAACTTCACATATCTTCGAAATACATATTTTTTGTTATTATTTTGAAAATATACAGGCGTCCTCACGGTGTTTCCTTGAACGCTAACGTGCTCAGTGCACCAATGCGTCATTAATTAAAATTAACAAATTTATTGGTGTCGGCACCGGGGATTGAAGTCCGGTTGCGCGAGAATATTAAATTAAAAATGAGCCCCCGAACACTGAGCTATCACGACTCTGTAGTATTATCGTATCTTATAGTAGTATCTAACAAAACGGATTTACTCCTTATTTTGTTGATGAAATACGCTCTACGTTCGAGTTTATTTTCTAAACTTTGTTCTGAGAAATCTCTAACTGTCATTATATTTTCAGATTAAATAGGGTCTAAAAACATAAGTTCTTCAATGTTTTAGTCTTGCTCATACATACATTTATATGAACTCTTCAACTGTCAATTCCTGTTTGTGGGAATCCAGCAGTTTTTAAACGTTAGACAAAAGATGAATCGATGAGATTTTAAAATAGCGTATTTCTTTTGTCTAAGTGTAGTTTTCTGTTACTTCTGAGCAGACCAGTACCAAGACAACTTTGTCGGAAGAGAGCCGTGGGTAAACGACCAGCCGACTCAGGAGGAACAAGTTATCTGGTTCATAATGACAATGACGAGATAAATAGAATGCTCGATTGTCCGAACCTAAAGCCGGATTCCAGTTTGATTGCAGTTGCAACATCATTTAACATCAGCTGAACTACGTGCTCCTTTGTCACCTTCTAACATAAGTAAATTAAACGTAAAGGCGTTTCTGTTAATGTTATTTCTGAATTGGTGCAATAGTGTACACGTGATTATAACACTTATTGTTAATCAAACAATAAGTGACGCATAATTATATCTAAATGAGGAGAGAATCGCCACATATTATAAAACCAAATCCCTTCGCCGCCGCTTCTGTCTATCAGTCTGAAGGCGATAAACATCAAATAGTACTAAAAAATAGTACTAAAAGGATTTTCATACGGTTTTTACCAATAGACGAAGTGAATCCATAAGGAACCTTTATTAAGCTTGTCTGAAAATTTGCTAAAATATGTAATATGACGTTGGTTGTCAGGTGGGCAAGGGCCCCGGTGTAGAGAAAATAACGTTCCCCCCTCTTTCTAAGTAGCTTGAATTTATATTGACCGATTGGCCCTCTAACTTATAGATAGGGGTAAGAAAAGTATGCAGTGACTTCAACTTATTCCCACTAGAATAAGTCTATAGATCGTCTTTATGAGGAATAGAATCCCTATGTGTTTAATGAAGAAAATGTGAAGAAACAACGATGCACATGACAACAAAGATATATAAAAGGTAGATATGACCCTAGCGCACCGAAACTAAGGCACTCGAATTACTCCAACTGGTGTAATCAGACCGCAATTCCATAGACGGCTAGCTCTTTTCGTATTATACGTTCTATATCATCAGAACAAATTTTAACGCAGTATGGACATGCGTCATCTATATTATTAAACATCATTGCATGACAATATGAAAAGTTTATTATACACTCCCGAAGGTATGATTCCCGCTGCGGCGAGAAACTTTTCGTTCTGTTTTCTACAAAGTTTGATGTTTCATTTAAGTGCAGCATAATTTGACACATTAATAATAATAATGATGACATTAATAATCGGAAAAAAATTTAAAAATTTCTAATCAAATTCAGAATCTCTTAACTTTTGCAAACTCGTCTATAACTTCACTCTCTCTTTTTGCCACGCTTCATTTACAGCACATGCCTCCATGTGTGCTTTCAAGGCACTATGTTACTTAACTCTATCTGATAACGCCTTTTGTCCTAAGGCACTATATATTAATATATCAATATGTATTATATATAATATATAGTGCTTAGCCAATGCTTCCACATATAAGTTAGATATATGCTGTAGCGGACTTTTATTTAGAACAGTTCAACCAGAGAAACAATTCCACGATACATTATCTTCATGTAACCCGAACAGTTTAGGCAGCGCCTCAGAGGGCAGATTTTTTTTTCGAATTACTTAATACTTATCGTAGTATTATGGCCAAATTACACAAAATTTTATAAATTTTAGACCTATGTGTTATTCTAATGTTTACGCCTTGTATCAACTGTTGCCGTTCGCCCCACAAAGTTCTATACAATGTAATGAATATCATACTTGAAAAAGATCATGTACAAGAGTCAAGGATAATGAATGAGCTTATCGCTGATGCAATGTGCTATAAAGGTACTGAATCAAATGACGGTAAAAAAATAGCACATGCTTATCAAAGATGCTTGGCGCAATTCTTTAATTAGGAGTTCTGTTATTGTTAATTTTCATTTAACATCATAAAAAAAATCTTCTGAGCATCCTCGAGGTTTGCTAGATTCGGGAGCTGGCTACTCCTTTCTTTTCAAAGCTCTGTGCTCCGGGACCGTGGTGCCAGTGCACCTGGTAAGTGCAGATAGAGTAGTCTCTATCTGCACCTACGATAGCTACGTTACCGTTGATTGTTGACGATGTCTGAAAAAATTATACTCCGACTTCAAAAATTAAGCCCGTGAGAGTCTGTAGAATCAAGAATCGAATATTATGATCGCTTTCCCTTACTATTATTAATAAATTGAATAAAATTCTTATTTATAGAAACGACTTTCTTGGTTAGATTGAAATGCTACTAAGTAGAATCGTTACGCAATATTTCAATTCTTGGTACATATTACTGTGCTGTAAATTGAAACACAATAAGGGATATTGAACGAAAAACAATCTTCACTGGGAGACTCGCTGTTTAACCTGATTTATTGTCGAAAAATCAGCGAAGACTGTTTGGTGCGCGCGATATGCTATAAGGCGCGACCCGACCACGCCCTTCGCGCCCCGCCGCTCTCCACCGCGAGGGGTTTCGGCTCCCTCTAGAAACCGGAGCTGGCCGCGATCGAGCTCAAAAATGACCGCCGCCAAAAATAGCGGCGGGGCGCGGGGCCGCTGTGCCGCCGCGCGCGCGCCAGCCGCCAGAGCCGCCCCGGTCGCCGCGGACTCCACATTCCAACGTCGCTGCGCTGCCGGTGCGAACCAGTGACTGAGTGACCGCCTCCAACCCGTGCGACGTAAGTGCCGCGGAGTGCCAGTGCCCGACCCGTACAGTGTGTAGGGAGCCTTAGTGCGTTCGGAAACCGCAATGTTGCCCTATATGGAGATTGGTGTTTTAAAATAAAAAAAAACTCCGTGGCGTGGTGTTGCCAAATCGGGGCTAGCGCGGCGCCGCGCCGAAATAGACCGCCGTGCGCGGCCGGGATTACGTTACCGCGCGATGCGAAATCTCGCCTCGTGGGAAACGTTGAGACCGTTTAAAATGCCACTTTCACATGAAAAATTCACTACACACTGTACACTTGATATATGTCTATTTTACCTATAGAACAATACCACTAATCACCATAACAGTTGCAAAAAGCAGCAACTAACGACAGCTTTTATCTACTTAGGAATAAAAATTATGACTAAACCTTTTTAGCAAATAGTAGTAATCACTAAAAATTTTCACCATTCTAAGTCCATTGAAATTGATCATTTTAAAACACACTAAAAGAAAATTTTAAAACTGATCGATGTTAATATTTTTTCTGCAATATACGTTAATGTACGTAAGTGGTAAGTTGTGGTTTGATCTTTTACTCATCTCTCATCTTGCCAAAGACCACAGGCAAAATCGTAGAGTTATATTCCAAGTTTTGATAAATATTAAATTAGCATGCCAAATTTTACTAATTTTGTAATAAACTTTTATTTCTATGAACGATATTACGATATACAAGTTTCGTAGTTTACAAATTAGACAACAACAGACAAAATATTAAGGCATATTCACATGCGAAACTTGAGACTGAATGATGTGGTTGTGAATTTGTCATTTTCAAGGTTAACCCAAGTGTTGCTTTTCTTGTGAATCTAAACCCGAAAGTTTAACATGTGCGTATTTTATATAAAATATCTACATTTACGACGTGTAAAGTTGAATTTTCGCTATGTAGCCTTGTTGTTGACTAATTGTTTAATAGGACTCTCAAAGACTGAAAACTATATAAGTCCAAACATAATAACTTCTTTCATCTACGCGATACACAAGAAGTTTTCGATTAAAATTTTAACTGTATTAAGTTTAATTCTTCCAACGACCTCGCGAACCAGTGTGTACTATTTTAGTAACTCGTCGTCCCTATAATTAGCTCGGCATAGATTCAATTTCAAGAGTTTATCTAAATCTATTAATTGATAGGTTAAGATTACTTCTGGATTTTGAGATTACTAGATTCACCGTTAATGTAATGACATTATTCATTTTAACGGTGGTAGGGCCACGCAATAGCTTCGGCTATTGCACGTATAGGCAGGTCCGCCTGGGGAAGTACCACGACCTCACAGAAGAGCGGCGTGAGTTGGAAGTGTTACAACAAGTGAGTCTGCGTTTTCTCTGGTGAGCGAGTTAACCGGGACTCACTTTGTTAAAAAGTGGCAACGCATCTGCAACCCTACGGATGTTGCTAGTGTTATTTGACATCAGGTGAAAAGCCAACTCGCTTAGTTTATAGGGCAATAAAAACTTTACAGGCTAGCTTGCGTCTCTGTCCAGGTTCTACAAAAATAATACCATTTTTATTTGAAGAGCACTAAGTTAACACCTAATGATGTGGTATTTGTAAAAATTACTAACTACTAAATAGCTGAAACACGTGTAAAGATTATTGGTCCCCGCGTTCGTTCCCATGCTGTATATTTGATTGTCATGAAGTTTTGATAGGTTGTCAAAGATGGATTGATCATTCAAGTAGTACAGAAAACACGAAAAAATAAAGATGTAATGCAACGCACACTGGACATTAATACTTAACAAATAAGGTCACAGGAATATTTAGCAAATAAAAATCATAAAACATTCCTGGGCAACAACGCTCGGCGAAATCCAATTTTACACTCCGCTTGAAAGTTTGCCAGCGCGCCGTCCGTAGGTGTGTGCGTGTGCACCAGGCCGGCAGGAAAGATAAAACCGCTAAAAATAAACCGGACTTCATAAACAATACGTGCGTTTCGCGCCATCTCAGCGGCCCGCTATATTTTTTCGCCGTTTGGCAGGTTCCCGCCTATTATTAGGTAATGATTATCGCACAACATGTCTATGGGTTTAAGTTATCTATGTATGTATTGATAAATTTATCGATGTTTTACATTTATATTAGGTTTGCAACGACCTTGACATTAATAGATGAAAATAAACTAGCTTAAAATCATATAGCTTTTGATTCGTTATTATTTATTTTGAGAACCGATTATTTTTTTGCAATATATTTTACTTTCAAACTTAGAGACATACAGGTGTTCGTAAACAAGTTGTAAAATTGATCCTAATCGTTCCCATTTTACTACCGGTTTTTTACAAAACTTTTTTTAAGTTAATTACAATTTGTATTATAATCGATATTTAACATTTCTATATTACCCATAGTAATTATTTTATTTAGAACGTTAAAAGTGACACTTGAGAATCTTGCAAGAATTTAGAGCAAACAATTTACATACTGTGCATATGCGTGCCAAGACAGACATAGTCCCCAATTAGCTTAATTCATAGATGTTTTTGTTGTATTCTATCAGCAAAGTTATGAGTTTCTATTGGCAAAATGACATTACATTAATAACCTTTGATTTTTATTTTCGCAGATTAAATAACCTAACAACATGTCTGACGAGGAGGAATATTCGTAAGTATTAAGTTATAGAAAACACATCAGATATCAATTTTGTATTATAAAATCACTTCATAACATAAAATACGACAGTAATTACTGTATTAAGCTCAATCAGTCATATTAATATTGTATGAATGAACTAAATTTTTGTCTTGCAGTGGCTCCGAGGAGGAGGAAGTAGAAGAAGAAGTTCCGGAGACGTGAGTGTTGACGACAGCCCTAATCATAATTTCCCTTACGAAAAATCTAGTACTCTTAGACACCTACCGTTTGGTTTTGTTTACTACAGCTTCTCTGGGCCTGGTATCTCTGCCTCGGCTAGTCTGTCATCTTTTGTTTTGTAAATCTATCTAGTGTACAGCAAAGCACCCCGAACTCATTCCCCGTTGTGGGACGCGGCTGGCCGATGGTTCCGCGTCCCGTATTTCCTCTACTGTTGCACGCCCTCACCGAACTCCTTCTCTCTTTTGTTGCAGGAAGTAAGTGACGTGCCCTTTTGGTTGATCCAGCACTAGCTCTAGCACCGCTCATTAGGCTAAGTCTAGACGCCGTATTAACGCTTTTAGTGCTTAAGTCGCCGCCTCCGTTGCTTACCGACGCACAACACACGGTAGGAGCCCGCAAGGCGTAAGCTTAAGAACGCACGAATGATACATTAAGACCAGTATCACAAGCGATTCAATAACACCGATCGCTGACTGAAGCTGCCGAGAGGCCACTCGGCGTTTTGGGGACATCCCCGCGAAGTTTTATTAACTGTCTTCGTTTGCCTTAACAAAGAAGTGCTTGGTGTAAATTGTCATTTCTTTGTCCACGAGGATTCAACTATTCTAATCTGTGATTTTTTTTCTCTTTCTCTCTTCACCCGGCGCTGTCACCGTGCTCTCCACGAAGGCCCGCTCCCAAACCAGAGTAAGTGTCCGGACAGTCGCAAAACTACGTTTTAGACCGCTTCGCTTTTAGTCATTGGATTCATTTGGATTAATGTCACACAATTGGATGTGGAAGTTGCGGTTGGCAGTATGAACTATCTCACACGCACCGGCCGAAGCAGCCATTTTCTTTTATTTTTATTTTACGATTCAAAATTCTTTCTTAATAAATCGCCACGATTGCTTGTAACGATCTATTTACGATGCGTATGCGTATGCAAAATAATCGCTCTCACCGCTTATCTCTCTTCTATCTATGAATTTTAAGTTACCTCCAGTAGCTATGCACCTGCAATCGACATTGTGCGATGCCCCATACCTTTGCGCTTCGGGCGCAAATGAAACGGACGTGTCGAATGTAGATAAGTGGCTACGCGTAGAGAAGTGTAGAGGCTGATTGTTATTTTCTGTTTCTAGGAGTAGACCGTCGATCGCGTAAGTTGCACCGCTCTTTGTGGTGTCACTAACTATTAAACAATCATTAACCGGCCGGGGCGCGGGCGCGCGCTTCCCGCGTTGCCGCCGCCATAGATCGGTCGCGGCCGACAGCTATTTCTGAACGCACTCGGCGCGTTCTATTTTCGAAATCGCGCCGCGCCCGCGCCGCTTCCGAGCAATATGTCGGTCAGCGGGGACCGCCCGAGCCCTTCCGCCATATACATCAATAATCGCATGATGGGAACAGCATGAACACAAAGCATGAGCGTCCCGTAATACAATAATTACCAACAATAAATATTACCGAGAGGTAAAAAACAACTATATTCAACTATAAACAACCATGTCCTCGCGTATAGCATATGCGAAGCGAAATTATTGGTAACATATACGTTACGCTAGTTGTAATCGCTTTGTTGGAGATTCACCTAATATTATGTGTAATGCAGACACTTAGTGATGTCACACTAGTTATTTATGTTATGTGTAAAATAATACAATCCGTCCGTTAATATAACAGATTATACAAAGTGTTAACTGTATCCATTCACCGTAATAAATCGTCGAGATTGAAGCTATATCTTTAACGAGACACGACCGACAGATGTTAAATATAGCTTAGCGATCGAGCAGATATCTCTTAATTGTCTATTAATATTCATTATAACAGATGCTATATTTGTATTGTTCGCCGACGTTGAGTCGACGCCTAACATTAACAGAAACGGTGTCACCGTACTTTGAATTATCATCGATTTCGTTTTGCAGGGGTGAGGGAGATCCAGAATTCATCAAGGTAAACATTTTATTTTAAAAACGAATATAAGTTACTACAAATACACTTACAGAGAATAATTATTTATTTGAAAATTTTAACAATGAAATCTCTGATTTGTCTTTAACACGTCTAATCCTAAATATCATATAAAAATACATAAAACGCATTCAAAGTTAGATAAGAGCGCAAAATGTTTTGAGATGGAGTCTCCGTAAAAAGGTCTCCGTATACACATTTGAATTACTCGCGTGGGTTGAAAACAATAAATGCAACAAGAACAATGTAGAAAAAACGTCGAGTATTCTGCACCGTGAGGATGTAGACCTCAGCTTAGTGGTTAAAGCATCTGGATCAGAAACCCGGTTGGCGTGTAGTTCGAATCCTGGTAGCGGTAAAAAGTTTTGCGACAGTTTTATCTACACATTTTTACTTTGCATCTTGGGTTGAGGAACTAAAAATTAATAATCACGTTGGTGTTTGCAGCGTCAAGACCAGAAGCGGTCGGACTTGGACGAACAGTTGAAGGAGTACATCAACGAATGGCGCAAACAGAGGGCCAAGGAGGAGGATGAGCTCAAACGCCTCAAAGAGAAGCAGGCCAAGCGCAAGGTTTGTTTGCTTGTTTATTTATATAGAAAAAGTTGTCTAGCGAGCAAGCGTTTATGTGTTCACCTGGTTTTAAGTGAATACCGCTGCCCGTGGATATCAACAATAACAAGGATATATAAGAAGGTTGTGTTGACAAACTTTGATGAAAAGCAAAGTATAATACTTCCCGAGCCTGCCCATTCGTGTAACACCTGAAGAAATTTTGTTACAGTTATTTTAGCAAATACAGGGCAAATGACAAAGCGCAGCAGTTTTGGTAAACCATTACAGATATACCAACCGCCCACGTAACGTTTGCCTGAGATTGATGATGCGCCTCTTGGGGCATACCAAATACAAAGAATAAATAGTTCCACTTCACGCCGGCCTTCTGTGATGGTATTAAAATCATACACAATTTTCTTAATAAACGCCATCGCTTATGCTATTAACTTTTGTCAAGTTTCTCTAACCGTATTGCTCCTTCAGGTTTCTCGCGCCGAAGAAGAGAAGCGCCTCGCCCAGAAGAAGAAGGAGGAGGAAGAAAGGAGGGTGCGCGAGATTGAGGAGAAGAAACAGCGCGACATCGAGGAGAAGAGGCAGCGGCTCGAGGAGGCCGAGAAGAAGCGCCAGGCTATGCTGCAGGCGATGAAGGAATCCAGCAAGACCGGCCCCAACTTCACCATTCAAAAGAAGAGCGATAACGTAAGGAAATCCTTACTTCCTTACTAATATTATAAACGCGAATTTTATTTACTTTTTCACGCAAAAAGTATTAAATGGATTTTATTGAAACTTTACAATAATATAGCTTATACATCAGAACAATACAAAGGCTATAATTTATAAAGACATTGTGTGAATTCTCCAAAACATAACGATAAGTGTCAAGTAGGTAGGAAAAAATTCTGCCATCTACGAGCTAATTTGGTGTATAATAAACAAGTCATTGTTAATTCCCTTTGACCGCGAGAGCGAAGCCGCGGTTAACAGTTAGTCTTCTATATTTTCAAAGTTGCAAAGTTGAAAGTAAACATAGAGGGAGAGAAAATTTAACACGTTCTTCTGAAAACGGTTGAACCCAATTCATTTGATTTAATTACAGTTCGGACTGAGCAGCGCTCAACTGGAACGTAACAAGACCAAGGAGCAGTTGGAGGAGGAGAAGAAGATCTCCCTCTCCATCCGCATCAAGCCTTTGAACATCGAGGGCCTGTCCGTCGACAAGCTTAGACAGAAGGCCACCGAGCTCTGGGAGTGCATAGTCAAGCTCGAAACCGAGAAGTACGACCTGGAAGAGAGGCAGAAAAGACAGGACTACGACGTGAGTAACTCTCCTAAAAGTGAACTAAAAAACTCAGTGGAAGTTAGATTATTTCCCCTCACTACAAACTATACCAATACGCTTTCTGCCCGCAGTTAAAAGAGCTCAAAGAAAGACAGAAGCAGCAGTTGAGGCACAAGGCCCTAAAGAAGGGTCTCGACCCTGAGGCGCTCACAGGCAAGCACCCGGTAAGTGGAATAGATCACTGGTATCAGAGTTTGGTAGTTTCGTTTACCAAACATTACAGATATTAACGTTTGTTCGTCGACCGTGTTTCAGCCCAAAATCCAGGTCGCATCCAAATATGAGCGACGCGTCGACACACGGTCCTATGACGACAAAAAGAAACTATTCGAGGGTGTAAGTATATAACTAGTATTCAATAAAAAGATCAGCATGATAAAAAGAACATACGCGAACATCAAAATTTGCGGAAACCGTTTTGGCAGAGTTGGGAAATTATATTATACCATCAAATTTAGAATCATATCAAAGACGAGTACAATTGATTGAATGATCTTCAATTGTATATGTTGTCTTTAAGTAAAGTAAATGTTATATGAACATGCCAGACCAAATCAAAGTACTCAAAATTTCATTATTCTTAATAAGATCAAATTCAAACTATGGAACGAATTGAGTACCTTAAAATGCTATATCGATGTATTCAAACGCAGGGTTACAGTACTATAGTCGCGGAGGTATTGGATAAAATGTGGAAGGAGAAGATGGATCAGTGGGTGAACCGCAACAAAAGTAAGGGAGCGATGTTGTTTGACGGAACGTGGCTGCCCCAGCGGCATGATACAGCATGATGTTCATATCACACGCGCCTCCACGCCAGTGAAATCCCTACACAAGTGTCTTATCTCGAGCGATGCCTTATTAACATTACCCTGACTGGATCAAATTAACTTAGCGATCGCACGCACGCGAGAACTTCTTGAGATGTTACACTTATTTGTAACAATATGGAAATTAGTGAGTTAATTTGGCATTGAGTCGAGCCACATCCGGCCCCGTCCCATTTATGTCGAACACCCGTCGACGCATTTGTAATGACCCTCGTATTAACAATTCCCGTAGGACCTAGAGAAACTGAACAAGGACTTCCTTGAGAAGATCTGGCACGAAAGAGCCGAGCAGTTCGGCGGCAGGCAAAAGGGTAAGCAACATCTCCGCTCCCGCCGAGGCGTCGGCTTAGGGATGTCGAAAAAATATCGATATTTTTAATTTTATATATCGATATAATATAATCAATATTGAAAATCGTATCAAAAACGATATTTTTTCAAATTCGAATCCGGCACAGAGTCCATAGGGGCCAAATGTTTAATAATTGAGATACTTTTTTGGACACCGGGGGTTTTTCTAGTACCTAAAGAGAAAATATCGATATTTTTATAAATATTGACATATCGACAAATTTCTTCCTATTCGACATCCCTAGATCGGCTCTTAGTTCGTTGTGTGGAGGGTAGAAGTATTATTATTATTATTCTACCCTCCATAGTTCGTTGTACATAAACGTCACGTCCCCCTCATTATGTTTACCAGCGAAACGTAGAACCAGTCTCCCACTTACTTCCGTATATAAATACAATCGTTTCGACCTCTGTTTGTTACATTCATATCCCCGATTCAGTAACGCACATGTCTGTTTGTCTCTGTTATGTTAAATTTGTACAGACGAGAAATATTTCAGACTTTTTTAATTACATACACAGGTGAATATATGAAACTGCAACAGATTTAAATATCTTAAAAGAAATATTCAGGTTTTTAATTGTCTATTAAATAATTGATCAGTTTTTAATTTTTTATATACGATGACAGGGAATTTTAAACTGAATTTGTCGAGTTTTTTTTTTTAAATGCTTATTTACATAGATTAAAAAATATGCCACAAATCCATAAACTTTTAAATTAATATGATGACACCGTGGCGCAGTTGCCCAGGTAGTTTGCAGCATTGGCTTCGGCTCCGAGGGTTGTGGGTTCGATTCCAACACGGACAGCTATTTGTGTGACTCACGGATAATTGTTTCGGATCTGAGCGTTTACCCAATGTGAAATGTATGTAAGAAAACCCCCATACAACAGGAAAATGTTATTCTACCGTAAGGCCAATATTTGAATAAAAACACGAAGAAAAGTATTCCGTTCGTTATCTTTCTTTGAAAATTAATAATTTATTTTATTTTGGTAACGGTCGCATGATGATTGTCTGACATGGGAATCGATTAATGGGCGAATTGGCGGTGTGTGCGCAGCGAGACTGCCCAAGTGGTTCGGCGAGAGGCCCGGCAAGAAGAAGGGCGAGCCCGAATCCCCCGAAGGCGAGGAGGACGTGAAGGCCGAGCCGGAGGACGAGGAGCCCCAGTTCGAACCCGAGCCCGAGGAGGAGGAAGAGGAGGTAGTCGAAGAGGAAGAGGTGGAGGAAGAGGAGGAGGAGGAGGAAGAGGAGGAAGAGGAAGAGGAATAAGTGAGTTGTTCCACCATAGGCGACGTCGTTCTATTTTCAGGTTTTCATACCGTAAAATTATGACAGTAGTTTCGTTTACCACTGGGCCCACGCATCTTTGATCTGGGATACTTGTCGGTAACTTTGCAGAAGTTAAACGTCCACTAACAGTTTTCATAGTAAAAAATAAAGTAACATACAACTTCCACCGCTGGGCAAAGCTCCCTCTGTACAGAGGGAATTAGGGCACAGTAGAACACCCGACCTCGCTCCGAATTGGTAGAATGTGGAGTCTACCAATTCGGAGCGAATTCGGACCTTCGAGACATTTCTTTTCGTTATTACTCAGATGTTTACTTCACCGCCGAGCACGTGATACGTCGGCACTTAAAATAAACAATTTCATTGATGCCGGCATCGGGGATTGAACTCGATTTGTCGAGTATATTAAATTAAAAGCTAAAAATCTATTCGTTACTTCATTGCGTCGTTATTTCTTTTACGTTTCTTTGTAAGCAGGCTATATAATAAAACACAGGCTGAAGCACAAATTACTTCATTTTCCTACCTGTCGATATAAAGAACTGAAGACAAAAACTCTGTTAGTGAACATGTTCGTGAAAAAAAAGTGCTATGAGTGTTACGTACTATACCTATAAAGGTCAATATTCTGTCTATACGTAGGTTTGATTACTAGCGATAGGTATTTGACATTTACTCCATCATACTTAAGGCAAAATTATATCTCCGGTAACCAAATCTACATATAGATAAAACGTGTAGACGTATAACTAAGGGGCTAATGTCAAATACCTATCGCTAGTAACCAATCTACAGATAGATAGAACATCTGTAATTAAGTAAACGTGTCTATTATTGTTGAACTAAGGCCTTTGTCGTTTCCAGGTCAGGCGCCTGACACCAGCTGGCTCGAGCCGCCGACATGGACCGGACGCGTCGGACTGTACTGTTTTGTAACCAATCCATTAACTTATTGCTACTATAAATTATTTTTATTATTTATACTGTTGAGTCAATCGTTACGGAGCAAACGTTTACGCGCGCATACACGTCTAGTACACCTGTGACGTCGCAATAAACTAATTTATTTCATAGTGTCTTGTTTTTTTTTTCACCTACCCACTGTCTCTGGAAAGACTAGCGAAGAAAAATATGCAGCGAGTGAAGATTAGACAGAGAAAGAAGTGGTTTGTCATTTATATATACTCGACTCCTTAATATGTCTCGTAAGTGAGATATTCTGTTGCACGAATGGGCAGGTCCGTTCAGGGAAGTACCACGATCTCTCAGAAGACCGGCGTGAAGTGGAGTTACTTCTGCGTTTCGTCTAGTAAGTGAGGTAATCGGTCCCACTTTATTAAACGGTGGCAAGGCATCTATCTGCAACACCGTGGGCGGCGTATATAACTTAACGTCAGGTGAACCACCAGCTCGCTTGCCAACTTCTCACATAAGAAAAAATATATATTAGATGCCAAACCGTTCAGCCGCTTAGGAGTAAATGATTATTTAACATTAAATAATCGTGTAGTGCAGGAAGTAGAATTGTGCTTAGTGTCAGTCTGTGGGGAAGACTTATGTCCAGCAGTGGACTAAAACTGTATGAAATGATGAAGACCAAGGAGATTTTTTTAAGGGGAGAATAAAAGCCGAATACAATAAAAACCTGTTATAGGAAATTATTTATTGGTCTTCAGCCGAAGCAAACATTTTTATCGTCAAAATGGCGGATGTTGTGTATCTTAGCTGTCAAGACGTTAAGTAAAAAGTTGAACTTTACTAAAATCTAGAAAGTATGATTCTCATTATTACATCCCGAATATTAATATTATTTACCCTCAAAATATGGAACTCCTGTCAACTTGTAATAGTTTTATAAATTAGGGAATTCGCGATAATAGATTGAAGGAAAAATAAAACAAACGCAATTCAGTTTTAAAAGAAATACGTTCAAATTATATTATATAATTAGGTCTAAATAGCATACACTTAACGTTCTATAAATCGAAATTCAAACTCTATAGATAAACGGATTAAATTTTCATTCATCTTCCGCGTCGAAGGAATGTGACAGACGTCCGTCTCCGTCGAAGGTTGCGATTGAAGTGACGTTCGCATAGACGAGCTAAAAGATGGCGGCTGTTAGGCGGCGGGGGTGGGGGCGGCCTTTGGTGGCGACTTCTGCATCATGTTGATCTTGTCGCCCAAGCTTAGCGCCATGCCCTGTCGCAACACATTCCACTCGATTCAAATCGGATCGGAGAGAAGGATGTGTGTGTGTGTGTGTGTGTGTGTGTGTGTGTGTGTGTGTGTGTGTGTGTGTGTGTGCGTGTGTGCGAGCGTGCGTGCGTGCGTGTGTGTGTGTGTGTGTGTGTGTGTGTGTGTGCGTGTGTGCGAGCGTGCGTGCGTGCGTGTGTGTGTGTGTGTTAACGGGCGTACACACAAGTGTGCGCGCGATGTCTGTTTGCGGATATTTGTGCGCATTGTGCGAGTTAAATAGATACATGTAGATAGTTAATTCATGAGTGTATATGCAAATATAATAGCGTGCAAACGCTCTTGTGTAGCTTAACTGGTATGGCCTCGAATATATTATACGATTTTAATTCAGACCAGAGAAAGAAAATGTTAAACGGGAGCGAGTGGCGATTTATATTTGGTTGCAAATACACGTAAGGGTATTGAGAATGTCTGATAGCTAGCTCGATTCAGTATTTAAGCTGTCGGCTTCATTTTTAAGCTGTAGATCGTGCATTCCATATAACGCAGTGCTCACGTGGCGTGCGCGTGTAGTTAGTGTCTGCAACGTTTGCGTCGATGTCGCGTATATGGTGTGCGTGTGGGTGTGCGTGTGCGTGTGCGTGTGCGTGTGCGTGCTCGTGCGCGTGTGCGTGCGCACCTGCGTCTTGGCGCGGATGCGCACGTGTCCGACGACGGGCGCGGCGTGGCGGTGCGGCGGCGTCTCCACGCTCACGTTGGCCAGCGCGTCCTCGCCGAAGATGGAGCGCGCGTACAGGTTGGCGGCCAGGAAGCCGCACTGGCCCGACAGCGCCTGTTCACAACATGTTAACTACGGACAACCACCGCCCGTGGCCGCCCACTTATAACACTTCCACTCGTGCAAAAGAATAGTGTTGCGTGGCCCTACCACGGTTAATTCAAATTCATCGTCTTTATTCAATATGGAAGCGTTTGATTATTTTCAAAATACTGCTACTGCACTCCGAGAGAACAGGTCATCCGGTCATCGATACGACTGGCTTGCGAATTACAACGCTAGGGTGTTTTGATATAATTATATTATCCATTTTCTAAGAAAAATAAGTTATCTACAACATAAAAGTTTAACTTTTATCTATATATATTTATATACCTGCACGAAGGACCTATACATAATAACCGATATTTAGCAATTTTAATAAAACAATCCTGAAAATAGGTGAATATTACAATGAGGAATAAGGGATCTTTTCCTTTCATTTTAATATCACAAATCTTTTATAATCCGTATAAATACATTTCAATTTAAATGCAATAAATTAAAATAATAGAATACCTTATCAGGTGTCAAACATTTCATGTTGGTGGACGCCAACAGGTGGTCAAGGTATTCGCGTAAATCGGTGATATTCGTATTGACCGACACCTGAAAAAAACACACAAACATAACGGCAATTAATAATAGTGTATAATAAAGCGAATGAACCAACAATACAACGATGAGATGGCTGTCGTTATTACCACTAAATCTATATACGATATGAGCTCGCAAGTACGAAAATGAATATCACGACGTGTGCGTTAATATCGCAATCTCAACGTTGTCCTAAGAACAGTAAAAAGCTGACCGACCCATTTAAGTCGGTTAATATCATTAGCATTATCCATTCATATCTGATTAGAAATCCACTAAACTGTCAAACTTTAAGAGCCAGATGCATAGGAAGAGAATTATGTGCTTAAACAATAGACACGTCACACAGACCAATAATTAATCTGCTAAAACCTTGACCTTGTTTTTCCAATATTATTAATTTATTATGTAATCAAAATATTTCACAGACGTTTACTACCGTAATCTTTAACTAATACCACGTAACCTGAGGAAGACATGGACACGATTGACTCCTTGATCTTGCCCAATCCAAGGGAAAATTAAAATTTACGATCAGAGACCCCCCCCCCCCCCTCTATCATAATTATGTGTACACAGTGTCCCCTTCCAGTCGCCTCTCGGGGCAGGCAGGGGATACCTTAGTACCTTGACCAATCCACTTACTACATGGACGATCAGAGCCCCCCTCCTATCAAAGATGAACAAGGTGTCCCCTTCCAGCCGCTTGTCAGGACAGGCAGGTGATATCTAAGTACCTTGACCAATCCAACTGAAATGGACGGTTGGAGCCCCATTGTCCCCTTCCAGCCGCCTCTCGGTACCGGCAGGGGACAGCTCAACACCTCGACCCAACCCAGCCCCAGCCCCGCCCCCCGCACCTTGTTCTCCCACTCGAACTCGGCCCACATCTGCCTGAACTCGGCGTCGCCGCAGAGCGCCGGCTGGATGTAGTCCACGATGTCGATGTGGATGTCGTTGAGCACCACCACGCCGCGGTCCATCGACGCCCCGGACACCTCGTACACTGCAACGGGGGCGTGCTGAGCCCTGCGCCCAGCGCTGGGCGAAGGGCGAGCAGACGAAACGCGAGAGTATTTGTCATACTTCCACTTTACGCTGGTCTTCTGTGAGGTCGTGGTACTTACCCGGACGGACCTGCCCATTCGTGCAACAGCTGAGGCTGCTGCGTGGCCCTACCACTGTTAACCTTTCTACATTTACCCGACGAGCACGTGCTGAATCAGCGCTCAAGCGTAATCAATTCCTCATTTGTGTCGACACGGGATTTGATTAGTAGTTTGACTATATCGGAAGCGAGCACACAAAGCCATTAGCACCTAAACGGCTTGCTTACTTTTTTTTAGTTATCTATCTTAATGTATGAATACAAAAGGTGCAGGACGTAGTAACCTGGTGACTTATCACAATCAAGGCAAACAAGGCAAAATGACATCATTATAAGCAAAGATTACAAAACTATTAATAGCTAAACACTTTTGATTCACTCACAACATTCGACTAAGAATTTTAAACATTTTGTAAAAGCTAACCTAACGACAAATGCCCATTATTATGTCAAACATTGAAGACAAGGATGTGTGGAAATAACTCTTTCTCTGGACTTACAAGTCCTCTGGCTACTGCTGATTTTACATATAAAAGAAAAGATAAGAACGCACAGTTTCTTGCAGGTTCTTTTTTTAACAGGTCTAAAATTAAAATTGGGAATAAATTAATTTTGTGACGTGTTGGTGCGACAAGTAAGGGGGCATGCGCACCGATGTTGCCGAAGATGATGCCGTTCTCGGTGGAGGCCACCTTGACGTGGGCGCGGATGGCGGCGTAGTCCCGGGGCGCCAGCACCACGCCCGCCGGCCGCTCCACCAGCCGCAGCTCGCCCAGGGTGGCCAGCTCCACCGTGCAGTTCTGCAGCGTGTCGTCTGCGAAAATTAATACATATGAAAGAACATTAATCCTTCGTGGAGGGCGCCACTGTCCTCTGCAGACGCAGCACTCAACAAACCCTTTAGCTGTGGTAGGGCCACGTAACAGTTGAACTAATGGGCTGGACTTCTTACACTCGTACATTTCTTCTGATGAGTGAGGTAGCCGGAGCCCACTTTTTTATAAGGTGGCAACGCATCTGCAACCTTGTGGGTGTTGCGTATGTCCATGGGCGGCGGTTATCACTTAGCAGCTCGGTTACCACCTTGTTACACATAAAAAAATAAGGCGCAATAATAACGAGCCGCATCGGCAGGGGTCGGGCTCTGCAGGGTCCCGCCTCACCTGTCTGGTTGACGACGAGCACGTCCAGCACGATGTCGTACTGGTTGACGGTGACGATGGCCTCCGCGTACACGGGGTCCGAGAAGCCCGTCAGCTGCGTCACCTTGTTGGCCTTGCCGCGCCCCGCGCCGGCCCCGCCGCCGCTGCCCCGCCCTGCGACGCAACATTCCGTCCAATCGGTGTATGCTCACGTCCGATCGATGTATGCTCTCGTCCAATCGGCGAATGCTCACGTTCAATCGGTGTGCTCGCGTCCAATCGGTGCATACTGACGTCCAATCGGCGTATGCTAACGTCTAATGGGTGTACGCACATGTCCAATCGGTATATGTACCGAATAGTTTGGCGAGACGGGGTATCACCGCGATTTCATCCCACTCACGAAGGATCTCCGATAACATTTAGATACATACACCAATGATATTTTTAATAATAAAGATGACGTATGTCAAATAATGCGCGGCGTTTAAAAATTGATCCGCTTTACGTTATATGACATATGTAAGTGAATGTAACAGATGATGAGTGGCTTTAGGTTTTATGATGGGCGTTACGAAGCGCTCAAATTGAGATATCATTGACATACACCGATTGGACGCGAGTTCGGCCGTTTTATGATTTGGCGAGCACGCACCTTGCAGCGCCCTGGAGAGCGACAGCTCGAACATGTCGTGGTGGTGGGCGGTGGCGCCGGCGAGCGCCAGCTGCGGGAACGCGATGCCTGTCTCCACCTGCACGGCGCGGGGCGCCGCGGCCACCGGCTCCTGTCGTTTGTGGGGACGCGCGTTCGTATTACGAAATATAATATTTTAGCGTCTTGGAAATAGTACCAAAAATACACTGTGTGAAAAATATATTGTAGGTGCCGTCTCCCATTGACATTTCCCTCTCGCTCGCTCACCTGCGGGATGGGCAGCAGCGCGGCGGCGTTGCGCTCGGGCAGCGCCAGCAGCGCTTGCAGCGCGCACCGCGACTGCTGCAGCAGCGCCTCGTGCAGCGCTGCGGGCCGCTCGGCCGCTGCACGCACGCACGCCACCGCGTGCTCCACGTCGTCCGCCGTCAGCCCCGCCCCCGCGCCTGCGCACAGCCCCGCTCTTCATCGCGAATGTACTGTCGTCCCGCTCGCACGGGTGGAGACGGGCGATAGCGGGGCAACGCGCGAAATTCTTCCAACCCTCGCTTTCCCGTCGGTTATTAGTGATGTGGTAAAAGTTAAATGAAATAGCCATCGTAATTTAAAAAACGAGTAGGCCACCCCTGCGAAAGATTCTTAGAAGAGGGGAGGGGAGCGCTCGCCATTAGGGTTAGCACACAACCACCAACGATTATTACGATCAAGGTTGCCATCGCGATCGAAGTGTTGGCTACCCCTGGAAGAAGAGAGGGTCAACTCGCTGTTAGGGCTGGCACACAAACAGCGGGGAGTATTACCGACCGGGGTGCAGCTTGTGGTGGGCGAGCAGCGCGGCGGCGCGGTGCAGCGCCTTGGCGGCGGCGGCCCTGGGCAGGCGCAGCGCCAGCTTGGCCAGCGCGGAGCAGGCGCACGCCGCGGTGAAGCTCTCGCCGTCGCAGAGCGCCGCGCGGAGCCCCGCCCCCGCCCCTCCCGCACCGCCCTCCGCGCCCGCCGCTCTAGTGAAGAATGAGCGCTACTTTTTACGAAGAACTGGCTTTCAGTTCACGAGCTATCGACGCCCCCCGCACCGCCCTCCGGGCCCGTGTAACTTTAGAGAACGAGCGTGACTTTCGATGGGAGAAGGTGGCTTTCGAGACAAGCGTGACTTTATTTTGTAGAAAGTGGCTTTCGGGCTTGTAGAATAGGACTTAGATGTCCCCTCAGTACTATTCTACGCATTGACGTAGGAGGCGACTGGAAGGGGACGCTCAAGTGACGAGCGATCTGAGTGGGGGGCATTGATCGACCATTTTGGAGGCCTCCGTGGCAAAGTGGTTTATTGGTCGAGATCAACTTACGCTTTATCGGTACGCATCGTCGAGAGGGGCTTCGGGATGAAACCTGAAGCCCCTCTCTCTGCGCCACAAGACAGGCTGTCTTTTGTAGATGGTAAGTAACCACCATGCCCGTGAAAATTTACAACACACGTGATTGCAGTTGCGAATTTTATTTGAAAATCACACTCCAGCTTATACATAACCTATTGCATTTAATTCTCTTTTGCAATAATCAGCCTATCATCACTCAGCATTTCTTGTATCCACACAAAAATGGTAGACGTATCGTAGTAGCTAACGTAGTTTTAGATTTCACTAGCATCATCTTTTTCGCTGACTAGCATAAATAATTATGACGACTTCGATAAAAGCGATCACAATAATATGTCAAATTGACCGAAATGGAGAGAATGGCCTAATGTACCGAGCCGTACCTCCGTCGTTCCCAGCTAATACTTTGGGATACCTCAAGGAATACGCCTAGGTACAGAGTTCTTTCCGCACTGACAAGACAATTCCTCGTTACAATGAACATTTGCTTATACGAGGGCAAGTTAATTAATTAATATTCGAATACTTAAATTGTTTTTTCCTGCGAAGCACTTAAAATAATATTAATTGTATAATTTTTGTATATCTTGTCGGAAAATAAGTTTAAATATTTTGAAATGAACGAAAATAAAACTTACACGGGTAAGTTGAAAGCGGACTGCGATGCATAAGTTCCATCGCTTGTTACCAGCTGACGTGATGGAGCCTCTGACTTCTGGGTCAACGCATTACTCTCTTCCTCCTAGAAATGGAATAACCGGTTCTTACGTCTACATAATCTATAGTTATTAGGATATTTTATTAATATTAACACATTTCTTCAGTGATGTGATTAAATTCGTATAAAGAAGCTAACGGTCACGCACTGGCCATCGCATTGTAGGACCCCCATAGATGGAGTGAAGATCAGTGCAAAGGTTACTGTCACGCGAAGTCGATTGCAATGTGTAGGGAAGGCCTATGTTCAGCAGTGGACTCAAACAGGCTGAAATGATGATTATAATGATGAAAGAAGCGAATGCGGTGGCGCAGTTGTCAAAGTATTCTCTTCTACGGGGTTCGTCGTGGGTTCGATTCTACGGATCCGAGGGGTGTCAGACCGAGAGGCTGGCTACTCTGCGCCTGTGCTCAAGGCTAGTAAGGTTGGTTTTATCCAAGTTACGGTCACCAATAAGCCTTTCCGTACGTCTCTCCATTGAGTCCAAGGCAGTCAGATGGCATTTGGCAGCCCCAGCCCAGATGTTTGTTCTCAAGGAGGGATGAGGTCAGGCGGGCGTCCAGTTGTAAATACTTAGCCAACACCACTAACTAATTAATTAATTAAGATGAGGGCGGGTTTACAAAAAGAAGTCACTTCCTTCTTGTATTAACTGATGTTTTTGCTTTCAGCCCCGAGACTATTAAAGCTTCATCGAACGCAGAACCGGGGCTAGCTCGAACCCACGGGTAGAATTCACATTGAGTTGCGTTGAGAAACTCGTCAACATATTCAAGCGTTGTAAGTATATAAATATAAAAATAACGGCAAACGCGAAATAGTAGAACGATTCGTGTGTCGTGTATTGTATCACCTTGTTGGGTTCGTCGCCAGAGGGCGCGGGGATGACGGAGGCGAGCACCTCCAAGGCGGCCTGGGCCCTCTCCGGGCCGTCTGCGAACTCCGCCACCAGCCACAGGGCGGAGCGGGCGATCTTGCCCACGCGGATGTTGCTTATGCACTCTAGCAGCTTCTGCGGAGTGCAACCGTATTTGTTGAAATGAAAAATTACTATATTACAAAGAATAATGTAAATTTATAATTTTTTTTTTACAAGAAAAGAACTCCAACTATAGTTAAAAACCATCTGGATCACGTCAGCTTTCAAAAAGAAACCGCACCATAATTAGGTCCATCCGTTTAGAAGCTAAGACATGTCAAACTTATAACTTACAACAGCCCTCTTTTTACGTGTGGGGTTAAAAAAGAGGCATTGAGGATAGTGGTCAATCGAGATCGATTTCTGGAATAAAATCCCAGAAACCGTTCAAAATACTACATATATGCAATAGCTAAATTAAATAATATGTAAAAGAACGATTCATGTCACACAACGTAAAACATATTCAAGCTGTCAAAAAAATTATAAAAAAATGTCCCGCTGTGTTTCTTTCGCCGGTTCTTCTTAGGTCACTGGCTTTTCTCTTCCGAACCAGTGTTTGGGTTTTGACTGTCGATAAGTGTGTGTAATGCACCATACACAGACATAACAACGTGCACATACGTCACAAGAGTCGCTTGCCGCAATTCAAGGGCGGAAGCGAATTTCAATTCGAGGGTCGGTGTACCGACCTGGTAGATGAGGTCCCTGAGGTCCGGGAAGGTGTGCAGGGCGCTGCGCAGGAACAGCATGACGTCGTGCGCGGCCGGCTCCGCCCCGTCGCCCACCATCTCCAGCAGGGCGGGGCACACGCTGCCCGCCACCTCGGGGAACTGTGCCGACACCTCTTTTTACGTGATCTCTCCTGATAAACTACTAACCTCCTGATAAGTTTTCAAGAGAAATACATGAAGTTTTTCGCCGCCGCGGGAACAGAGCCCTCGTCTTCCGGACTCGCGTCCAGAAGACGTTGGTTCGATTCCCATCCATTAATTTTCGCTCATTTTTTGGTGAGATGTATAAAATAACCTACTATGTACATTTTATAAATTCGGTGCGGCAATCAGCGATTTAGCTTAGTGGTTAAAGCATCCGGGGGTAAATCTCTAACACGTGGGTTCGATTCCCATAGAAGTGAGCAACTTTTTGTACTTTTTTATACACATTTTAATTTTTTTTAATCCACAATAGAGGGCGCGCGTGATACCTCGAGAAGAGCTTTAATCCGCAATAGAGGGCGCGCCTGATACCTTGAGGGGAGATTTGGCCCGCCGTAGGGGGCGCGTGTGATACCTCAGGGAGAGCTTTATTTCGCAATAGAGGGCGCGTGAGATACCTCAAGGAGAGCTTTATTTCGCAATAGAGGGCGCGTGAGATACCTCAAGGAGAGATTTATTTCGCAATAGAGGGCGCGTGAGATACCTCAAGGAGAGCTTTATTTCGCAATAGAGGGCGCGTGAGATACCTCAAGGAGAGCTTCGGGCCCAGCAGAGGCGCCGGCGTTACCTTGAGCGCGGCGCGGTGCATCGCGCGCACGAGCAGCTGCCTGTACTTGGCGGCGTCGTCGTGGTCCGCGTGGTGGGCGCGCGCCGCCTCCTTGCGCAGCACCGCCACCAGCTCCTCGGCGTGGCGCGGCCCCACCAGGTCCAGGGCTGCGGCGGAGGCGCCCATTAGCTAGGTACCGCCGTGTGGTGTCTTAGTGGTCGCTTAGCTCACCCAGCTGCAGCGTGTGGCGGCGCACGTCCAGGTCGGAGGCGGCGAGCACCCTGAGCACGTCCATGGCGAGGTCGGGCAAAGCGCGAGCGGCCGCCTCCCCGCCCTCGGCGCGCAACGCGCTCAGCCGCCCCACCACGATCAGCTTCACGTTGTTGTCGCTCTCTTTCACGATCAGGTCGATGTAGCACGCCGCCGCCGCCTATTCATTGTCAGTACATTATTCATCACTGTCACGGGTTCGTTCTACATTTTGTAAGCCCACCCCACATCTTTGTGTTTGGTACAAATGATTGTACCAAGAATTGAAATAGAGTTCAATAGCATACAAGTCCGGTCTAAGATAATATTTGTTCATTTAAACTTTATGCACATACCGGTATAAAGGTGAGATAGGTGCACGATTAGAATGTGTAGAACGATACAAGGTCAAGTGATACTAAAATGTTGCATTGGTGGACCAAACATTCTTTAGCCTTGTACATGTTAAAGTGAATTAATAACGTCCGTACAGAGTGTGCGCCATGTTTAGTTGCTTCATAAACATAGTGCATAATCATCAAAATGTAATTTTTTTATGGAAATAAATTATTATTGTATTCGCACATCATCATCATCAGCCGCAAGACGTCCACTGCGAAACATACGCCTCCCCCTTAGAACGCTACAACGAACGACACTTAGCCTTTCGCATCCAACGGTTGCCCGCGACTCTTGCGGTACATTACTCTCCTCTCTTAGTGCATAAGCTTTCTTCTTAAAATAGCATAAAGTTACTCATACGAAAATACCTAGTAGAGACCTAGTCGCTACTACAAAACCACAATTAAAAGGACCTTAATGGCTGCCGGTGCGTTGGATAGCGTGACAAGTGTTCCAGCCGCCTCGTAGCGAACGGCTGCGCTCGGGGCGTTCAGCAGGCCGTACACGGTGCGGATGAAACGGGAACGCTCCGAGGGATTCGCGTGGCACACCTGTTGAAGGGGCACAGTAAAGTAATGGGCTGAGGATCATACCTAGAGGAACACCTGAAAGCAAGCCCTAAAAAGAGCCATAGTACCCCTCGGAGAAAACAAAGGCGCCATAGCTATATTCTATCTTATAAACTACCTACTAGGATCATCACATTAAAGTTATGGAAAGAGGACTTCGTAAAATCAGTTAAAAGTGGTTTCAGTGATAAAGAAAGAATCAATGCCTTTAAGCTAATAATTTTAACTAACCTTATAAATAAGTTCCACAATGACCAGTTGCAAGATATCACCAAAGCCATGGACATTGTCTAATCTTGACGAGAGATATGACAGGGCTTTCTCTTGGTCGGCATGCAACAACATCAGAAATGCATTTCTTTTACAGGACATGTCCTGCTCACCTTCAAGGAAGTTTGCTATCAACTCTGGTGCATCGGGAATAAGGAATTCAAAGTTCCTGTAAAACAAACAGAAATTAGTTGAAACTACATAAACATTAAAACAAAACTTAATTAACTGATAGCAGAAAAAAATACCTATAAATGGTAAAAATGGCAAGCACTGCATTTCTTCGTACATATGAATGACGATGTTCCAAGCAAGCTCTGATGGCTGGCATCAGAGGCTCCAGTAGATCAGGCTCTTTGAGCTTGCACAAAAATCTCAGTGTTGATCCCCTAATAAACTCATTAGGATGTTGCAAGTCCTGAAAGTAGAAAAATTAAACATACAAATTTTAAATATTACTATATATTGAGATAGTTTGAAGTTCAAAGGGGTCTGCCCCTTAGGGGTTATATAAGAATTCATTATATCATTGTGACAACTCTTTCAATATGTCAAGTATAAACATAACAATTGGTACCCGCCAGATAACACTACACACACAGTTAGTGCAACAACAAACACCATAGTTCGTCCTCGCCTTCGAAACCAACATCCGCGCGTTCCAGAGCGGTTCTCACCACTCTACCGACCGACTATCCAAACACAGTCAGCGGCTGTCGGGGTCACGGCCTGCACCGAACCTCGATAGCCCATAGGCCACACACCTTAGCTAACTCACGCTCATGCGTGGTCCTAACAACTGTGGAGGGCCTCAAACACATGGGTTCTATATAGCCCACCAGTTCTGCCTTCGATGAAGCTTTAATAGTCTCAGGACTGAAAGCGTTATCATCAGTTAAAAAAATTTATGCATGTATGCATTTCCTATGTACTAATTGACTGGGATAATTTTGATAGAAAACTTCAGATTAGTCTAGCAGATTAGGCAATCAGATGAATGGATAAATGGATATATAATTATTTAAAATAATAAGTGCTGCCTATGCAAAGCACGGGTGAGTCACTAGTAACAAAATAATTATAGACTTCAAAATTATTTAGTTAATAAGTTATAAACACTGAAACATTTAAAATTAAAAGCAAAAAGATAATGATCAGATGTCAGCCATAAACTACTGTTTAACTAAGATTTATAAAAAACTTTTAACTTACCTTCCTGTAGGCATCACAAACAAGAATCATTTCTTGTAACAGTTTGCCATCTGGTGTGGTTTTGGGGACAATCTCCCAGAAAATGAGTAAGAGTTTCTTGATAGTATGATCTTGAAGAGGCAGGACAAACCTGATGATTATCATCAGAAGCCCAGGAATCTTTTCGCCAGATAAGATAATACTGATTGTTTTCTTGAGTGCTTCAATCTTCTTCTTGGTGTCACCTTTTTCTGTTGGATTTGAAAAAAAAACATGAAACATTTTTTATATCATTTATTATATTATAAATTAGATAACAAAGCCCATGATGTTAGTCCATGATGTTGTCCGCGGAAATTGTGATAGCTTGGCTTATTTGCATGATATAATTATAATTTATGTAACAAAACATTCTCTGAAAAACACTTCATCTTATGGTGCAAGTATTATTCCATACAGTTCAGTAGTTTTCGCAGTATAACTTGTTAACATCCAACTAGGATTCAAATGCTCAAATTCAGATAGTGGTTTAACTTTACAAGTTAAAGATTTAAACTTACCAAGGTCTAGTTTGAGCTGCATGTCATTGTGAGGCTCGGCATCCGTTGGGAAATTAATCAAGGTATAACAAGGTTGTTCAATCCCTGCCATTTTTCTGGAATTGTATATTAAGGTATCATCTAGATTGTCCACTTTCACCTTTCACCGATAAATAATGACAGTTTCCACTAAACAGTAGCAATTTTTGTAAAAACCAATGTCTATTTAAGATGCTGTTATAGCAATGTTAAAACCAATGCTGCTGAGACTATGAAAAAGCAACAATACAAAAAATATAATCAATACGCCACATTCTTATCATCTCATCGCCTCCAAACACAGAGAAAACGTATACGTATATTATGTTTATTAAATATGTAACAAAGTGTTAAGATGTGCCATTACACTTTAAGATTGATTATAAGAATGAAAATAAGCCGGTTAAATACTCACAAGATTTTATGAACAATAAAAACAATTTTTATTTACTAATTATATCCTATCATAAGGTTAAATTAAAAACTAACAAATGGATAAAATTGTTAGTTACCGTGGTTGATATCAAAGATCGTGCCAAAAAAACCTTTACCTTATCACTTTAACTAAAATTATATATTAAAAAAGTTAAAATGAAGATATGGTATATAATAACTAATATTTCTAATCAACAATTTAAAATAAATCAAATTGATTAATACGTGTCCACATTTTACACATCAAAAACAATTTGACAGAAATGGACTGATCACTGACGTCAGACGTAACATTTAACAAAGTTTACGGTATGTTCACGAAATATTTAATGTAAACATTCCAAATTTTTTGTACTGTGTAATATTTGATATTTCCATAAAATATAATTTTATAGTTATGTTTCACATGGAATGCATAATTTAAGATTACAAAAAATATTGAGAAGGAATGAGGTTTTATTTTGTTTCGCTGTTATCTCGGCGGCTTTAACAATTTTATCGGAACTTGGAATCGGCTCGCAGTCGACTCATGGACTTAGGAGTGCAACGTAACTGGTGCACAACGACAACACGATGACGCCATCCCCTGCACTGCATCACCGTGCTGACGTGCCCCTTTGTTAGAAAATCCTCAATAAGAGGGTACCATCTTTTCCTGCTTATAGCCGGTCTCAATATTCTATTTACAAATAGATTTGGTTACTAATATATTATCACCAATATACAAAAATTTTGACGTAAGTATTATGGAGATAATTTCAAATACTAGTTAAATCTATCTGTAGATTGAACGTTGAAACCAGCTCTTAGCACGAAAGAAACCAGCAAAGAAAGTATGCAGGATACTTTTTTGATCTCTCTTAGTCCTTTGTTCTCGTCTGTCCGATTCGAATCGAAAGTGACTGCATTTTCTCTCGCAATAGCCCTATAAGTTTCTCCGGGAGTTCGAAGCGGCGATCATGCGCTACTACACTCCGCTCCAAAGATTCTCCGATGACTGTTTGAAGATCGGGAGATTTCCTTAAAAGTACTCTCGGGTTAACCCTATCCTATCTGGGATTTATGATAGTATGAAGAGCTCTCTCTGCGTGACAGAGTTCTTAATGCAGATATCCGCAGTATATCTCCCTGATATTGTTTGTCAATCCACGGCAGTATAGGACAATCGATAGGCAGTATATCATCGATACGAGGATAGAGTATCTATCTGTGCACATATGTGGAAAGTACATGGATGCAGTTGATTTAGGATCATAATTCGTGGTATTCTTCTTTATAGAAGTGTAGGTGGATAAAGATTTTATTTGTTCGCGATGCAATTTTGCGTTTCACATGAGCACGAGAATCAGTTTAAGCGGATACAAGTGTTTCGTGTGTGAATGATCGAAACAGTCACTTGCGTATTTCATAATGGGAGGTATACAGCGTGTCTTTACAATGGCGATAATAAATGAACACACATATAGAGGATAATTTTTTAAAATTGTATTAAAGATTTACATTCTTTAAACATCAATATTTACCGAGTTATGAATTTTTCCAAAACAAAGAATTTTAGAACACCTTACGTATAAAACTATAACGTAAAGTTCATTTCTAAAGGTCACAAAGTATATGAATGGGTTGAATGAATTTAAAAAAGACAAAACATACTGTTAGAAGGAGAGGCTTGTAATACGACGCTGTGGCCTCGAGTTGTATAGGATGTTACAAATTTGGTTTCTTTAACTTAATTAGTTTGTTTGAAAAAAAAATTTTTAATTATGGATTTTGTTTAACGTTAATATTTTTTATGATTATTGGCAAGTAGTGTTAGACGTGTGTTCATTTATTGTCGCGATAGTAACGACACGCTGTATACAGCGTATCGCTACTAAAGCGACTATAAAGCAATACACATTTAGAGGATAAGTTATTATTTATTTTTTACATTCAATTATTGTGTTTTGTCTATGTATTCATGTATCAATTATTTACATTCTTTAAACATCAATATTTACCGAGTTATTGAATTTTACATTACAAACAATTTTAGAACATCCTTACGTATAAAACAGATAGCTAGTCAGAAAGACGACTCGATGAGATAGCTATGTTGTCATGCCCCTTCCACCTGTAATAACACAGGAGGACAAGTGGGGAACTATATTCACTGGTCGAGGAACTAGGAACAAACATTCCAACATTCAAAGATCAGCTTACCTACAAACGATGGTGGACAAAATACATTCCACGGAAAGCCAAGGAAAATATCAAAATTTTACGCTACACAAAGTCTCAAATTCAAACAGCATATACAAACAGTACAGTAGCCAATCAGACGAAATATATAATGTCTTGCCTAGCACCCGTTACACGAACGTCGAATAAATGACACTAACATGCAGTTGATGAATGCAAAACATGAATCGGTTCTCAGTTGCCTGTTGCGAGTATCTGTTCCCCTTAAATCTCTATTTTTAATAAAACTTACGTCAATGTGACTTGTCATTTGTTACCAAAGACTTATGTGTATGTAACCTTAGTTTGATACTTTTTCGTGACGTTCGTGTGACGTCATCAGCCCATACAATAAACCTGCGGAAGACAATTTTAAAAACGTAAAATAATAACTGTTTGCGTAACAATCCTTTCGTTTTGAGTGTTTTTAAATGTTAATAATGAACTGTTTTTACAATTACTAGGAATATTTTAATACAATATATAATATATAAGACAATTTTAATTATGAAAACCGGCACGATTTTTAAGTGTTCATTTTATCACCCGAAATAATATTCTTTTAGACTTTGGATTCATATAATTTGATGTAATCATGAAAGAAATATTCATGAGGATTATTTCAATGTATAATACTAGGATCTTTGCTTGCTAATCTACCGGTAGGACACCATAGAGTACTACGGAAAATACTCAAAATCAGATTTGTTTCTTTGTGCTATCAGTTCAGTTTGTCAATTGTCAGTTGTCAGTTGTCACTGTCACTCTATGTACTCAGTCCTGCAAGCTAGAAAGAAATGGATACAATTAAGTTGTGTTGAGGCACACAGGAATTGGTTTTTAGTATATTGATAACGATTTAGATAACTGGGAGAGGGCAGAGTAAAGCCTCAAGCTGAACATAATATGTGAGCAGTTAAATCTTGTTATTAGTAAGAGAGTTTTTGGAGAGTTTGAATAGACACAAAAGATCCTCACGATGGATATTTTAATAACGTTATTCTACCTGCTGTTTTCGATTAGCATTGTTATTCCACCCACGGAATTTGTAGCCGCTGGATTCACTATTCCGCAAATATTCGAGGGCTTCTTGGGATCAGAGAATGTGAACTTTATAGGATATCACATGAAAAGGATCACCATCACGGCATTCGTACATTGCTCCCTGCCCCTCGGATATGTGTTCAGCCTTTGGCTAGGCGGTGTACGAGGGCCGTGGATGTTCTCGTCGGCAGTGGCCACAGCCATGATACCAATGCTAATGTGCTACAAGATCATTTCTTGGTGGGAGTATGAAAAAAGCAAACATCCTGTTGTGAAACCAATGATATGTTACGCTCCCCCAGGCAGCGACTGGCGTGTAGTTGCTAATGATATCAACATTGCTTATCGAAGGTAAGTTATTAGGTACATTATTAATTTTTTTTTGATACATAATCTTTTTTTAGTCTCAAATCAAGGTTTTATAAATTTGCTGTGTTAGTTATATGTAGAAATCCAATGCTAAAAGGATTAGTTATGAAAATTATCATTGAAATTATCATGAAAATTGATAAAATCTGTTAAATAGTTTTATTTATCTTTCTATAGTATTCATATTATTTATATTTGTATTGTTTATTTGTGTACTCCAAACTCAAAACTAGCCAATGGATAGCTATTTAGCAGGAAAGCACTTTTATATGCTACTAGCTGCTGCCTGCGACTACAACTGCGTAGAGGGGTAAAAATTTAGGGTTGTATGTATTTTTGTATGCTGTATCATAAAAAAAGAAAAAAATTTATATAAAAAAAGAAAATTAGGGGTGGACTACCCTTAACATTTAGGGGGATGAAAAATAGATGTTGTCAGATTCTCCACCCTGGCCGATATGCACACAAAATTTCACGAAAATCGGTTGAGCCGTTTAGGAGGTTATATAGTCAATTACAAACACTGTGTCACAAGAATTTTATAAGTATTAGATTTATTCTGAAGTTCCAACGGAAACAAAAAAATTATCACCGGGAAGCATAGTTAGTTTCCGCTAGTCATATATAAACTGATTGAAACCTGTTTTAATAAAAACAGTTGAAAACAAGTAATATTTTTTTAACTAACTTTTCAATAGGAACATGTTATATGTTAATTAATTTTAACTTAAAGTTTAACATTATTAATATTTTATTATACATCTGTCAGATACCTTCTGTACCGAGGAGGCCTTTGCCCAGCAGTGGGACATTCATAGGCTGTTACTTTACTTTTACTTTTTTATACATCTGTGATAGTTAGTCACAACACATTTTATAAAATGTGTGGCTGTCATGTTTTGTTCACTGATTTGTAATGAAAGCAAGGTGTTTTGCGACTAAATTATTTCACATTTATTTTGGAAATGAAAATGAACAATGAAATATACACATACATGTATATGAAATATACACATAATATATGAAAATGAAAAATGAAATATGTACATTATTTTCCAAAATCTTAATCAATATTTAGAAGTTGAATTTCTCCTTGCAGTGTTGACAAAGTGTGCCTTCCACTTACCACTACTTCAAAGTTCGTGGCAACAGATACTTGGCTCATCAGGGTCACACAGTACGGAATAAATATCATTAAACAGTGTGACTGCTCATTGGTTGCTACCGCTGTAAGTTTTTAGAAACCACTATAAACATGCATCACAAAATTATGTTAGGGTTATTGCTATATTCAAATACATATAAATAAGCTGAAGTGGTGATGGGCTGTGGCCATATAAGTCATAGAACTAATAATGAATAAAACATATGAGGTATTATATAATAGTTAAATTCAATGTTAAGGAATAAAAATTAAATAATGGTAAATTAAATAGTAGTACTAGTTAATTCATATTACAGCGATTAACAATGATTGCTGCAAGGTCAAAATCTATCATAAAGTAAACATTAAACTTTCTTTATTTATAAAAGTCCCTTACAGCAGCATTTTTTTAGGTGAGAAGTTGACAAGCAAGTTGGAGGTTTATCTTATGTTAAGTGATAACCGCGGCCTATTTACGTGTGCAACAGCTGTAGGGTTAAAAACACTTTTTAATAAAATGGGCCCCTTCGACCTCATTCACCAAACTCGTAGATCCACGTGGCAAATGCATATCCAAAACAATTATCTGTGAGACACACAAATAGTTGTCTCGTGTGGGAATCCAATCCACAACCCCCAGCGCCGAAGCCGGTACCTTGGCAACTGCGACACTGAGTCATGAAATTGTAAACCTTGTTGAACATCCGCCGTCATTTACAGACGAATTAATTCAGTTAATTTGGTATTAATGCTTAGTAAAGGCAAAGCTGGTCTTTCCTTTTCTTATTGATGCTAAAATATCATTTCTAGCCTGCACGTCATAGGGGGTGGTGATTGAAACACTTTATACTGCAAGCAAGGGTTTTGGAATATATAATACAATATTCTCTGTCGATCGGTATGGGAATCACCTTTTCTGCAACCCGCCTTGGTGGCCTGTTTTCACCTGTTTTGCCAATCACGCGGAGAGGGTTGCTTGCTGGTCTGTTTCCAACGAGCATGTACACTTCGCATGTTTTCATTCGTAGACCGACGTCCACGACATCAGTATGCACGGGGACGATGAGGTGCAGTATGTCAACATCAAAGTGATACCGTCCCGTGCGGACATACAGCCCTTCGAGGTCAGGATGACCACGAACGCCCTGCGCGAGCTCCAACAGAAGCTGGCGAGGCCGGTGCATGTCCCCAGCAACATACCGCTGCTGCCGTCCGTCGTGGAGAGGTTCGTGACCGTCTTCAGGCATCACGTCGAGCAGAATCCGACTTACTACGTCGATCAGGTGAGAGTCGGCCACCCACTGCATATACCTACGGAGTGCTTACAGACGTTGTGGCCTATGTAAACTGTCATAGGCATATAATAGTCTCGAGCAAAGTTTATCGTGGATTCATGTTGTAAACGCATTTTTATGATGGACTCGTAAATCATTAAGCAATGGCCTCGCGATCTAAAGTCTATATACCAGGGAGTGTAATGAATAGTCTGTTCACTTTGGTAAGCTCGATGCTTGGTTCACGTTATACCATTAGAATCCAGCGCTGGAATGTTACAGGAATAATGTAACACAGCACTGGAATGTACCCATTCCAGCGCGCAATCCAGTCCAGTGACTAGCCTGATGGTCTACTGTTTCATTCCAGCTCGCCCACTCCCTTGATACTGGAATACTGTAGACCGCTATTCCAGTACTGGATTTTGTCAGTTAATCTGTTAATCAATGACCAGGTTTTTTTTGGGAAAAAGCGGTTTTCTAACAATGAAGTTGACTGAAGACTACTCTACGGTTAGTTTCTTCTCTATATAGAGAACATGTGTATTTGTGGGATATAACATCGGAATTTCTTCCACTACATCTTTTACTTCTTGTAACAGTTGGAATTGAACAGTTTTAAAACAATTCTCGACCTCCTTTCTTCAAATAACTGTCATAGTTGTGTTACCAATTTGAACAGCTTTTGAAAGACTGGTTTAATATATACGATATAATCCATTCCAGCACTGGACTGGGAAAATGTGAACATTCCGATTGGTTGTAGTTTTAGAGCGGTTAGGTCATGTAGCAACTTCTGCTGTTGTAAGAATGGGCGGCCTCACAGTAGAGTAGAAGTGCTGTACTCTTTCGTTTCGTCTGGTTATTTAGGTAACCGAGGTCCAATTCTTTGAAAGCTGGTAACGCATCTTACACTCCAAAGGAGTTCTAGATGTCCATGGGCGGTGGTAATCATTTAAGGACGTACCAGGGAAGCGTCAGCTCGCTTACCAACTTCTCACATTAAAAAAACGCGTATGGTTCCCGTTCTCCCGTCCAGGAGTTGGAGCAGTGCATCGGCTGCATGCAGAACATCGCCGACGTGAAGATCGACAGGCGATGCATGCCTTTGCCGCCGCCAATGGACGCATTATCACCGCCGTCTTGCCAGCAGTGCAATTGCAGGTAATACTGAGCCTTTAGTTTTCGCTCTTACATGGGGCGTGTAAAACTGTTATCAGATGAACGGCAAGCTCCCTTGCCACCTTCTCACGTAAAATTGAGTGACGATCTGCGCAAATGTGCGGGAAGATAATGGGCGCAGATGGCCCATGATACTGCTTTGTGGCAGATACAGGAGGCCTATGTTCAACAGTGGTCCAAACAGGCTGAAATGATGATGGTTTTGGGTCGACTATTTTGATTGGTAGGACCGTGTGTCTCGACAGTCTGTTGGGGAGGTCTGTGCTCAACAGTTGACTTAAACAGGTTGAAATGACGATGATGATGAAAGACTTTGTGTCGACCCTTGTGATTGGTCCACATTTAACTGGCGTAGGGCCATGCAACAGTGTTCACTGTTGCACGAATGGGCAGGTCCGTCCGTGTAAGTACCACGACCTCACAGAAGACCGGCGTAAAGTAGAAGTGTTGCCTTTCAGCGTTTTGTCTGGTGAGTTAGGTAGCCGGGGTCCACTTTATTTAAAGGTGGCAACGCATCTGCCACTCTACGGCTATTGCAAATGTCCATGGGTGGCGGTTACCACTTACATCAGGTGAACCGCCAGCCCGTTTGCCACTTTTTCACATAAAAAAGGGGGCATATCGATGGTTTGTCTGCGAGTTTAACGGCCGCGGGGCGGTGGGGGTGCAGGGTGCTGTGGTGTTGCTCGTGCATGGCGCGCTGGTGGGCGGCGAGGATGGGGGGCGGGAGGGGGCCCGGGGAGGGGAGGGGCGCGTGGCTGGAGGCGCGCGGCTCGTGCCCAGTGTGCCGCGCGACCTTCTGCGTGCGCGACGTGTTGCCCGCTCGCAGGCGCGACTTTTAAAAATAAAACTAAAACTTAAATTTAAAAATAAAACTCGCTGCTTCCTCAAGATTTCCCAATCCGTTGAATTTACGGTGAAACTCGCGCAATACGATTTTCCTATCGTCTGCGCATCGAATTATGTTACCACTGGCTCTACACGCTTTGTGAAGATGTGATCAATCTCGTACGATTCTGCGTTACGAATTCTGTAATTATCTAGACAGTCGGGGGAGTAACACGAAACATTGAATAGGTTATTTTTAATATACTTGACACTCTATGCATGTCTTTGTTTATGGCATATTACTCCCCCTGCTACTTCTTTCGCTTGATGCGGTGAAGTTCCATCTGTTAATCGAACGTATAAACCCTAGTCTTTGTGGTACAATGATATTATTAAAACTACCACAATCGATCTTCTGTACTAATTATATGAGTATAAAGCAACAATATAAATAATTATTATGTCGGTGGTGAATATTTGTAGTAGTTGAGTAGCATTTAGAATGCCTAATCATATTGTTGTATTGTTGATGATATCTTGTCATAAAGCTGTTAGGAAATTATAGTAGCATTTGTTACGGCTATCTTATAATTTATAACAATGAAACGCTCCTAAACTACACAAAACTTTACAGGTAGGTAGGTACATGGAAGCTCGTACTTGTATTATATTAGTGAAAGTTTTTAGGTTATATTTAAGGTTTTATGATTATAAAGTAGTTTAAATTATCTGTGGCACGTTTTGCCCTTAAAATACTTTGAACGTATACTTAAGCTGAAATGCCCTGTTAACTTAAGTGTATATATTATATTTTTTCTATTTTTAATATCAAAGTTGCATGATTTTTTTTTTCATACTACTACCTCACCCTAGATCCGATTGTACAGACGCTTACCTCAGCCCTTCTTTCAAAAGACAGTTTCAATTTTATCTATAACTTTATTTTTTTTAATCCAACAAATTCGAGGTAAGCCGCCTAAAGTTATCAATAAAAGCGTTGATGATCTGTTACACGCAAACTAAAAAATAGATTGAGTTTATTTGCTGGATTCATTAAATTAATAATTTATTGTGGTTAATATCCTCCCATTGACATATTGCTACCGTTTATGTATAAATTTAGGGTGGTTAGTAAAACAAATAAATATATAATAACTGTTGACATTTTAATGGAATTTACCATGTGATCCAGGGTGAAGAGTTGTTCCAACCCTGCATGTCTATTAAAAAAATTGTATATTGTTGAATGACGAGTGATTGCTTAGGTTGTTGTACAGTAGGACAATATGTAGACTCGATAAGTTCCGTCTCTCATAGTCTGTGTCTTATCTTTTTGTATCTTGTGTTGTTTTTAATTAAATTGCCGTCTTTTATAAGAATTTACGTAAAAAGTTTTAAAATGTCCGAATTTTGTATTACTCTAAATATTATATGACCATATCGTATTGTATATTTTGAAATAAGTAATATACTTCGCAATATATTGTCGTCATAAATTAACTATGACAATTTTTTCTAAATATTTTTACAACATTAGTGATATAACTTTACCTATAACAATTGTGAAAAAAAAAACAAAGAAATCCTTTTGAATCTGTTTAAACAGCCAGCAAAAATATTATTTCGATTTTTATTTTATCTATGGTATTTATCGTCTTTTGACAATAGTAATGATACATATATTATGCGACTATTTTTAATGTGGTAGGTAAATTAAACTGTTGGCTACATTATTTAGTGTGGTAGGGCCACGCAGCAGACTCGCCGGTTACACTAATGGGCAGGCTCGTCGGGTAAGTACCACTACCTCAAAGAAGACCGGCGTGAAGTGGAAGTATAATACTTTCGCGTTTCGTCTGGTGAGTGGGGTGGCTGGAGCTCAATTTTCAAAATGTTTACGCATCTGCAAACCCTCGGGTGTAGCAGATGTCCATGGGCGGCGGTATTAACTTAACATCAGGTGAATCGCCTGCTCGCTTAAACAATTTTTAATATATTATACGACTCTGTGGTTGGTGTATTTACTTAGCCATTTGCTTCGGTGCCGTAATAAAACCCACAAAGGGTTTGGTTCTCACACGGGACAAGTATTTATGTGGACCACAGATAATTGTCGCTTCTGGGTGTGGGCAGTGCCGGATTGAAGAGTAGCAATTGCTACGGGCCCCGCGCCAAAGGGGGCCTCGCATGTTTAAATTTGGAGAGATACCAACCGAGTCTTAGGGTCAGTAAAGATCACATCCAGTCCGAAGGAGAGGCCATGGTAGAGCGTCTGAATCTTACACTACAGACGGTCTCTGAATGGGCCGATGCCAATCTTGTGAGATTCAACGCCTCCAAAACGCAGGCTTGTCTTTTTTCCGCAAAAAGGAGCCCCTTCACCTTGGCTCCTACTTTCCAGAATGTGTCCTTGGAGTATACCGACCGCCTTCAGTTGTTGGGAGTCGAAATATCCTCAAACCTCAACTATGGGAGTCTAAAGCCAGGGCAGTTGCAAGGAAGCTAGGCATCCTTGCAAAGGTGCGACGGTACTTCTCACCGGGGCAGCTCCTTACTCTTTACAAAGCTCAAGTCCGGTCGTGTGTGGAGTACTGCTGCCATGTCTAGGCTGGGGCTGCAAAATGCCACCTGGCTGCCCTTGACTCAATGGAGAGGCGTGCGAAAAGGCTCATTGGGACCGTGATTTGGTTAAAACCAATCTCACCAGTTTCGAGCACAGGCGTAGAGTAGCCAGCCTCTCGGTTATCTACAGGATGCATTTTGGAGAGTGTGCGTTGGAGCTGCACCATTTGATTCCTCCCGCCCCTTTCCATCATCGGACAACTAGGCGTTCGGCGGTGCTTCACCCTTTTGTTGTCGACATTCCACGCACAAGAACAAAGAGATTCGCATCGTCATTTATCATCCGTACGGCTAAGGAATGGAACAACCTGCCGGCGTCGGTCTTCCCATCCGATTATAACGTAGGCGTCTTCAAGGCAAGAGTGAATAGGCTGTTACTGAGTTAACGCGCTTACCATCCACGGCTGCATCGCCACTTACCATCAGGTGGGATGGCAGTCAAGCTCTAGTCAGTTCCATATAAAAAAAAAAAAAAAATTTGAACCTAATTATCTCTGTCTGAGTTTCAATTTTTTGAGTGAAACTAAATTATATAAATAAGGAGTATTGAATTGTTTTTTTTTTACCAATTTATACTTAATATATTAGATAGCAGATCAGGGGCTGTTTTAAAAGAATTTGCTACGGACTCCGCGCTGGCTTAATCCGGCACTGGGTGTGGGACAAGTATTTTTGTGACCCGCAGATAAATGCCGCTTCTGGGTGTTTGTTCCCAAAGCCGGTCGAAAAAGACCTGACTATCACGGAAGACCGGCAGGAAATGGAAATGTTACATACACATCTGTTTTTCATCTGGTGAGTAAGGTACCGAATCCACTTTACCAGAAGGTAGCTTGGACCTGCAACCCTACAGATGTTGCAAATGCGCAGAACCACAAGGTCGCTTGCTATCTTCTAACATAAAAAGAGACATTCTTCCATGACAAAGTATGTGTTAAAAATTCAACGAAACGCGGTGGAAGAGAAAAAACGTTTATTAATAAGAATATACACCTGTTTTCCATATCATATAGTAACTCGATCGTCTATAACAAAAAGAAAATTATTTCAATATCAATCTTTATAAACAGTATTGATAGTCTTGATGTATTGATGCCTAATTAGTTTTTAATATAGTAATGAATATAATTGTTACCGGCAAATATGTTGGTTATCCCTGTCACGTTGACAATTTTTAATTTAAAAATGTAGATGTAATTATTAGATCAATAAAGATTGTATATTCGTTTATTATAAAATAAAATATCATTTAAAAATTTACTTATCGCGGCTTTTAAAATGCAATTTCTGCGGATTATTAATTTTTTTATTGAAATTTCTTAAAAAGACTGACCAATAGATTCCTAATGTACGTTATATTTGTTCTTAATCTTTTTCAAAGTGTTAAAACTTTATTATAACCATAGCATTTACCGGTAATATTCACAATAACTTATTAATATGTCTGTTTGTTGTGATGATCTATGTCGTGAACTGAAAATATTGAATCTGTGCTCCTATCGTTTGTAACAATATAATTGTGCAATATATCAATAAACGTTAATAAGTGTTGAGAGTGTTTCATTATAAACGTAAAACCCTTAAACTACCTATTTTTTACTAGTTAAACTATGAGTGCCTTCTACAAAGTTACTTCAGTGTATGTTTCTTCGCGGTGCCGGCATTTCTGCAGATTTTCGCAAGGCTCTTGGAAGTTTGACAAATATAAGAAATATCAGTTCCAAGGCACTGAACAGTCCCACGCCCAGAAACATATTGAATACTCCACCTAAGGAGGCTGAAAAAATAATTTCGATGAATACTAATGTATAACTATCTACTATATCAATTTATGTAACGATTTAAAAATGTTTTCAGTTTAAATTACTAAAGAAAAATTGTTTATTCCAAACTGTATATAGTTGATGTCGCAGCAAACATAAATCTGGATCGAAAAACATATGAATCTTTATTTAAAAAAAATGTGGTAGGTCTTATACAATGAGGAGGAAACTCATGGAGGGTAGAGGGTAAAGAGAGCAATCTCTGTTTAAAACGTGTCCATTGTAAAACGTCAAATTGGTGGCGCTACGCACGTGGGCAGTGGTGGTGAATTAATAGTTACCATGGTTACTGGCTACTTAAATTCTACACCTTTGTGCGCGAGCGCCATTCTGATGTGTTTTAAACTGTCATTTGCTACTTACACCTAGAAATTTTTTTTTCAAAATAATTGCATATAAGATTTTTTCTCTTTAGTTCCTAGAAAACCCGTCGCGTCCAAAAAAAAGGTATGTCAAATATTAAATATGTAGTAAACAAAATATGTATTATATATTAAATATGTATAAGTAGGTGTCAAATACGGACTGTGCCGGATTCGAATTTGAAAAATGATGATTTTCGATATTGAATATTTTGTATCGGTATATCGGATCCAAATGTGCTAAAAATATCGATATTTTTTCGATATCCCTAGTCCATAGTTGCTACATTAGTCGGATTGACACATTACATTAGATTGTAGGGCGAGATGTTGCCTTATACTATCCTGTTTCGTGTACTGAGTAAAAGGGTACCGCCGTCTTATATATTGGAAAAAAAAATTGTTAACTGCAGTGTCTTATGAAAACTACTAATGTTTATTAATATTTTGAACGGAGCCGTTTTCGGCAATCTACGTACACAATAATGTGATCCATGTTTCGGTGGCATTGACGATGAATTTCTTGGAGTTGGCCAGTCTCACTTGCAGGTGCACTACAATCGCCATAGTTGCATTTAAACCGGAACTGGAAGTGTGGGAGTGTCATTAGACAACATGGTAAACAGTTCCCCCCCCCACCCCCCACCCCCTACCTTAACTAGATGCACTTTTGTAACGCTTTACCACGACTTTTCGACTCCAATACATTGGTTCTTTTATTTTATTAATTTATTAATCCTTTAGTGCATAAAAGTAAAAAGGCGGACTTAATGCCAAAGGCATTATCTCCCAGTCAACCTTAGGGTGGTACAGAGAAGATTAATTAGGTGCACAGAAAGATATAAAAAAAAAAGAAAAATTATACTGATACTTATGTTCTTTGTATATGACCAAAGAATTTAATACTTATAAAAGACCATAGTACATTATGTATAGACATTATGTACTTATAATAAAAATAGTTCATAATCTTAAAAAGATAAGGTTTTAATTTTTAAAGATAAGTTAATTGCAGATACAGAAGTTTTTGGAAGGTTATCTGAATTACTTACTAGATATTGTCGTAAGTATATTCGAAGGCATTTATAGGACTGAATTCCCAAGCTAGATCGGTGGTAACTTTTTTACACGACGGTAGGCAGTTGCAGCTTAAATTGTCTGAAATGGTAGATATCAGGTTACGCATGAGTTCCTTAGCCCTGCCTTCAACACGATAGTTATATTATATGCCTCCCCATATGACACGTAAGCAGTTCCCGATTAACCACGTAGCCACAGTAGCAATTGCTACGGGCCCCGCGCGAAAGCGGTCCCTAGTTTAACTAATGAAAAATTTCATCAAATAATTACGTAAAAAATTAAAATTATCAATGTATATTGTTACGAAGGTATAACTGGACCAGCTGTGGGTGCTATAAAATACCATATGGATCTAATAACACATATGGACATTGCAAAACACTTACCGTATTTGAACGTCCTCAAACAGTTGAGATTGGCAGCGGAACACGTGGGAAGCGATGGCGTCAAGTCAAAATCGTTCGTCTGCAACGGATCGGAGCATCCGCAATAGTTCTCCGCGCATTTTATCTGTCGCATAAATTACGTATCAAGTTCGGTCAACTATCTCTTTCTAATGTAAAGTGTCAATTATTGTTTGTTTATTTTTATAATGGCTTGCTTTGTGAGTTATCATAATTTCGAAGTGGTTAGCCATTACTACACGTAGGGGAATGACAGTCGTTTCGTTCGTCAGAAGTTTTAGTTAACTAAGCACGTCTTATAATGACATTCAGATTTGCCCGATGTTAGCTAAAACTTATCACTACAAATGTAATATGCTACTTAATATAATTTTATATCTTATATGCTTTAAAACAATAATCATAAACCTCTACCAAAGTCTTAAAGTTTTTCAGTTTGCGGAATGACGAGTTCGAAGGAACGTGACTCACGTCATTATAATGGGTAGATGTAGGTAAATATAAAGTTTAATCATTATTAAGTCTTTTAAAAGGCACCTTAAGCACACTTAATCCCACTTTATTACAATAACCTAGCTGTTCCGTACGATTTCATCATTTGCGGTGATAATAGGCTACATAAAGAAAAAGGAAAGGATATTGAAGTTGCCTGGGGTTGTTTGCACTAGGTGGGTAATATATAAAAATGCCATTCACACTATATTTTCCGATTATGGTTCCGAGTGATTTTTATCGGTTCCCAAAATAAAAAATCCCAAAAGAAAAATATTTTTATTTCTAATCTACACTTCTATCCTGCAAACTTAAAAATCTCGTATCAGTTTAAAAAACTAACCCCACGTAGAAAAAGAACCCTTAATAGACTGCGATCAAAATTATTTATTACCGATTAACTTACCTCACAGCCACTCTTCGTGTAGCGGTCGCGGTAAACACACCTGTTGTTGACCAAGCTCTCCACGTTACTGTCCTCTATGGAGGTGGATATCAGCGAGCCAAAGTAGTTGAAGCCAGGAGTTAAGGTAATAGGTTCCACCCAATCCTCGCCGGGATACCTAGTGAATAGCTGGAAGAAAATTTGGAGGTTTCTGTCGTGGTAGAAGAGTAATTAAGGTTGTAATGGACTAGCGCCTTCATTGCAAAAGCCTCCATCAGCACTTACCACCTGGCAAGAAGATCAGACGAGCCAGTTTCTGATTTAAAAAAAAAAACACGCGGCTACATCTTTCACCTCCGCTACGCAGATAGGCGAAGTATTTTTTATGTGAAAAATTGGCAAGCGAGCCAGCCGGTTCACCAGATGTTAAATGATCACCGCCTTCCATCGAAATTATTAGAGATATCGCAGATGCAAGACTTGAACTTGCCCAGCAAGCTGTTCAAATGGTGGGCCTCGGCTAACTTACTGGTGAGTGAGTTAGCCGAGTTCCACACGAAACGCAAGATAAAAAAAATGCATGGAAGTATTAAACACTTCCACTTCACGCCGATCTTCTGGAAAACGGTTGAACTCTCTGAAGCCTAGTAGATAGAAGCTGAAGGGCACCCATACATACAAGTAAGTGTCTCAGAGAAGATGCTATGACTTTTTAGGTAACGGGGTTAGACCTCTTATACTCATGGCTTAAAATAGCATAAAATATCATGGCATAAAATAGCAGCATATATTAAGTAAATAAATTGCAGAATGTGAAGAACTAGCAAAAGTGTACTACACGAATCATACTCCTCGAAATTCCAAGTTCAAATGTCGTTTAACGTTGTCATCTTGTCGTGTTTATTTTATAAAAAGAAAACACAAACAAAATTAACTTACCTCGCAACCATAGGCCTCCGTATCATTTGAGAGCTGCAAACTGACGTGAAGTCTTCTCAACATTGAAGTCTGAGACATTAGAGATGACGACAGCTCAATTCTAGTTTCATAAAAATGAGATCAGCATTAGGAATCGCTACTTTATGATATGGAAACTGACTGACCCGCTGGTCTGATCGTATTTTGTAAGCCGCATTCATCATCATCCAATAACTGAATCATAACTTCAACTTTAGCATTAGTAAGAAGTCATTAATAGTCTGTGGAACTGATACGGTTATCAGCAACGCTCGATAAGCTCTTTCAGTTAAGACAGCACCAATGTCGGCAGCATACTTGACGATTTATGATACATTTTACTTCAGGAGAATAATCTTTCGTCAGTTTATATAAAAACATTCACACTTCAGTTTCATCTTTCACTATCCTCCTGCCCTTATCCCACTTAGATGAGGTCGGCGCAACATATGAATCATGTTGTAAGCGGTTTTGGCTATTTTTTACAACCGCTTGCCTGACGCCAACTTGGGAAACAAACACCCAGATCCGGAACAGTTCTCTGTGAGTCACACAAATACTTATCCGGCGTGAGAATCGACCACGACCCCGACGCTAAGGCCAATAGCTTAGCACCAGCGCCACTGAGTCATCTTTAATTGGCGATATTGATCCCACACACAAGTGAAACTTGCTTACTGGTTAGGGCGCATAACACAGCAGACTCCCCACTGGGTCATCTCCTTATCGAAGATGTCGCTGGACGGCAGCGTCATGGACAGCCAGCGGCATTTCCGGATGATGACGCCACACGTTGGCATCAGCTTGAACAGGGCTTCCGGCAGCGTCAAGTTGTTTAGTGCAAGTGCCCGCTCCAGAACCAACACCTGACTATCCTTCAACGCCTTCCTTCGCAACACGAGACTCAGTATCGCCGGCAGCCTCGCTCTAATCTCTGTGTCAGTAACCCTGAAAATACCACTTGACAGGTCAAATAAAAGAAAATAAAATCAGATCCATATCCGATCCAGAGCCAAATGTCATAAAAGTCAATTTATCGTTTCGTTCGATAACTACACAAAAATAACCCGTAAATAGACCGTACGTTCCTACGTGGACTGGGCGCAAAAGACTTTAGCCTTGTCAAGAAATTAGGCTTATTATTATTATTAGCGAAAATGATTACAGTGCAGATAAAAAGTGACGCGTATCTGTATCAGCAACGGTCAACAGATGCGTTGGAAACCTTTTGAAAATTGGGCTCCGGCCACCTCACTCACCAGACGAAACGCGAAAGTATTTATCATACTTCCACTTTACGCTGGTCTTCTGTGAGGTCGTGGTATTTACCCGAACGGGATTGCCCATTCGTGCAACAGCGGAGGCTGCTGCCTCCGCAGCTGTAATAAAACTGTAATTAATGGCGCAAACATGAAACTCTTTGATTCTAGGTCTACAATGGTCTTTTTTATTTAATATCTTTTTTAATTGTTTTTATTTAACAGCCAGTTCTATATTTTAATTATGTACTGATTTTGTTTTGTTTTATTGTTTAATATTTAAACAATTAACTGTTTTCTTCTTATATTTTTTGTTACATTTCTATTATATATTATTTTATTTGTTGTGAGCGTCCTTTTTCGGTGAATTTTCTTCCTTCTTTTCAAAAGTTAGTATAATTACTATTCTGCGATAATAGCAGCTTCCGTGCTTGGCACCATGTGTGGGATAGATTTTTTAGATAACGGGTAATTTAGTCAGTATGTGTCTAAATTGTAAACATTATTTGTGTAAATTAGATTGAATGAGAAGTATTGGTCATTACTAACAATTCTCGCTGGAACAAGTGCGCGACGTGGCGCGCCGATTGGCAGAAGGCGATGTTGGACAGGCGCAGAATGCTGCGGTCGGCGCGCAAGTCCCGCAGAGTTATCAGGGCCGGCACTTCCGTGAAACGCTCCCACAGCACATCGCACAGCAAGCCAGCGCAGCAAGCGCTGGCGCAGCAGCACAGCAGCCAACCGATTCTGCGAACCATTGAGTCGTGATTTCTTTGAGATTATTTTTAGTGCTGTTCCGCACTCAGAGTGAAACTTATAACGCGACTTTAATAGATAGCGTGTCGAAACATGTTACAACACTGGCTAGATTCGAAACTCCGTCTTTGGCCGTCTATCTCTCTAAGCTAGCGTCTAGCCCCTGTTTTCAAGAAGCCGTCATAGCTCAGTGCCAGGGCACTCGCGTTTATTTCAGAATACTGGAACAACCCGTGTACAAAAACCGTTGCCGGCACCAATGAACTTGTTTAAGTGGTGACTTATAACGCGATCAGTGGTCAAGGAAAACATTATGAGGAAACCTGCTGGAAAATAAATGATTTTGATTTTTTTTTCTTACATATGGCCTAATCTCCTTACAGAGAAAGCCTTTACCCAGTAGTGGGACAAGCATAGGCTGTTACTTTTATAGGAAATAACGTAACTATTAGAAAAGTCATAAATTACGTTATACGATTTAGGGTTGATAGTAGTGTACGAAAAAATGAATAAGTAAAGTAATTTTTTTATCTTCAGAATACAAACAAACTGACCGATCGGAGAGAAACTTCGAGAACAGATATTTGAAACCGTGCAGCGTGGTAGTGCAGCAGAATTGATGTACAGCCTCCAATAGCGGGGACGACTTGGCCATTATAAGATACAATATCTTAAAAAAAAAAAATAACTCGGCTCACGCTGAACTATCGCGGCCCGTATTTACACAAATTCTGAAAGCTGCAATAAAGCTGCTAGATAGATGCTTATCGGGCCAATGGCAAATTTATTTAGAGACGTTATCGTCTAATACACGTGCAGGGCTTCCCTGTCGTGTTGTCAGCAATTAACTCTATGTCAGTCGTGAGTGACTATTGACCTTTACCTGCGCCAGGTGTAATTAAAACTATACGTGCTTGATTTTTTTTAATAACACCACCGCCCGTTTTAGTGGACAGTATTAGGCTTTTAGCTCGGGAATCTTGTGTTAGACACCGTCGAAAATAAATATGTATAATATAATGTTGATTCAGATTCTGATGTTTGAAATATCTTTTTTTAATGTAAGAAGATGGCAAGCGGGCTGGCGGTTCACCATGTTAAGTGACAGCCGCCGCGCCTGGCCATTTACAATACCCTTATTTTAAAGTGGGCCGCGGTTACCGTACCAGACGAAACGCAGAAATATAACACTTCAAGCCTGTCTTCTGTTAGGTTGCGATACTTTCCCGGACGGATCTGCCGATTCATGCTAAAGCGAAGACTGTAGCCCAATATCAATTTTATTACTTTTATGACTTTTAGATGTAGCCAGGCGGGGGCAATATTACAGAAGTTTTCAAAATAATAAATTATATAAGCTTTTTCAAAGTTACTCAGTTTTATTTTTTTGTAGAGTGCCTACAGTAATCAATATTACTGTCATTTATGCAAATTTTTGCGGTTTTATTTTTTGGAGTCCGCCCTGATTACCATGATATGGCTACGCCCGTGAACGAACTTACTTATTATATAATCGGCGGTGCAGTGTGCTCGATTCCCAGACGGGACATGTATTTGTGGACACGAACACGGATAATTATTCCTGGGCTCGTTGTTTATTTCTAAAGAGATTTGACGTCAGGCAGGCGGCCAGTTGTAAATCAAGCCTATCCAATCTTTAACAACATGGTTCACATATAGTGCCGACCGGAATAATAGGGATATGAAATGAGGAATAAGGGAAATAAGGGAAAATGAAATGTTGCACGAATGGGCAGGTCCGTCCTGGTTAGTACCACGACCTCACAGAAGACAGGCGTGAAGTGAAAGTGTTATACTTCTCCTTTTCGTCTGGTGAGGTTATTAAAAGGTGGCAAAGCATCTGCAACTCTACGGGAGTTGCAAATGTCCATAGGCGGTGGCTATCAGTTAACATCAGGTGAATCGCCTGCTCACTTGCCACCTTCTCGAAGACTATTCTCATCCGTATACTATTATGTATACTATTCTCATCAGTCAACTGAGGCTTTTTAATTTCTCTTGGGCTAGTGGGTGGGTGGTGGTAAAAAGAGTCGTGATAGCTCAGTGTCCGGACCCATAAAATTTATAAATAAAATTATTTTATACGACCATTAAATTTATAAAATTATCTATTTAATAATACTACTTTAATTTACTAAATAAAATAGCGAAAGTAGTCACGAATCGATTATTGAATAAATTATTAACTCCTCACAAATTTGTATTTAAGTGACATTTCAGCAAAACCAGTCTTTACAGCTTTAACGATCACTATCTATGAAAGGTGTCATTGAGTTACCAATCGGTTTAAACACAGGTGACCCGCGATAGATTAGCATTTGTGGACACGTGATGGGCAGTTGCTGTTAGGGCCATTAGCAATTTTTGTCCACTGCTTTCAATATAAGACTATAATGTATATCACATTTTATTTATGCTATGATTTCTTTAATTTACACAATGGGATGTTTTTATTATAATTAAGTAGAATATATTATTAAATTATCAATACATTTTTTATTTTTTTTAGTATTTTTCAGTTTTCGACTTTCCCATTATGTTGGGTCAGGCCCGAGTTCTTCTCTTCTCGGCACTTGTAGGTATTGTCAAACTTTCGTAAATAATCTGTTTTTGAAATTTAAGAGGTTTTCTTCTCTCAATAACTCTCTAAACTTCAGTGCGTTTAGCTAAGACAGTGCATTATCAATTATGACATTATACATATATATATACTAAGCTATATATAATAATATATATTTGTGACAAGAATTCTTTTAGAAATGTTCTCGAGGGGCAGTCTAGGGTGACCTCACTAGTAGGAGTGACGACCTGTGCAAATGTGCGGGAAGTGTATGGACGCAGGTGGCTCAGGATCGTGCCTCGTACTGTGTGACCGTGCTTCATGATCAGCTAAAATGATTCTTTTATTGCTTTCTTTGATTCAGTGGAAGCACGAAAAGAATCATCTAAAAAAATGGATATAGAATCACAACAAAATCAAAAAGCCTACATATTCTGAGCAGCATTTTGCAGGGCTCTTTAAAAGTATCTGCCTATACATGTCCCACTGCTGGCCTCCTATATACAGAGCGTATCATGGCATAGTCCACCACGCGGCCCCACTGCGGATTGGCGGATCACATACCTTTGAAACATTTTCTTTATTATTATTTTGAAAATATGCAGATTTCCTCACGGTGTTTTACTTCACCGCAGAGCACGTGATAATTCGGCACTTAAAATTAACAATTTCATCGGGGATCGAACTCAGGTTGCTCGAGTAGATATATTGAATTAAAGGCGAGCGCCCGGACACTGAGCTATCACGGCCCGCAACTATTATTTTACAGGACTCTATACAACCAATGAATGTGTAAAACAGGGAATGGATTATTATTCTCCTTAATTCTTGCTTATAAATCCGATGTCTAAATAAATTTCAAAAAATATGTTAAATTTAATCAAGTGCATACACGGGCATCTTGTGTAACTCGTACCTTTTTTGTGAAATATGAAAAGTTGGCAATCTTTAAATAAAATGGGACTTGGATGTATAATACTTGCGCTTTTCATAGATCTTTTAGGAGGCCGTGGTTCTTCCCCGGACTAGCCTGCCCATTCGTGCAACAGCAGAAGCTGCTGTGTAGCCGAACCGTCAGGTGAAGCAGCTACTCGTTTGCCACCTTCTCTCATATAAAAGTTATTTTTCCTACTTTAAATAATTCAATATAATATCATCAATATTATATACGTGAATCCTCTTGCCTTATGTCTTTGTATCTTACCACTGCAGCTGGGCAAAAAATATCTACCGGTGAATTGTCTCTCGACGCGGTGTTTCGAATTAATACACCCCAAAGGCTGATTATTAGTCCGTCCTTAATTATTAGTGTTTCCTACGTGTTAGAGCATAAATTTTGAAATAATATAAAATAGTAGTGTATGTTAAAATGTCTCTATTATATATATATTAAATATAAACGATCAAACATGAGAGCAATCATATTGACTTTTGAACAATTTTTTTTTATATAAAAACATTTTTAGTAACAAAAAATAAAACCGACTTCAAACATATCACTCACTATACATTTTCTATTTTATTCTAGGAAGTTTCCTATGCCGATTTGGCTCTATCTACGGAGTCCAAGATCAAATAATAAGGAAATTATTATGGACCCACAGAGGAAACGAACCTAAACCAAAAATATTTTTTAAAATCTATTCACAAATTATGGAGTTTTAAGGTAACAAACATAAAAAAAATTATAAGATGGATGCGACAAGTATTGCTTGAAATGCGAAAAAGACAATTTTATATAAACGTCTTCTTAACGACGCGACGTTGCAATATTCGTCGATGTAGCAATCAGCCGTTTAGCTTATTGGTTAAAAAGTCTGGGTGCGAATCACGAAGACTCACGAAAAACTATTCGTATTTTTTTCTACAATTTTAATACAACGGAATCGAGACTCTCCTCCTTTTTGAAATCAGTTGAAAAGTAGACAATCCAATAAGTGGTTCACTTGATGTTAAGTGATTACTAACGCCCATGGACATCGACAACATCAGAAGGAATGCAAATGTGTTGCTAATCATTAAAAACTCTGGGGCCCCAATCACATAACTCACGTTGGTCTTCTCTGAGGTCTAACGCGATTACGAAACTCTTTATTTCCAATAACTGTTTTTGTAAATTCATTGTTTTATGATTTAATTTTCGTGACTGATTAAAATCGCAATTCAACCTTCCACTTTTTCTGGATAGATTCAATTATCGATTGCGGTCCAAAACAAGGTTCGTAACTCTTCGCCTATTTGAGTATTTATTCGATTTGACTGACTAAACTAATTTGGCTTCTTTTTTTTATTGATCTAATATTTACAAGATTACATCTATATATAATCAAAAAAAAAATAGGTTTCTTTAATTTTATTTGATCATAGATTGCCAGCTACTTTGTGACCTCTGCCATTTCTACAACTCACACTACGGACAGGTGACAATTGACATTTAAAATCATAATAACAAATTTCAAACACATGGTATTACTGGTTTATCTCTAACCTTGTTATTAATTTTTGTTATAATTATTTCTTCGACGATATTTTGTTATCACAATAAATATGTCATCTTGGAAAAAAGCCGCGAAGGCTAACCAAAAAACTCACAAAGAAAGACACCAACCCGAGTCTAGAAAACACTTAGGTCTACTCGAAAAGAAGAAGGATTACAAGAAGCGCGCTGATGATTATCATGAAAAGGGTGAAACGCTCAAGCTTTTGCGTAAACGGACGTTGGATAAAAACCCAGATGAATTCTACTTTCACATGATTAATTCTAAGACTAAGGATGGGGTAAGATTCCAAAGCCAATCCATCAATTCTTACAATGATTGAACAAATCAAATATACTTAAAATTTGTGATGACCCAATGTTATTAAGTATGAATTTTTGGTAAATTAGCTGACTATAATATAATACCTTTAAATTAAATAATAATATTTAAATTAACACAATAAAAAATATTTAGCAAATTGTTTAAGACAGTAATAATTTAATTAAGGTACATCATGAACTGGAGAAAGAAGATGAGCACACAGTTGAGCAAATTAAACTTATGCAAACACAGGATATTAAGTATGTAAATATGAAACGTACCATGGAAAGTCGGCGTATAGAAAAACTGCAGGTTAGTATTAACTAACTAGTTAGTAGTAGCAGTATTAATCTTCTGAATTTATGTTATTGTGTGATTTATTGTTGTGACATTTAAGTGTGTTAAGTGACACTGAACTCTATACTTGCATTCAACCATTTTGGTATGGAACTATAGTGGTTATTCCCAATTTTATAGCAGTTATTTTTATTTCAATTTTATTGCATTAAGTTTAAAAAAATAAAATTGAAATAAAAATAACTGCTATAAAATTGGGAATAACCACTATAGTTCCATACCAAAATTGTTGAATATTACTGATATGTCTAATGTAAATAATCTTGGTTCCCAACTTAATTTAAGAAAATATACTTACACAATGTGTTTATATTGAATACCCCTAATTAAAAGGGTATGTTCTAACTTTATAAAGGAAAAAAAATGTCTATGGACCATGGGTCATGTAACTAAATAGTTTCAAAAATAACACAGATTTTCATTTTACTGGTACACAAAAAGTATCTGTTCTGTTCTTTGTGGAGGTGACACTCATTCATTTGCGGTAGAAAGGTTGTATAACTCAGCAGACATAACTTATTACACTTTTTTTAAAATTTCAAATAATAGTATGTTTAGATATAAGTATTATGAGACAGATAAGTATTATGACATTTTATTAATTTTTTTTTTGTATGAAAAGAGAAATGAAAATGAAAATAATTTAATCCAACAAATATCCTATTGTCATTGGATTCTACTACGTAGTCTTTTTGATATACATTAAAGTTATGGGAATTAAACTTAACCTTAGCCTGCAAGTGTTATCTACTTCATTTTTATTGTATTTTTAACAATCCTTGACACACAATTTAGTAAGGGTGACACACTTTTTGAAAGGACATTTTTACTTAACTTTTATTTGCATTAGTTTTTGTTTAATATTAATGTTTAAGTCAACACTAGTTTTTGTTGTAGGTGTAAGTTATATATATAAGTACAGCATTTGGTATATGGCAATAATATCAGTCTTGTCACACACATCGTCGAGTGCGTTTCATTTATTACACCTTGGATTACTACAGTTTTGTTTTTTTTTTTTTTTTTTCATTTAATTTAACCCTCCTACTTGTTGGATGGTGGTGTACAATAAAAAGTTTCTTATCTTTGAAGGTAACTTTTTCAGGCGCAGCTCCATATGACTGATGTGGCAGATGCGACACCAAATACACACATCTTCTTTGTGGACGAGGGTGAAGAGAAGAACTTTGATATAGCAAAGCGACTGGACACACACCCATCGCTTATAAACAGAAAGTCCAACAGGCCAAGGTTATCGGATTTAAACAAAATATCTCTACCAACAGTTGATGAACAGGTTGGTGATAGAGTTACTTATAAAAACCTCTACCTTATTATTTTTGTATTAAAGTTCACACATTGTTCCAAGTAATTAAATGAGACCTGATGAAATAAACTGATTGATTCATTATAAACTTTGGCCAATTTGTCATTACTCCTAGTTAAAGATGCTATTTTTGTTCTTATTTTATAAGTGCCAGTTTCATGATGTGTTTTACATCTAAACTCTCATAAAATTTTAGTGTTACTAGTCTTTAATTTCATGTATACAAATAGGACAGAGTCATGATCATTGTATGCCACATAGATCAATGGTAATTTGAGGATCAATGGAATTCTGTAATTGACTAGAAGAGAGCCTGTGACTAAATTTTGAGCAATAATGAGGCTATGCCTCATAAATGTTTGCATGTAGCAGCCAGCTACTGGAATTCTTATCTAATGTAATGTTATCATCAATTATAATACACATTAATTGGTTATAGTACATTCAAAAGATACAGATATGTTACTTAAGGTAGTATACAGTGGCTCTCAGAATCGGAAATTACCGCTATATTTTTCTTCCTGATACTGTACTGGAAAAGTTGAGTTAGTTCAATTTGATTCAAAATTATATTTATCCACATGACGTTTGCACGTTCTTACGAAACGTCAAAATTTTACATAAAAATTAATACTTTCGTTAAGTTGTTCCTCTTTCTTTCTTTATGGCTTCTCTTTATAGAATTCTGACTTTCATAAGTTGTGTTGTGCACAAGTGCATGTTGTCGATATAGAAGATTACCTTTTTGATTCAGGTCGTTAAGGAGTCCAGGAAAATGAAACAGAAGACATACAAAGAGCTCTCGAAGAGGATCGAGCGCGAGAAGCAGCTGACCGTTGTCCAGCAGAAGATGGAGCTTAAGAGGCACCTCCACGACGCCAAGATCATGAAGCCCAAACGTGTACAGCGGGCGACGAAGGTATCGGCGCCAGTCTACAAGTTCCAGTACATGAGGAAGAAATAAAACCAATTTCGTGCACGATTTGTATTTTTTATTTACTCAATAAATATATTTGTCATCACTCGATCCTCACTACATAATTTGTTAGTCGCTCGCTTAAACTAAGTTTGTTCAGTTGATCAGTTCTTAAAAGATAGTCGTACACTTAAAAATAATCACGTTTGCTTTACAAAAGCCAGTTAGGTAAAGTTATTATGAGTTTTCGCACACGTATTTGACGGTGACGAGTTTGACCCAAAGAATGTTCTATTCTATATTAACAAGTAATCTCCATTTTTAATGGAACTATACATAAGATGTAGTTTATTAGTTAATATTTTATCGCTGTGATTTTCGACTCAAAAAATCTTTAGGGTTGTATCTCATCGCATATTTTGCGATTCAAAAATAGTACTTTTTTGCCGACCGCACTTAGACTACGATAACATCAAATGGAGTTATTTTAATACATTTTAAGATTGGATTTCGCACTTGAACCGAATTTAATTGTAGGTACCGTAAGGGCTCATTTAGCATTCCGAGTGCGGCAGTTAACCCAATAATTTAATGACCATTTTTGGAATCGCTCGTCTCCATCACGAGACACGTTTTACTCGAATTAATCGCTAAAAGCCTTACAATATGATCCTATACAAAAATCACATGATTCTATTACAAAAAATCGTACCCGACGTCTTATCGCAGGTTTTATCGGATAACATAAAAATACGTTTCACTTAAAAACGTTCATGGCTCCATGGGTGGTTAAACGTCACGAGCCGAGGCGGTAACTTGGGTAGCATAGAGTAGTAATCGTCTTTGGTTGGTTCAGAGCGTCGGTGCGGGGGATCCCCGCACTAATAGCGGCGACGCGCGCGCCCCCTCACCAGAGCACGCACTTGTGCTCTGGGTTCATGGGCGACCCCTTGGGGCAGCGCCACGCCTTCGCGAACTCCTCCGAGTTGCTGAGGGTGCCGATCACGCGGATCTTGTTGGGGCTGTGCACGCCCTCCACCATTTTCGATTTGAGCGCGCCCACCGTCGAGTTGCCGCACCATATCTGTGGGGTGCATCATGAATCATGTACTCGAAATCGGGAATCTAATTAATGTTATTTCAGTATTTTATCCATTTCTAAACATAGACCACTAGGAAACACGATCCTGAGCCACCCCGGTTTTTTTTAAGTGAGCAGTTGGCAAACGAGTTGTAGGTTCACTTGATGATAGGTGATAACCGTCGCCCATTGACATTTTCAACACCCATAGGGTTGCAGATGCGCCTTTTAATAAAATGGGCCCCGGTTACCTCAGTCACAGACGAAAAAAGAACACTTGTACTTCACGCGGCTCTTCTGAGGTCGTGGTACTTACCCGGACGGACCTATCCATTCGTGCGACAGAGGAGAGTGTTCGTCCATCGGCTGCCCGCGCATTTGAACAGGTCCCATCTAGTGGGATGTGATCACCCCTAGATGGAGTAATTTACTTGTAACGTTTAGTAATAGCGTGAGAGATGCCGAAAGTGAATCGGCCTCGATATATCGTTTTTTTTTAGGTCGCGACGTCCCTTTGTCACGGATTCGAATTTGAAAAAAATATCGTTTTCGATACGATTTCGATTTCAATATTGAATATTTGGTATCTCAATATGGGATCAAAATGTCGGTACCTGCGCGAAGCCGAGGAAGAAGAGCTGGTCGGGCGAGTAGTCGGGCAGGGCGGGCAGCGCGTCGCGGCCGGCGGAGGGGCGGCGCCGCAAGTGCAGCGCGTACGCGTGCAGCGCCGCGCGCAGCCCGCCGTTGTCCGCGATGTTCTCGCCCTGCGTGTTCACGCCGTGCACCTGCCGGCGGCGGCAGAGGGTCAAGCGCTTCTTGCGACTCGCGAGCGGATAGAGCGAGGGGCGAGTTCAGAGAAGAGATTCAAGGTACTGCGAACGTGCACCTGCGGGTGGGGGCTCGCGTGAGAGTACGGCGAGGGGCAAACAGGGAAGGAAGAGATAGTGGATGAGCAAGGGCCCACTCTTGCTAAATATGTGAGCGGATGCGGTCAGGTGCAAAATCCAAGAAGAGAATCCTGATGAATATAGAAGGAGTGTTGCTTAAGTACACGAACGGACACGGTTATAAGAAAATCCGAGAAGAGCATCCTAAGTATCAGGAAGAGATAAAGGTACAGATAAGAACTGACGGGAAACTGCTGTGTTTCACTACGATAGAAGCAAAGCCGAGAATGTATAGATGCTATTATCAGAGTGGCAGTTCGGCCTAACTTTATTGCGATCACTACAAGATTTAACATCGCGGTCTGTACTAAGGTGGTGAACTGAGGAGAATTGTGAGGTTGTACCGTGTATCCCGGCAGCTGCGGCATGTGGTAGCGGCCGTACTGCTCCACGATGCAGCGCACCTTCTCGTGGTAGTGCTCCAGGGTGGCCGCCGTCCACCACTGCTTCAGGTTGCCCTCCTCGTCGTACCGCCGACCTTGGGGCCGATCGTCGTCATCAACAACAACAACAATAACAACGACAACAGCAACAAAGACAACAACAATACCATAACCATCGTCATTGTCATCATCATCACCACCAGAACGCACATGATTTACGACGACCGCACTAATCTGTATGACGATAAGGATTAATAATATGTAATGCATTTTTATTTAGAGGCAATCGTCAGCAGTGGCGGATTTGCCCTAAGGCCCAATAGGCCGGGGCCTAGGGCGGCCAAATATCCCTAATATGCCATTCGTGACAAAACATTCACTGATGAAAATAAGATATATGATGGGCGCTGAGAAAGGGGCGGCTGGAGCTAACTACATGGGCTGGGGCCTACGGCGGCTAGGACTAAAAATCCGCCACTGATCGTCATAATGGTGATGGTCAATCTGATGTGGTAATACATCAGATTGACCATCACCATTATCTAATCTTATTGAAGTTATACTTCATTTGGCGCGTTTGGAAAAAATTATGAAAGTAAGCTTTAAAGGATGTGCGCACACACCAACAGCCAAAAAGCAATATGTTGAAATTGGTTGCAAAGCGACCAACCTCGACGGTATTACTTGGCTACCAATAACAGCTTTTTAACATTTACCTATAATTCCAAGTTACAACCGTTATCAATACCATTTAATGTTTTTTTCATAAACAACGAGTACTGGCACAGAGGATAAAATTTTAGTTATTTTACTTTTGTGACGCTGAAGAAGTACTTTTATACTTAGCCCTAATTTGCAATTGATCATAAAGATAATGGTCGCAATGTTATTCGGTTAAAGCCATCGTCATTATGACAACCTTCGTAATAACCATTCTCAGAATGACCATCGTCATTATTTTGTGTTATTTTTTTAATGTTAATCTACATTACAGATGCAATATAAATGTGAGTTTCTTGGATAAGTTTCCAAAAAAATTTCAACGTCGTCAGGATTCTAACCTGCGTCTCGTGGGTGACGGGATATCCTCATGGTACGTCATCATCATAATATGATATAGTGGCAATAAAACGATGGACATAATGGAGCTCAAATAGTCAGAGACAAATCTTAGTTTTGATGAGCATTGGGATAACATATTTAGTTATCTTGCTGTTCTCACAAAGCGCTAAGATGTGTAGTGACTTTTTCGTGGAATAACAAACAAGCAATGTTCACAAGTCGTACCATAGTCGAAAGATTTTAGTTGAAAAGAATATTCAACAATGAAACGCTCACCTTGATCGTCGAAACCGTGGGTTATTTCGTGTCCCATTATTGCTCCGATAGATCCATAGTTAATCGCCCTGAAATAAACGAGATATGTATTTGTATTCTGTGGCTAATAAAAATTCACATATTATTTATTGCAAATTATTGAATACAACACGGCAATAAATATTCTAAATCTACCCTTGGAAAGAGACAAACGACTATTTTCGGCTTTTTAGAGCGTCATCTCTGTCGCACGAAGCACACAATTCGTTGGGTAGTGCGTGACAGAGATGACACACTACAAAATAAGCCGATTGTCTCTTTCCAAAAGGCGATGGCTAATATTTATTGGTGTAATATAGTTTCCGTTATAAGGGAAAAACTCCACGTGGGAAATTTGTAGAAAAGAGAGACAAGTTCTGAAATTAAATATCATAAAACTGAAAGCTACATTTTCGACTCAAATACTCACTCAATTCCGTTCCCATAAAACGGCGGCTGTAGGATACCAGCTGGGAATGCTGAAAAGTCATTTACGTAATTAATTTAGGGTTACCTATATTTTAGTCATCACAATAAAGATAAAAAAGATCAAAGAAAACCTTGACAATAGTTTTCAGTTAAAAATTATTTTTCAGTTTATTTCTAAATTTAAACTTGGCGTTTAGAACACAACAACATTCATCAATGTATCTAGTAGCAATTAATAATCTGTGTCCCTTGACCATCAATATTATTGATTGTTATTAACTCTATAGTAATTACGAATCAACCTTGAACGTAAAAAAGATGCAAGTTTGACTTTTAAGACTTTTTAAAAAACTTCTAAAATTGGCGTGTTCAAGGCAAGAGTGAATAGGTTTTTACTGACCTAGCGCGTTTACCATCAAAGGCTGCATCGCCACTTACCATCAGGTGGGATGGCAGTCAAGTGCTGGCCAGTTCAAAAAAAAACCAAAAAAACAAATTTTTCCTCGGTCGAGCAGAGATATGTATATGGCTCTAGAACTAATGGGTTATCCCGAGGTATGCCCATGTCAATTTTTTTAATATGCTGCAAATCATGTGTGGTAGGGCTGTGTTGTACGAATGGGCAACTCATCAGGTGCCGTAAATGCCCACAAGTGGCGGTAATCACATAACATCACCTTATACATTACTTCTCAAGCTTCTTTGTCCGAACGCCATAACTTTCATAACTATTTATCAAACGATTCACAGCATTTTAACGTTTGTTTGCCGCTATTGACGAAAAAGCTTTGCTTTAAAAACTTCTTGTAAAAACTGTACCATGACGCCATCTATTGACAATGCGTTTAAACGAAAGACGGCGAAGTAGATTAAATTTTACCGTTATTTTTCAAAATATTCACTCATTTGCACCTTGTACTTATTGTTACATTTCAATGCTACTAATAGTAGTAGTTTTGTACTAGTAGTTTTATAGCATCATATACCTAGCACTTACTGACTGAGTTGAGAGTGGCAGAGTAGAAAGCGTTGACGGTGGTAGCGGTCGCCACCCACCTGCAATAAAAATTGCGTGAAAGTGAATTTATTACTGCTAGTGTGTTTTCAACGGCCGAACGGATTTAGATGAAATTCGCAACGAATGTAACGCAAATTCGTACAGGAGTAAATTAAAATTGATTTTAATTTAGATTGAAAGTAAATGGCTTTTCGGTGTTAAAATTATTGTGTTCTTTATTTGTCCATAAACACAAATTCTCTTTTTATATTATAACATTGTTGTTGCTAGTGTTAGAGTTTTTTTTAGCGAGTTTAGGGGGTTTATTAAGAACACAACATTCTTAAAAGTGATATGTTTGAGTAAAGTCAGAGAGTGAATGCCAGAGAATGCGTTGAATCTACCTGTTTCTGTCAGGCTTCTCTCTCAGGGTCTCGAAGGACTTCTTGACGGCGGCCCAGCTCAGGTTCAGGTAAGTGCCGAACAGATCACCTTCGATCACGTGAGCCTGCGGGTGAACACTGATTATCAGAATTGTGACGTGAGATGTGAGATGTGATAGCAGCTACGAACACATATTGGACTGCATCTTATAAAATTCTCTATTTTGATGAGATGTGATAGCGGCTATAAATGTATAAGGAGGCGCTAGGAGGCCGGAGATATAGTTTTTTTGTTTGGCGATTTCTTAAATATTTACCATCGCGGACCACTTAGTACAGGTTTTTTTATGTAAGAAGATGGCAAGTGAGCTGGCGATTTATCTTATGTTGAGTGATGACCGTCGCATACGGACATATACAACAGCTATAAATTTTCTTCAAGTCGGTCTTCTGCGAGGCTGTGATATTTCTCTGGAACGACCTGCCCATTCGTGGCCCTACCACAATATTTATCCAACGGTTACCAGTTCCGATTGTGAGCACCCGTTTGTACACGTTCCAAGTTAATGTTGCCCACAGATTCTAAACGAACAATTCTCAAGCTCAACTAATGTTGTACGAAATTGTGAGGCCTTTATTACGATCAGTCAAATTACCCAAATCGTTCGTATTTCAGGCAAATGATCCACGGAAGGAGAGTCGTCACGGCACAGCGCCATTTAGAGGGGGTCAGGGGAAAGGGCCCTCACGTGTCGGTAGTGGGCGTCGAGGCGGTCGTTGCGCAGCAGCCACTCGGGGAATCCCACGAAGTTCCTGATGGCGCGCAGCTTGTCCAGCGTGCGCGCCCGCGTGGCCTCGTCCATCCACGGCACCAGCCGCACCGCCTGCGCGAACGCCGAGCGCACGTCCTCCACCATCTCGATGGCCTGGCCCAAGTGATTTGTTTTGTGACAAAGTGGCTAACTATATGGTCTAAGCATCATTGTTTTTAATAAAGACCTCTGTGCTCTTTCTAGTTGTATGAGGTAGGATTTACATGTACCCCCCATACTCCGATACTGTAGTCTATAATTGACTGTGCAAGTGCACAATACACGGTGCGAAGTGTTTCGAAATCTGCGACATGTCGTAGCTGTTTGAAAGCCAAATGAACTTTCTAATTCGACGAGTAGTAAGGTCTAAACGATCTAGCCGATGAAGTTGACTGTTCAATATGACATCTAAATATTTAATGTTTGTGGAAAGTTTAAGCAAATCGCACGAACATTGTTGATACGATAAAAGCTTACACGAATGTGCTTTAAATGATACGTCTTGATGACTCTTGTTAATAGATTGTTTTTGATATATAAGGAGATTAGATTTTAGCTAACAAATGACTCGGTGGAGTCCCATTTCAGCCATATTACATACTTTGTCCCAAGTCTCCCCGTGAAACTAGAACTGTATCATCTGCATATGCAAATATCTCACCATTTTGTAGGTGCAGTTGACACCGATCATTTATTTATATCAGTAAAAGACTTGGACCAAGTATGCTACCCTGAGGAACACCACACTTGACAACGGCATCTGAACTTATTAACTTTCCGATTTTTACACTCTGAACCCGGTCTCAACGGAAATCCTTAAAATTTAATTATACCACGTATACCTACTGTCTCCAACTTATCAAGTAGGATTGGTATTGGACACAGTACCTATCAAAAGCCTTAGTAAGATCTATGAAGACACCAATACACTTGCGCTTGCTGGTTATATTAACTTGTTTATAATCAGTTGAAATTTTTTTTTTTGTAAAATTTATTCCTACTCTAGAGAAAAACTTATTGACAGCATTAATTTCATACACATCATTATCAGTTTTGCTTATAACTTGATCAGCCCATCGCTTCCCATTTCTCTTTATTATTTTGTGCATTTCGAAGGAGATACTTTCAGATTTCGTATACGAGATGATACTAAGATGACACTATATATGCATATATATAAGAATAATGACCTTCCGGCGCGAGTCGTCCCTGAAGTGGGCGCGCACGTAGGCGTGGCTGAGCGCGAGGCCGAAGTTGGCGTTGACGTTGGCGGCGCAGCTCTTCCAGCGCGGCGTGCGCTGCCGCAGCCCGAACACCTCGCGCGAGAAGCGGAAGCCCAGCTCGCGGAACGCGCCGCGCGTCATCGGCGCCACCGTCGAGAACGCGCTCCACCACAGGAACCGCTCTGCCCGAGTGCACTCCTTCTATACTACAGCGCTCTGATCGGACAACGTGGAGGCCTTGGCTCTCTCAACTGACCGGATCAATTGCCAATAGCGTTTCAAAAGCCATTTGACAGCTGATCAGTTGACTTCTACGGTGATCGGTGTTTCAGAATCCGGAAGTAAGTGTAGTAAACGTTGTTCTATAATATTAATAAGTGTGGAGAACATTGTACACTTGTTCAATATTAACTGTAGCTGTTTTACGATTGTTTTGTAATATTAGTTGCACAGAACGTTGTACGGTGGTTCTGTAATATAAAGTGCAGAGAACGGTGCGCGGAGGAAGAGGATTAGGAATATGCCACTGACCTACGACCACCGGCTCGGTCTCGTTGAGCAGCACGGCCAGCTTCTGCAGATAGGGCAGGTCCATGACGATGATGCGGTCCGACTCGGGCTGCAGGGTAACGCTGGTGTTGGCGAACGCCAGCTTGAAGTACAGCTCCCAATCGTGCTGTCAAATGATGTTTCAATTGAGACGACGCGTGTCCATACTGCGCGGCGTTTAGAAATTGTTTCGTTTTATGTTCGATGTGAACAACATGTATGTATACAAATGCGTAAATTCCGCGAGGTCCGGTACTCAAGCACGGACCTGCCCATTCGTGCGACAGCGACTGTTGCGTGGCTGCTATTGTGGTGGATTGTGTAAAACTTCCAGAATGTTGCGTTACCTCCTTCCACTCGGCCGGTCCACCTGGGTAGCCCTGCAGGAACTGTCCCAATGTCACTTCGTGGAACAAATGCGTTCCGCTGCGGCGCACCTCCATAGGCGTCATTATCTGAAAGGATCGTTGTTTAAACTGAAGTAATGTTCACTTATCTTTTTGATATATGGCAATAATGTCAATCTCTTTGTATTAGGTATAAAACAACTATACAAGATACAATATACTCTAGACCTAGAGTTCAATCCCCGGTGCCGGCACCAATTGAATTGTTAATTTTAAGTGCTGACTTATCACGTGAAGGAAAACACAACGCTGACTTCGAAATTCGGAAATCTGCATATGTTCGAAATAATGAAAACATGACAATGAAAAGAAAATATTTCAAAGATTTGTGAATTGTCATTTGAGAGTTGTTGTGATTGTGAAGTTCGCCGATCCGCAGTGCGGCCGCGTGGTGGACCCTCTATGCAGAGGCGGCCTTACCTTACTTTTTACTTTAGTAACCTATATTCTATTTTTCTATAGAATTCTATTTGCATATAGAATATTGAAAACGTCCGTAAGTAGTTATAATTTTAAACAAAATAAAACGATTTCAAACAGGAAACTAACTAAAAACATTGTCAACACTTATAACATATGAGGATTGCCCTCCTTCCCAACAAAAAAAAAAGAATCATCATAATTGGTTCATAAATGACGAAGTTATCCGCGAACACACATAAAAAATACGATCGAATTGTGACCGCCTTCTTTTTCGAAGTCGGTTAAAAATACGTCGAAACTACGGAAGGTCGCAGTGTTTGCGGCGCGGCGATACCTTAGCGAGGCTCTTGCTGAAGGCGATGATGTCGTCGGCGAAGAGGCGGGCGTCCGCCTCGGGGGCGGCGACGGTGACCATCTCCTGCACGTATTTATGGTACTGGGCGAGCTCGTGGGCGAACTGCTCCGGCTGCAGGAGGTAGCGCTCGCTGAACCCAGGCGATACCTGCTCCACCTGGACCGCGAGTGGATGGTTTTGTCTTTGAAGTTATTGAAGTTATACTTCTTTAGGCGCATTTTTTTATGTGGAAAGTTGCCAAGCGAGCAGACGGTTCACCTGATCATCTGCTACACCCGAGGGTACCAGACGCGTTGACAACCATTTGAAAATCTGGCTCCGGCTACCGCACTCACCAGACTAAACTCGAAAGTATTATACTTCCACTTCTTGTTATACTTCTCTAGGTGCGTTTTGAAGTTGTTCAAGTTATACCTCTTTATGCGTGTTAGTAAAAACGATGTGAGATTTTGAAGTGCGCGCGCATCACTGTAACGCAAAAGTAACACCTCTGAAGCTGCCCGCTAAACCTCTTATTTTTTTATAGATGGCAGCATATTCTCAATCACGTTCGCCCGTTACAGATTTCGATTAATGTCCGGTTCCTATTTTGAACGAACGGGCGTTAGTTACATATTTTCATAACTTTCATAAAGACTTTTAGATTAAACGAACAGTCATCATCATCATCATCATCATTTCAGCCTGTTTGAGTCCACTGCTGAACATAGGCCTCCCCCATAGACTGCCATTAAGTACGATCCTGAGCCACCTGCATCCATCGACTTCCCGCACATTTGCACAGGTCGTCACTCCATCTAGTGGGGGGTCGTCCCACACTGCGATGGCCAGTACGAGGCTGCCACTCGAGAACCTTTCTTACCCAACGGTTATCGGTTCTACGAGCTATATGGCCGGCCCATCGCCACTTCAGCTTCCTAATCCTCTGAGCTATGTCGGTTATCCTGGGTCTACTGCGGATGTAGAAACGAACAGTCGGAACTCACTTTCCGTGGGTAATGCAACGGCTCATAAGGAAAACGCCACGTTTTGTTAATATGGGAACCGGTCGTACACGCCTTTTATCTACAATTCGTTACGAAAGTTACGAAGCTATAAGAATGTAGATGGCTTTCATAATTTTAGTATTTTTATTATTTATATCCTTTTCCAGACTTTTTATAATTTTGTTGTAATTAAATTTTTGCATGAAATTAAAAACTATTATAATTGATGCCAAATAAGGATAACTTCTCACGCGCGTACATAAGTATACGCACGCATTGTTTCTTTTTTTTATGCGAGAAAGTGACAAACGAACTGGTGGTTCACCTAATGTTAAGTGATAACCGCCGCCCATTGACATTGCGACACCCGTAGGGTGGCAGGTGAATTGCCTTATAATAAAATGGGCCCCGGCTGCCTCGCTCACCAGACGAAACGCAAAAGCATACCAGTCCCATTTCACGCCGGTCTTCTGTGAGATCGTGGTATTTACCCGGACGGACCTGACTATGCGAGCAACAGAAAACACTGTTGCGTTGCCCTACCACAGTTCAAAGATGGTGCGCCCGCACTTTTAAAGAAACGCGTCTGTCACACGCGTTATAGATGGGTCATTGTACATCAGATAAAACGCTCACAAACACAACCAGGCGCTCAGATTTGAAATAATCCGGTTCCTGACTCGTCCCGTTTGTTGTTAAGATGAAATGATTTGTGGGCACCGCTTGGGTACGATGATTACGTAGTTACGGAGGAATTTCGTGTTTGTGGTGTTCGTATGGGCCGCGTGCGTGCCTCGCACTCTAATAAAACTGATAAGGGACAGATATATGGTTCCGAATAACAAGGCGTATTTAGCATAATCATGATTGTGTTCACTTCCTATATTTATTTGATAATATTTTTGACGACCCGAATTGCGTGGTGGGGAGTGTACCAGCCTCCTGCGCCAGAGTTCGACCACTACTCGATCCACTACTGGAAAAATATTTTGCGATAATCATGGGGTTTTTCTATTGTCTGAGTGTTTAAATGTGTTTATCAGTTATCTATTAACCATAGTACAAGCGTTGTTATTATTTTTGGTTTCAAGCGTGTCGTTCTGTGGTATAGACACAGCAGCTCCTTGAGCAGCCATTAACATCCCCCCCCCCCTCCCCCTTTAGACCGTCGACAGGACGTAGGGAAAGTGTGTGTACTTCCTTAAAATTTGGCAACAAAAAGATCACTTATCGACAAATGAAACACATGTTGTTTTGCCGTTTGAACATATTTGCTGGATAATTTGGAGTAATTTATCAAGAAGTATTTTTTGAGCCGTTAAGTAAGGAAGCGGCCTGTGTGTGACATATTATAATTATTTAAACGTTGAAGGTTGATACACTCATGAGTATGCGAAACAAGTTTCGTATTAAAAACTAACGTCAAAGTTATAATGCCCAATTGAGTACGGAGTCTTAGCTGTGGATTGATGAAGGAAGTAGCACTTGTTGTAAACGGACAAAACTTGACATGGTTTTGTAGGTAAAATTGCCTTGTATCTGGGATATAGGCCGTAATGATCTAGTGATCGAGAGGTCATGTAAACTTTAGGTTATTAATATTTTTTTAGGACACATTCTTTTTACACAACGTTCTCTAGTCCCAAACTAAGCCCAAAATCCTTGTACTATGGGTACTAGAAAACTGATAGACATTTTTTTTATGCGAAATGTTGTCAAACGAGCAGATGGTTCACCTGATGGTAAGTGAATACCGCCACCCATGAACATCTGCCACTCCCGAGGGTTGCCAACGCGAAAGTATTTGTCATACTTCCACTTTACGCCGGTCTTCTGTGAGGTCGTGGTACTTACCCGGACGGGCCTGCCCATTCGTGCAACAGCCGAGGCTGCTGCGTGACCACCGCAATACACACATACTTAAACGTACTTTTCTCTTGTAAATAAATACACATTATACATATATAAACACCGAGACACTAGAAAAACACTATGCTCATCACACAACATTTTTCCAGTAGTGGGGATCGAAGCCACCTTGATACCTTGGCAACTGTACCACGGGTACTTATAGTTATGTGCTAAAATGAGTGATATGTCTTGAGTTGTCGGTGCGTCTACTCACCACGACCCGGTTCCGGCTCGTGTTCCTGACGTCCTCTGCCACCTGCAAGCTGAGGAGCACGTTGAGCCCCAGGTAGCGCCTGCCCCTCCCCGCCACCAGCTCCCACGTGACGTTGCTCGCCTCCTGGGGCGGCTTGGTTGGGAGGCCCAGTTTCGCCAGCAAATCCTCTATCGGTTTCGTGCCCTTCTCCTCCAATTTGTCTGTCGGTGCGAGTTCTCGTTTTAAACGTCGACTCTATCTTTGATATTTTTACATTATTGCGCAGTATCCCGTGCTATGCAAACATACCTATGTAACGGGAGACCCTGGTTCTATCTCTCACTACAACGTCTACAATGCTACTCCTTTAAAAATATGCCCCAAGTCCAGTACCTGTCTTCGAGTGTCGAACATAGGTGAAATACTTGTCATGTGGGAATTGAATCGAACGCTTAAGCTAGCGACTGTACTAATGATCCACTCAGAACAATAGCTAATCTCATACGACATTATTTTCTCTTTTATGCGATTAATTGGCAAACGAGCAGGTGGTTCTTCTGATGATAAGTGATCACCGCCGCCCTACAACATCAACAACATTGGCTTGCAGGTGCTTTGCCAACCATTAAAACCTGTGCCCCAGTTACCTCACTCACCAGACGAAAAGCAGAAGTATAACACTACCACTTCACGCCAGACTTCCGTGAGGTCGTGGTACTTGATCAGTCCGACCTGCCCATCCGTGCAACAGCGAAGACTGTTGTTTGGCCCCACCACAATTGGTCAACAACCTCGTCCATTTTTGCAGCCGGTTGAAAAATGAAGTATCGGTGATATCTTTCTTTACCCAACCTACCGGTATCTACGCAGGTCTTGTAAAGCTTCTTCGCTTTGACCACGCTCTCCGGGAGCTCCTTCTCCCCATCGGCTTCCAGGAGGTCGCGCAAATTGGCGATCAGCTGCTCGCGCAGCAGGGCCAGCTGGTCCCAGGACGTGGCCCACTCAGGCACCGGATTCTTCTTGATCCAGCCGCCGCACGCGAACTCGTAGAAGTCCTGGCAAGGGTCCACTTCTCTGTTCAGGGACGAGAGGATCCGCGATGCTGGAAGGAAGCCAATTATTTTTTTTAATTAGTAAATTTCTTTATGTGGAAAAAGTGGCAAACGAGCTGACGGTTCAACTGATGTTAAGTAATAACCGCCGCCCACAGATATTTGAAACACCCGTAGGGTCGCAAATGCGTTGCCATCTTTAAATAAAGTAGGAAAATGGGAAAATGGGGATGAGCTTCTCGAAAGGCTCGATCTCTCACTTCTCATGAATCTTTATGAAAAAAACTAATGTAACCCCTTTAACATATGCCTCGCCTTACTAAGTCCAGTACTCATCACTTGTAAAACAATTATTTTATACATAAGTAATCCTTAAAAGGAAATTAATTAACGCTACTGTTACGTAATATTGCGATCTGTCACAGTAGGATGAACATGTTTATGTTTACAAGGCGTATTCATGACTCACCTACAATATACACATTCCTTTCAGACAGGACCACAGTATGAAACTAGACAGTATCTAATACTGTCAGGCTTAGCTCAAAAATCAATAAAATGTACATTACGACTATTTCTAAAACTACGCAAGAACAAGTATAATAAGTAAAAATTGAAATAAATCAATTCAATTTTAATTAAATCTTTATCATTTATTTCGTTAGTGAACATACAAAACTCTCTATGTACTCACCGGTCTCCTCCAGCGTAGATGGAATTGGGGTGGATTGGGCCAATACGAAAATAATTCCTACACCGACAAACTGACAGATTGCCTTAATGCTATACATATTGAAACTATAATAAATCGCGATATCGCTAACGTTTGACTGTCACAGAGATTTGCTGAAACTGATGCAATATATACAGTGTGTTAGGCATTTTGTTGTTCATTCGAGACACGTGCCAATAAATGGATCAGGGTGCCTCCGGTGCCAGATACGGCATCTGCGCACCAAAAGGTCCATTAATGCAACCACCATCAGATCATACGCAGTTAGCCGGTGCCCTCTTGTCTGCCACGTGGCATAAATACTACAACTGCGCATTATGCGCGGGAAAATGCAGAATAGAAATGCGCGAACGACATATTTTCCTGCTATCGACCGCGAAGATTATCATTCGAACGAAGATATTGAGGAAATAACGAAATTAAAATGCCGCGTGTTGAATTGTGATGGATATGATAAATATGGAGCATGGAGGAAAAGTTCTAAGATGGATATCGGAAAAAGACCGGACCTTTTTTGATATATTCTCAACTTCCAAAGACTCTTTGACCTTCAATTGAATATATTCAAATATTCATCATAATTTCAAAACTACGAATGGAAAATTAATAAGATTTCAACTATACACAAAAAGTACGGCTTTGACGACATTATCGAGGCTACAGCAGATATAATAAACATAAGGTATCAATGTAAAAGCTCTAAACATTCGCTAAAGTGTATCTTTAAACTTGGTTCTGAAGCAAGCCATAGTGCCACAGACGGGATTGTACTTGACCTTAAGGTAAACACTGTTCGAATTTATGTTCTTCGAGTCAATACCTACTACTAGACCTACGCTTCTTAGTATCTCATGTTATCATTTGTTTTCTAGACCGTTACGTCGATTCTAAGCGACTTGCATCATTATTACACATGTGTATATATTTTGAGTTAATTTGACATCACCTAAGATGTAACCATAAGCGTACTTAGATCATCCATCATTTGTTTGTATTTAGGTCGGTAAACATTAGGAGGACAGTGTGCGTTTACATTCTTGATTAAGTTTTAACGAGGTCTTAAATTAACTTGCTCACTGGAAAGTCGTTGCATTCCATTATGTTTTGAAGTTTCCTTCATTTTTAGCGTAAATGAAGGTTCCAGAACGGTACATAACACGTTTTTAATATGATTAATTTGGATAACTCTAATATTCCTTTATTGAATCTCCTCTGAAAATAGGAAAAAAATATACGTCCTACTTTAGAGCAAAAGGCTCCTCGGAGCTTATAAAAGCGAAGTATATCGTATTTCGGAATGACAGATAATTGAATGAAATACTATTGAAATGAATATGAGACTCCATGGGAGCTAAAGTGAACCAAATGCAAAAATAACTTTTAGAATCGGTTCAATCTGAATGCGGTAACAAACGTAAAAAATACAAGCGAATTGTGATTATCCTCCTTTTTTGACATCGGTTGAAAATCCATCAAAGTAATATGAAGGAACACCAAAAGATCAAAATCCCTAGCGCGACCCGAGTATCGCGAGTCAAAATGTTGTTTTTTTTTTATATTTACTGTATACGTGATTAAATTATCTCTAATTTGAAAGTCATATTAAATTCCGAGCTTCAAATGGGAGACAAACATCGAGCGCGTGTTAATTAAAAACATAATAAATCAATAAAAAACGTTGCACGATGCTATTGCGTTCAGAAATCGCTCATTGCGCACCTTCTGCGTATTAAATGCGATACTTAAAAAACAACAAAACGACGCAATCTGTTATGTCACTTCCTATGCATTAACACGGATAAGACGCGGCGGTAGGTTGTGTTTTCTGTATTACTCTACTACATTTTAAAGACAATTTTAATTTTTAGGGCTAGGACGGGACTTCACAAATCTATAATTTTTTTATATTACTTCAAAATATGCAGGATTCCTCACAATTACACATGTAGGTATGTTATATTATGTTATGCTATTATTTGTTAAACTGATATTTTTAAAAAAGAGCAACTATTGAGATTCTTGCCGGTCAGAAAGCTGCTTTTGTTGAGAATATCAATGAAACTGCTTTCCGAACCGGTGGTGGTAACTTAGTAAATTTTGTATTAATTTTTATGTTGAACTTGACGTTTCATAAGAACTATTAAAAGTCTATTTGAATAAAGATATTGTGAGTTTGAGTTTTGAGTTTTAATGTTGTCCTTCACCGCTGAGTACCATAAGTCAGCACTTAAAATTGCAATCATTGATGCCGGCACCAGGATTTGAACTCGAGTATATTGAATTATAAGCGAGTGCTTGTATACTAAGCTATTACGGCTCAAGTATTATAATATTTAACTTAAATTTAATCCCCGAAGCTTCTAGTATTTACCTCATTCAATGTCCCGAGATCATTATCGCTTCAAAAACGAGATAAAATCCGCAAAATTTCTTTCGTGTTGTAAAATAAACAGGAAAAACGTTATTTTACAAAATATTCTCGTGTTCCGTTTTTGTTACGTATACAGTTCTGCTCTAAATACGTAAACAAATTAACAATGTATCATCGCACTTTGCCCATATTCCAATGAAGCATGCAAATCATCTCAAAGAGAATCCCTTAATTGGTGCCCTATTAATTTAATAAGTGTAATCTTCTACTTATTTTAATTACGGACGAACTGCAAACCGATTCCTTAGAAACGTTTATTGCACATTTGACAAACGTTCATTGCTAATAGACGTCATTATGCATTTAACACTCGTAGTATATGTTAATCTTTGTGTTTCAGTTTTAATAAAACAACGATAGAAATATGTATTATCCAATTTCGACTGAGCTTATTAATACCCTAATTACAAGAGGGAATTCTCAGCTTTTTTACGGCGTATCGATATAAATAATTTCTGGAGATATTTCTACACAACGTTATCCAGTCTCAAACTAAGCAAAGCGTGTACTGATCATACTAGGTAACTTATAATTTTGTAAATGCATTAAAACTTGTAGAAAAAGTACTAAAAGATTGTCGCCGCTGTGGGAATCGAACCCACGTCTTCGGCATTCGCGGCCTGACGCTTTAGCCACTAAGCTAAACGGCGGATTGCCCTACTGACTAAAATCTTAACGTCTTTCATCTACATTGTTTTTTAGCATTTGAAGCAATGCTTGGGGCATTCATTGTTATATCCTTTCCAGCATACAAACAATTTCGAATATCGTTTTACAACGACAATTCGAACGAGAGATGTCGCTATTGCTTTTTTAGAAATTTTTAAATAAATACATATTATAAATATACAAACACCCATACACTAGAAAAACACTATGTTCATCACACAATATTCTTCCAGCAGTTGAAATCGAAACCACACCCTCCAACGCAACAGACCACTATCCACTAAGCCAATTGGATCGTCACCTGTTATATCTAGACACTAAACCATAATTATAGCCCTGAATGTAACTAATGTTGAAAGTATCGACTTGGATGTATATCGTTTAGTATACGAAAATGTAAACTCGAACCGATATTTCAAATTAAATAACAGCACACGCCAAATCAAAGAGACTCTTAACAAATTTTGACTGTTGAAGTGACTTATAATTATTTTAAACACAAATATGACAGAACACACCCACACCGGTGCTATGGAGTCTGTATGAATAGAACTTGAAAATGTTTTTCGCTCTTTCAGATATTTTAATTGAATCGGATTTAATTTTGTCATTTTTAATTAAGTTGCAAGACGTAATATTTCATGGAAATTAATGTCCATAATCGAGTTGACTAATTATTAAATCATAATTATTCAATGACGGAATGTATGAAAGGTATCCGGAAACAGCAGCTTGTTAATTCATCGGAATGCTATTGTCTTTAAATGGGAACCCTGCCCAATGTTTATTCATTATCTAAGAATCTGGACCTCGAAAACTGAATTCTCATTACCTCTGTAAACATCCTTCTATATTTTTTTTGTTATTTCGTCTATAAATTAAATATCCGAATGTGGGATAACATTGTTCTCTGTTGTTGTCGTTTTTTAATCCAGATCTTGAACAATTAGTTACAAATCTCATCCCAGGTTGGCCGATACGATTTCGTTTTACCGCCAAGAATTTGAAACAACCATGGACAAGTCAGTGATCAAAGAACCGGGACATGTTATTAGACGTAATTAGAAATTAAAAATTTATCACGACATCGCCTAATTATCAATGGGAAATCTCCATCACACAGCATGCTAGACAGGACATGCTCCGACAGCTTTCAATTTTTTTCGGAATCTGGTCAACCTTTCAGTGGAAACCCTTAGGATTTGGAGGCTTCACGAACTTCCATTAAAATGACTAAGTACTTCAGTACATTAGCAATTTGAAACAAACTGTGAACTATTGGCACATTGTGAAAGCTATTACAAATTAAAACCAGCATAAATTGAACACAGAAATTCGAAATTGAACAGTAGAGGAAATTGATCTTACCTTTGTCTTTTTTCTAGTTTCACACTTGTTAGTGCTCAACTGTTATCATATCTGATTGTAAACAGTGATAAAATGTCACGTAAATACATTAGCTCAGTAAGAGTATATTCAGTGACGTTGCAAATTGGCCATATGTTCGTTCCACTTGTTTGTCGTACCCGTTACCAACTAGGAGACAAACCGCTCTGCTACACTCCATCGACTTTAAGATTTGGACTTTGACTTTATGTCGGTTTGATAAAGCGTAAACACGCACCTTCGGTCGACTGCTCAGTTGACTGTAAGACTGAATTGACTGCAAGACTTTGACTTTATCGCTAAAGCGTGGTCACGCACCTGTTCCGACGCACTCTTCCGTGATGCAGGGCCGGGGGCTCCTGTACTCGGTGAGCACCAGCACCGCGGTGTACACGCCTAGCGCCACCAGGGAGAGGCCCAAGGCGCCGATCAGAACCGACGAGCAGCGGACCGTGCGCTCTCTAACAAAAGACATAAACATGGATTGAAAATTCTTGTTTTTTTTCCGGACTGGTCTTGGTTTCCGAACGGTCATGAAATGCTGGAATAAGCTTTAATTATCTGTGGTAGGGCCGCGCAGCAGCTGCTGTTGTACCGAATAGGCAGAAAGTGGCCTCACAGAAGACCGGCGTGGAGTGGAAGTTTATACGTTCGCGTTTCGTCTGGTGAGTGAGGTAGCCGGGGCCCATTTTTAATGGTTGGAAACGCCTCTGCAAGCTGTCACATATTGTAGATGTCCATTGCCAACATTTCACATAAAAAAATGGATAAAACCCTTAGAACATGACTTGGAAAACGGTCTTTGTACCCTTGCTAAAAATTTTAGATAGTCATAACAGCAGATAATACACGAACCGAACAAAATAGTTAAACAGTTACTGCGTGTTACTTTTTTAATCACTCGGTGTTCTTCTGCCACATCTTTCTTAAATCTTCTGGTAAATGAAGAAAAAAAGTAACGATAAGTGTTTCCCTTTACTTTTTATGTTCTCTTTATATCCTACTAGCTTGCCATTTCGCATGGGCGGCCAAATGTAAGCTTAAAATTAATATAACACTTAATTATCGATCAACGCATCCAAAGTTACATGGAAATTTTAAATACATCACGTTTATAATAATTATCTATTTGATTGAAAATTATGTTTAAAAAATATAGTTAATGAAAAATTTGTTTTTTGTCGAATTACCTAAACAGAAACATAGAACTCGGATTTAACATAGCCTTTGTTTTTTGACACTCAGACGTCCAACGCCTCAGTCTATCCCGTGGTATATATATTACATACTCGTAAACCCTTCATAAGGTTGGGAACGTCGGGAAATAAATGCAATAAATCCGTAAACATAGTGTCATTTAGTGATAGCTTGTTGTTAAAGACAAAATGTAGAATTATCAACATTAACGAAAAACAACGAATTTTTCATCTGATTATCGAAGAGTAGCTCATATTACGTATTACAAAGATGTTGTCTGCTTTATGGTTTTTACGAAAAAATACAAAGTTGAGTTACGAAACAAGGAAAGTCAATGGGCATATAACTTTACGATGTTTTTTCATTTCATATATGCAAGTATCGTTTCGTAAAACGAATTTCGCACACTTAACCTTACTTATAAGGTAACCGAAAACAGTCATGATGACTAACAAGAAGTTTTCCATTAAAAACAGAAGTCACCAACCAGGAAGGACATCATAATTGAAAGAAACAAAAGAGTTATAAATGAAAACTACTTTTACGGATTTATCGCGGTTTTTTTTTAATTATAATTCCCGACGTTTCGAACCCTTCGCAGCGATCATGGTCACGGGACAGTGTCCCGTAAAAATACAAGAAATTATCATGTAAACAAAGGAATTGCTTAAACTAGTAGCTTAGTGCGCCATAAACGTTAAAATTGAAATCTTAAATGCGCAATGCGGTGAACAATTTTTAAATTGATTCGACAATTATTTTAATAACTCCTACACGCGTTCAATAAATAACTCTCGCCAAGAAAAGTGCGTCACTTGAATATTTTCAGCCGCTTCCTATGATTAAGCATATGGGATGCGCAGACTCGTGTATTCAAATTAATTGTAAATCGATGTGAATAATTGCCTTTTTTATCAGGTACTGACTCGTGGTCAATTAGCCTCCCATATGATCAGGTTCCATCGCAATTGCCGATGGTTGTAACTAACGGTGTAAACTAACTTATAAAAACCTACCTTAAGAATAAATATATTCCAATCGAGTACCACCATTGCATCCTTTATTACGGACTTGAATTAAATTTGGAATGTGTAGGGTTTAAGTTATATAACTTCGTATGATACTTAAATTTCTAAATATTAGAAGCATTAATATTAATGCCATAATAGTAATAGTTAATTTTACGTGCAATGTTAGTCATGAACAAAGAGCAAGGAAAGGTAGATTTTTTGTATGTTTTATTTTAAGTGTAGAGATTAGCAGAAAAAAAATTAAATTATAATAAAAAATTTATAAACTATACAATTTTTTTTCTTTCTTTACATTAACCTGTGATGTGAGGTACAAACACAGAAATATGGTGAGTACAAACATAAATTTCACGCGGACAAACACCTAGATGCGAAACAACTGTGGGTCGCAAAATTAGTTGTCCCGTATGGGGATCGAACCCACAACCCCCGACGTCGAAGCCAATACCTTGGCAACTGCGCCAAGGAGTCCTCAATTACGCTATGAATGTAGGATGGAGAGGAAGTTGAAGGAACATAGTGATCAAAGTATTTTCCCCGTCAACAGCGGAACCAACCATTGTTTATAGCGAAACAATTTCACCACTTACAAATCGTGTAATACCCTATTTCTTCAGTTTCAAACGCTTAAGTTAACGCTTTGCCATGATTTAGTAATGAATTGCAGCGTAAGAAGGAGAAAACTGAAGTGAGAGTTTGCATATTTGACGTAAATCTTAAGTGAGATTTTATTAGGCTACTCGTATTTGCTTGAAAAAGACATTTATTATGCAAGTTCTAGGAAAATCTATGAGTCTCATCTGTTATGTTGCATTTCGACAAACCTTAAGAAAACTAGAGCCATCTATCGTTTTCCTAAGATTTTCCAAGATACGCTGCGTGCTTATAATATTTGCTTTTTATTGATTCGTTAATAGAGTGCAATGAAAGCAATATTTAAAACGTACCATTTATGGCATAACCTAATTTCAAAATATGATAAAGTTTAGAATAACCCCCCTGTTAACAATGTAATAATTATGGTACTTGGTTAACGACAAGAACATTAATTTGACATTTTAGTCTTTCATATTCAAGGAAAAACCTAAATTATTCTAGAGTTCGCGGTATACAAGTGATGTTTCCACAAAAATGTCAAGCGGGTCAAGTTTGTTTCATGCAATCGCAAGAAGATATATAATAGTTAGTATAGAATAGTTCACCTTTTGTTAAGAACTGAAAGAACATGTAAAACTTCGCTTCTTTTAATCTATTATACTTTAATATAACTTTTATCGCATAAATACTTTTCACATCTTATGCGCCAAAATACATAGTGCTAATAGGAAAGCAATATTAGGTAAAATAATGAGGAATCAGATGACGTTAAATATAATTTAGCCATGATACGGCGATTGCATAAATAAACTCAAAATCCTTTTAGATGAAATTACAACAAAGCAATTCGTACAAATCCTCAGGAGTGGAACACTCCTCTCTTCTACTTCTTCGTCTGAATTTAACTTAGTTGATTCGAAGGGAAAGTGAATAGGTTTAATTGCTTTACTTTATCAGGCGTGATAGAGATGAGAGTAGAGTGTTGAATCATTTCATATAAAGACCAAGCGATGATCATTTCATGATTGTCCTTATGAGAGCTCCCTTTGTTTTTTCGCGACAGAAAGCTGAATCAACTATGGAAAACCCTCGCAAACGGTGACTCGCATGAGTCTAGTCTTGAGCCGTAACTTGTACCTGTGACTGTCCCTACCGCCTTCCCGCAGAAAGCGACGCGATCTGAATATTTTAATGAGCGTCCAATCACCCAACGAACATAACCGTTTCAGAGGAAATAGACGACACGGCAAACATTTCTTTTTCTTTGAAAATTAAAACATCAACTTTATCCTGTATTGTTGTTTGATACACACAAATTACACACACGTATATTCTTATTAACAACAAGATGTGCGAGTCGCTTCGCATACATTTCACTACTTAAAATGGGATAATCTTAGTTAAAAGTTGAACTATCCATATTTACCAATCTACCACGTTAGGACAAAGGTTAGACAATCTTCCATAATTCTACAACATCTCCGACAGATTAAACATTTTGTTTTGATGTGCTGGGTGACCAGATTCGGCAAGATACGCAATGATCGCATTCGCGGAAGTCTGGGAGTTCGTGACATCGTCGACAAGCTTTATGGAAACAGGCTGCGCTGGTTTGAGCAAATTAAAACAAAACCTTCAGAGTACAGAGGTAATGTAGTGACCCATTTGAACATTGCGGTATCTAGATCCAGAGGGCCGAAAACCAGGTGGACAACTTATGTCGTATCTTGTCAGAAAAGATCTAAGTTTCTGAAACTTTATGGAAGACGATACACCTGATAGTGCGAGTGGAAGCGCAAGAACGGGAAGGTAGACCCCCCATCAGATGGGAATAATCACTGCACATGAAAGAGAGAAAGAGATTTTTGTTGTAACCACACGTTTCGATAATAATAACTATCCAAGTCCCGACGCTTGATGTTGAAAGCCTCGGCTTTTCGTCTACTTTGAATAGCGTCTGACCACCATTCTAAATTCGTGTTATAATCGCGGTCCAATTGTCGCAACGGCCCAGTAAAAGTGTATTGAGTCCCACCTCGTCATGCATTGTGATCGGAAGGAGCCATTCGTCATACGGAACTCACAACGGTAAATGTGTTATGCGCCGTAATCCTTCATGCGCCGATGTATCGACTGAGGAACTACAATACGGACAAAAGGTCCGTTACTTGCGGCACGGAGAGGCTTTGAAACCTCAGTGTTATGCAAATGCCGGAATCGCGGAACCGGTCGTGTCCCACAATCGGTGATCTTATTGTCAGGCTCCGTTAGCGATTGACCCGACTCTACAAAACAAACAAGAGCACGAGATAAGTCGTTTGGAAGTTTGATGTTTGACACATTACATTGAGATTTATCGACTGACTTCATGGTATTAATTTCTTGTCTTTCTAACTTCATGATGTCAATTTCTTATGGCTATGCGCGTGCATCATAAATTAAGGCCATTCACTCTCATCATTTTTAAACTTTTTGGTTGATTTTTTTTCTTAAGCTAAGATCTCTTTGCCTTTTGACAGAATACATAATTATTATGCTGAAAAATGTTTAATTTATTTGCCACAACACATTTGGTCGGTGCAGACGTTACAATCGTAATGTAATAACTCATTTAATGTAATAATGCATTTTCTATT